GACTATTAATTGGACATAGAGATTCGGTTCAGAAATAACCCGCTTTTTGTGCACAGATAAAAACCACGACCATCTTCCCGTACATGACCAATACGGGCCTGTGCAAGCATCCAAAGGTAAAGTTCCCATCCATTCTGGGTCTGCTGGATCCCAAGGAGGTGGCAAGGCGCATCGTGGAGGCGCATCGCTCCGACACGCTAGAGGCAACTATTCCTAGCTGTCTGCTGCACATCAACAACTGGACGAGGCTTCTTCCCGATCATTGTGGTCTGATGCTGAAGGACTACATTGACAGTGGTGTGGAGTCGGACTTAATTTAGATTTACCTTGACTATGCTGCAGTAAAATAAAATAAACGGAATATGTATTGAAATAAACTACCTATGTATACACACACACGTGCATACACACATACAAAAGCACTGCACTTCAAAACATTGCGCCCAAATCTCGTTGTGAATGTCAAAAACAGTGCTATCGATACCTGTTGCATCGATAGCGCCGTTTATATTACTTCGAAAACTATCATCATCTAACAGCTGTGCGATGACAACAAAAGAAAATGGCCTGTGAAGTGAAAACATTTGGGGAAATACGCGATTTTAGAAAAGTTCAGGAATATTTTGGCCTGGGGCATGGTGAGACGCTGAAAGCTAAGCCTAGCACTACCGTAGTTAATCAAAAAATCTTCCCATGGAGCAGACGATAACTGGCTAAACGGCATTAACTCTGCCATATCCCCAACGGGGGAGCTGATCGCCCTGGCCCAGGGGGAGAAGCTAGCCTTCCTATCGACCTGCTGGAGCAGCAATGGGCATGCCAACACCTACGCCATGGGGTGGTGCGGCGAGCTGGAGGATCCCAATCAGATTGTGACCAGCCTGACGTGTCTGCCCATGACTCAGAGCCGGAACACTGATGGAGCTATAGAATGGACCTGCGTGGCAGTGGGCTTGGTATCTGGACTGGTCGTCTTTTACACAGACGCCGGCCAAAAGCTATTCTCTCAATGGTTAGTCATTAAACCCTTCCCACACTCAGGTATTAATCAGTATATGTTGCAGTTGTCAGGAGGATCCTGTGATTGGCGTCAAATTGCAATCACCTCCACGCCATTCAGACGGAGATGCTTTGCTCTACATTGTGTACACGCGCTGTTTGTGCTTCATAAAGGGCCAGGATATATTACCCACGCTGACCAACTGTCGGCATAATGTCCAGCGTGGCGCTCTTGAGAGAGGTTCCTATCCCATAGCGGATGTGGTGCCGTTCCAGAAGTTCAAATTCAAGCAGGAGCGCGAGGGCATCATTAACGACGCAGCCATATCGAGCACACAACGGCCCCCGACCTACGATTACATTGTCCAGCAGAGCATTGGTCACGGCTACTACGCCAAGGTGCATGCCACACCGCCGCGAAGCTCCCAAGTGCTGGCAGCCGGAGCGGAACCCTATTTGGGGTTCTTTCATGCTGAGGAGGGCTACAAGACCGTGTCACTGGGTGAGGTGGCCAAGGGTGTAATAGGCTTAGCCTATAATAATCTACTGGGCGGATTGTTCAAGCGTGCCCCGGGACCGCCGCCAACCCCCGAAGATGCCCCTCTGCCATTGCCTACCAAGGAGGCGCCCATGAGGATACGATGCCGCCTGTATGACGGCAAAAGGGATGGTCTAACCCTGGCCATAGCCCCGGGCGGCCGCTTGGCTGTCGTCACGGATAATCTAGATCGGGTGATGATGGTTGACACCCAACAGGCAATCATTCTGCGCGTGTGGAAGGGCTATCGCGATGCCCAATGCGCCTTTGTGCCCGTCAAGGAGAAGTCTGTGCGTGGCATAAAGACACACAAGAGAAAGGCCCTGTTTTTGGTGATCTATGCGCCGCGTATGGGCTGTCTGGACATCTGGGCTCTGCAGAATGGTCCAAAAGTGGCCGCCTTTACTGTGTCAAAGAGCGGCCAATTGATTTACAGCAACCACAGTGCACTTGGTGTTGCACCAGCAACGGGCGGAGGAGGAGGGCATTCAAGGAAATCGGCTGGCATAAACCATTGTCTGTTCCTGGATCCGAGCGACAGCAGCTTGAAAGAGATCCACATACCATTTCACTACGCTTTGAGCGAGACCAACTCGCAAACATCGCGCGATATCCATATTCTGAGGCGTCTAAGGAACCAAATGCGAGCTCTAAGCCACGATGAGGCCAATGACCAGAAGCTAGAGGAGATTGCAGAGCTGGCCAGCGAACTGCAGACGCTGGAGGTGCGACAGCAGTGTCTGGAAATGTTACTTAAGAGCAAGAAACTGCAGCCCTTTGTATTCCAATGCATTATTAATGCATTCATTAAGAAGCCGCTACCCGAACCTACATCTGGCGAAGATTTTCACGAGTTTGTACATCAAATCGAGAACTACAAGCGCCTCACCGACCTTTACTTGGCCCTCAGCCAAGTCAGCCATAGAAATGATAACGAACCCCCAGTCGACCACTTGGAGCTCTCGGACGCCGATCTGGTGACGATCAATAAGTTGGTTCTGCTCCTGGACGATGGCAGTGCGAAGGATAAACCATCCACCACTCGAGAAGTCAGCTTCCAGCTAAGGGATGGCCACAAGTCCGAAGAGTTTATCGATTACCTGAGCATCTTCAATATCGAGAGCCCAGACGGCATCAGTCTGCTCCCAGAGAAGGCCGAAAAATTTGGTGCCGTCAGCATTGATCTCTTCAGTCAGTTCTTTGGCCAAGGCTTGTGCTTTGGTCAGTTCAAGGAGTGGATCGGTCAGGCCTGCCTGCCCAGCAAGGATCTGCTGACATTAATAATTTGGTTCTGGCTGGAAAAGCCTTTCAAGTACAACAACTGGTAGGAGCAAACGAAACCCCCTTTTAAGCTCATCTATTCTTAAATTTAAATTTGTTTTTCTTTGCTTTGTTTTTCCCAGTGATGAAGTCGTGGAGGACATGTCGCGTATTGCGGCAATGGTACAGACCATCTGCGAGCTGGCTGGCGATCATATCCATGACTATGCATACAATGCCATTTCCCCCTGGTGGCAGGAGGTGCGCGAGCAGCTCTTGGAGAGCAAACAGTTCTCTGGTCTTCTGGTGGCAATTGTCTGCAAAACGGTCGCCACGAATCTCTGGCGCAATCGAAAGGAGGTGCGGTCTGTCGTATCTTTTATATATTCGTTCCCCTTGGTTACTATTCCATTTTCCAGGGCTCGTGCGACGAATCATCCCAGAACGAGGAGGAAGAACGCTGGGAACGCATATCCCATGACGAGGCACAGTGGGGTCTGCTCACCGGAAAACTGGAAGATGTGTCTGTCCTAGGAGCCATTTTAGGAAAGCCACTTACCTGCCGGGATCCAGTGGGTCCGGAAATGCCGTACGAGACACCAGACTGCAGCCTCAAGAGCATCGTAAACGGTGGCAAAGGCATCGTCACAGAGCTGGCTGCCAAATGGTTGGTCAGTGCGCAGCTTCATCCCAGCAAGATCGTGGAGATTACGGCACCAGAAAACGAGCAGGATGAAGAAAGTCGAGTGTTCACCAGAGCTAAAGTAAAGGAGGAAGAAGCGGCGGCAGTTGCCGCTGCAGCAGCAGCAGCAGAGAAACAAGAAAACGATGAAACCGAATCCGAGCTAGAACTGGCCAAGGAAGTGCAAGTGCCTGCACCTGAACCGGTACTGGAGCGACTGGCCCTGTTACGAGCCCACTTTCCCTTTAGCCTGGAGTCCGGAGTGCTGCTGAGCCTCATGTCCTGGCAGTATATGGTGCAGTGGAGCAAACAGCTCACATCGCTGGATCACATGAGGTCAGCTCTGCTCTGTCTGGCCGAGTTCCGTACCCCTGATTGGGCCTTGAAGCATGGAATCTGCTGCATGCTGTGGAATGCCACCCTGAAGTTCCCGCTGCAGGCAGCGGCCAAACTGATGCAAAAGGTGGGACGCCTGCCCGTCGACAAGATGTGTCAGCAGGATCTGGAAATGTCGGCCGGCAAAGTGCCCGAGTTTCTCGAGCTAAGCCTAGAGTTTCTGCAGCACTTTTCCACCTCCCTGGAGCACGAAAAGCGAGAGCTACATTTCGAGCAGTCGCTCACCGAGGGAGCACTCCCCCTTCAGTTTCTGGCCCTGCAGCAGCACCATGCCATGCCCAAGCTTCTCCAGCTGCAGACAGAACTCTGCAGTGTTCTGCATTTTATTGCCTTTTTCCAGCTACGCGTGACCAAGCCGCTTACGCTGCTCTTCGATGCCATGGGCAACAAAGCCCTGCTGGCGGAGATCAACAAAGAGCTGCCCTACATTCTGCCAGGCCCTGACTTAGTCCTGCAGCAGCAGCGCACAGATTTCCTCTGCCGCGTCGTGTCTGTCACCATGGATCTGATCAGGGAGGATCTCCAGCAGCTGTACATACTGGATCATGTCTACTACATGGCCAAGATTTGCACGCTGGCCGACAGCTGGGAGTTGGATAAGCTACCGATATTGAGGCGACAGGTGAGCCTTGAATCATCTCTGTCTGCACCCACATACCGAACACCTTCTTGAACAGATTGTGGAACTTTATGCATTTGGCTATGATGCCGAAGCCCAGACGCTGCTCCAGGATATCAGCGAGGACGAGGAACTGGGAAGACTACTGTTAGAAATAGCCGGCAGACGGCTCAATCTGTATGCCGAGAGCTCCCAGTCCACCTTTCTCAAGATAGCCTCTGTGGGTCATCAACTGCTGGGCTACTTGGATAACCTGGTAAGTGCTGCCAGCGTTTACCACCCACAGAACTGATCCGTCCCCGTTCTCACCGTCCCGCAGAAGGAACCCCTAACCGAGCATAGCATACCGATTACTGCCACCAAGCCGGAAGACATCGATGTGGTAGCGTTGGACAAGCTGCTGGGCCACACTTACAAGTGCCTGTGTCGACGCGAGTGCAAGCAGCTGCCCATCATCGGCCAGATGTACAATGCTGTACGCATCTTGCAGAATTAAATGCTTAAGGCAACAGAAAGGAACACTTTAATTTAACCACCAAATCATTGAGCAGCAATACCCCCAAAAATATATATGATTTTATCCATTGACAGAGACACGAGACGAGACTACTCAGATTGCTGGCTGGGACTGGGACCAGGACCCATGTCGCCGCGAGTCTTGGCCATGCGCATATTTCGTGGGTCGTTGGGCCTCACATTGCGACGCGGCGGCTGCTTGATATTCAGAGCCGATCCACTCAAGTCCACCTTGCCCTCGACGGGCACATAATGATCCATGTAGTTCTCGCCCGCAACGCGACTTATCACAGCTGGCGTGGGCAGACGTTCGAGCATTTCAGTGTGATGGACCTTAAGATGCGTGTAGACAGCAATGTAGCTCTGAGTGGTGTCCACATCGATGCGCTGATCCATGACACTTTTACCGGGCAGCGTGAAGTGCTTGCCCAGAATGGGTTCTTTGAGGGGCTTATCGAAGATTTTCTTTAGATCATAGCCATCGTCCGTCTGGGCGGTCTCCTCATCGCGATCCTCGGGTGCCTTGACCTCGGCTCGCTTAGCGGGTCGATCCATCTGGACGCCGGAGATCACCTTAAGTGTAGTTGAGCTGGCCACCTTTTTGATGTCCGGTGGCAGGCGATAGACCTGATTCTCACTCCCAGCACGCTCGAAGGGTGAAAGCTTGGACCAAGGCAGAACTGTGCCCAGGGTGCCCAAGTAGCGGCCTCCCTGTGTCCACAGGCGACAGGAGTAATCGTGGCTGCCCCTGAAAGTGGACGATTAATGGCGGATTTCGCCACACACAATCTTTATTGCTACAAAACTTACGAAAACACAATCTTTGGCAGATTAATAAAGGCTATCGAATTGATTGCCTTGAGATGAGCCTTGTAGGAGCTGACCAGCAGCGGTTCACGCTGATGGCGCACCACCCTCTTGGCCCGTGTGACCCAGAACTCCTTTCTCATGAATATAAACTCCAGCCGCAGCCTGGGCATGCACACGTGCACCTTCTCCGCTTCCGGCACGCTAGAATGAGATATGTTACGAGACAGGTTGTACTAGGTTAGTGGTTCGTCGGGCTTCGACTAATCAGGCAAACATCGTTCATGGCAACAAGTGAGCCTCACTAGGTAGTCGCGAGTGCCTTCTCCGACCAGTTATGAGTTATTTATTATATGTACAGAAGAAACTTTGCTTTTGGCAATTGGGGGAACTTTGTTGAGACACGCAAGACACAAGACAAGCCAACCGAGGAGGAAGTTGGTTTCTTGTGGGTGGAATTCGTTTTGATGAACGTGCAGGATAATGAGGAATGTCGTTAGAGGTAGTTTCGTGTGGTTTCTTAATGGCCTGAGGATTGCTTTTATGGCGGATACAGTAGGTGCTCTGATAAGGAGACGCGAGTGGGAAAAGTAATGGAGTATTATCAATTCTAAATCATCGGGGGGGAATCTTTTGGAATTTGGGATGCAGCCCAACATCAAAAGGCCTAATCAGAGCAAGACTCGAGTCGAGCACACGACAGGTATGATATTTTTTTAATTCTCGGGAATTCTCCTGTCAAGTATCTACATATGCATGTTTGTGCTGCGATGTGTGAGAGATGGGCCCTGTTGGGACGCGTCAAATCTTGGTCCCGTCAAAGGGGTTTAGCTTGAAATATACCCAAAGTCTTTTAATCCAACACTCACCAGTAGTTGACTATATGCCAGACCTTGATATAGCCAAAGGCTGTGCCCGTGTAGATGTAACGATTCTTGCGATCAGTGCACATGGTAAGGACACAGTCTCCGGTCTTGTGGACGGACAAAAACTGACTCATGTAGCCACCGCGGGAATGATGGGAATATACCTGAATATAGCCAGTGTCCAGGGAGATAAACACACTGCCTGGATGAAATAAAAGGAAGTTCCAGCAATAAAAATAATTGCGATATGGTGTGCACTTTACCATGTTGTATGGTCTGGGGTCGAGTCTGCAGGAATAGAACGGCCTGAACGGAGATGGGTACGTTCTGGCCATAGTCTCGGCCATCGTCTGCCTTGGGCATAGTAATGGCGGTCGCTCGACTCATGCGACTGGAGCCCAAACGAGACATCAATCGCTTGCTTCGGCGCATTAACTTCTCTTCTTCGGGCGTGAGTTTCAGCTCAATGAAGCGTGTGGGATCCATGACGCTATACCTTCGGTAGGGCTGGCCAGTCTCCAGCTTCCAGAATATAACCTCGCCAGAGTAGGTGGCAGTGACCACGCCCTCCCCCAGCTTGACATCGGCACAGGTGATGTCGTCGGTGTGGAACTTGGACCACTTCTTGGGATCCCCGTACTCGCGGCCCTCCACATCATTGAATTCGGTTACCTGACGATCCCAACCCATGGCCAGAATACTACGGGTCCGAGACATTTGAGAAGTAAGTATGTATGTATGCCTGCCAGAGTCAAACACCTACCGATCCACCACCCAAATGACTGAAGTCACCTCCTGGTCCGGCATGATGCTCATGTTTCGCACCACCACCGCGTTATTGTAGTTCCAGATCTTCAGGGTACCGTCGCGAGCGCCCGTGAGGAGGAACTGCTCGAGTGGATCGAAGGTGGCGGCCGTAATCTCAATGTCAATTATTTCGCCGTAGATCATTTTCGTGTGGCAGTTCTTCATGATGATCTTGCGCCGTCCACTCCAAGGATCCCACACAATGATGTAGCTGTCGAGGCCACAGGTGACGATATTCCGAAACAGACGATTGTACAGGACCACGGACACGGGTGCCGCATGGGTGTTGCCATCAGTTAGATCTACTCTCACGCGTGGACAGCACTTGATGGAGATTAGCTTGCGTCCGGCCACAATGAGCTCGCGCAAATGCGAGTGATAGAAGTAGGTCATATCCGTCTCGCTGGGATGTATGAGGCGCACCAGCTCGCCGTAGGTCTGGAGCAGTGTGTGCTCTTGGAGATCCCACACTTTAATGATCTTCTGGTAGTCCACGCTGTACACCTTGTTCTCCTCCGGCTGCACAAATACCATGACAATGCCACCATTGTGGCCGGTGAGGATTGCCGACGGCTCTGTGGGTATATAGACATCCCAGATCCTAACGAACGTATCGGGTCCCCCAGTGACGACAATGTTATGGCTCTCTGCCACAAAGAAGGTGGAAACACCCAAAGGTACACGAAAATTGCTCCGCTCATCGTATGTGACCATGATCATGCCCGGACACCGTCCGCGATACTTTTTTGTGTTCCTGTACTCCGCAGTGGCGAACAAGGCGTTCATGTGGAGGGAATAGTGGACACAGCTGATCATCTCGTTATGCAGATTGATGTACTCCTTGGGTATCATCTGGGGTATCTTGCCCTTTAGCACGTCCGCCCAGACCACCTCGATCAGGGCAGCTCCCGGCTTGGCCTGGAACGGACCGCGCAGGTTCGGCGAGTATGAGAGAATCCTCACGTTGCCAGCATAATCCCCGAGTACCAGCTTCGAGTGTACCTTGCCGTTGTTGTAGAAGGCATAACTCATGCAGTAGACTGCGTGGGGCATGCTACGGATGACCATTCGGAGTGTGAAGGTCGAGGCGATGGTCTCGTGGAAGCGCAGCTCCCGCTCTGTGGAAGAAGTGCAGACTATGCTGACATCCGAGAGAGCCTGTACAGCCAGTATCCAAGTGGGCATCTTCAGGTGGACTGAGACAAGAGAGGGTTACGGTACCCCTGGATCGAGAACCAAGGCTTACTGCTCTACTTACTGCTCTCCGAGGTTGCTGTTCGAATGGGCTCCATGTGGGAGGTCCAAAAGCGCAGCATGCCCTCGTGACTGGCCGTCACCCACATGCCAGAGGCTTCGGGGGAGTCTTCACCGCCAAAGGAGAAGTTTACCGTCTCGGTGACCTCCTCGATGGGCACCTGATCGGACTTGGCCTTGAGCAGGGCCACACAGCACACAGTCGATCGGTGCTCCGTTTTCCGCACAGAAGGTGCCACCGAAATGGGCAGGATCAACGACTCCTTTTGGCTGCTGGGATCCTCCTCTTGGAAGCCGAAGATCAGATACGAGACGAACTCGTTCCAATCGACCATAAAGTCCCTATTCTGATTGATCTTCAAAAAGAGCCGGTTGTACACCGCATCGTTGAAGGTGATATCCTGTTCCAGCAAAAGGCCTCGTAGGTCATCGAAGCCGACCTGTGAATCAGGACGTTCATTGAAGGCCTGATTCAGCTTCTCGAGCTGCTCCTTGGATATCAGATTATGTAGACGCTCTGACTGCTCTTCCGCCAGATAGGTCTGAGTCGAGGAGATCGTCTGGTATTCGATCTCCGTTTTGCTATCCTGACTGGCATTGAAGATCATCGACATTTTGCTCACAAAACTATATATAGTTGTTCAATTGATTGAAAAATGTGTATTATCGGACTTAGATATAGAATATAGTATTATAGACTGAACAATCACTTAAAAGTCTACTAGATTGGGGGATTCTAGAGGCAGCGGGCAACCAGTTCGTTGATGGCATTTCCACGATAGCCATACTCCCCGCCGCGTTTGTATGAAACCGAGACCTTTTTTTGCCAGCCATTGCGGGGACTTGACATCTGCGAAGAGAATCGGAATCGTGGAATAAGGAAATTGCTAAGAATTCGCATACGAAACCTACCGTAAAGGCACACAGGAATTGTGTAACAGCAGCAAAATTGGGTCCAACTGTGCAAATTTCATGGATGATATCCTCCAGGCATATGACACCCTTCTCGCCCAGATGCTCCTCCACCATGGTGTTCGACTGTATGGCCGTCTTCTTGCCGTCGATGCGGGCAAAGCCCTTTTTGAACACCAGCTCGCGTATTGTGCTCAATGATGGATTACCGTACGCCACAAAGGGTTCGATCACGCGCAGCAACAGTTGGTTCTCCTTGGTGTTCTCCAGGAATACGGCATTGTGACGTTGGCCCATGCGCAGCGTTTTGAATATGTCCGTTGTGGTCTTGTCGAAGATTTTCTTGCCCGCATGGCGCATCACAAACAGCAGTTTGGGGTTTGAATCATCGGCGGCCGCCGCACTCTGTTCGGTTACGTTCGTCTTTAGGATTGTTTGCCTGATCCGGTTTGAGGTACGTTCCGCCTTCAGATAGCCCATGACAAAGGATTCGGCGCGACGGAATTTGTGATGCGTCTTGGTCTTCTGTCTGCGTTTAATGCGATCATTTTTCTTCTGTTCAATGACAGCCTGATCTTGCAGAATACGTCGCTTCCGATGCTTCAGCACGGAGACGGTTTTTCCGGGTAATTTGTTGGGCACGGCGTATCTAGTTAGTGTAATTATATTGTGTTGGATTGAATAAGCAATTGAATATAGTTTTCATTAGCCTTACTTGTCCGACATCTTTGTACTTTTTATTTTAATAAACGAAATCAGAAAAAACACGTGCAGCGCAATCAAAACAATAACTAAAAGGAATCGAATCGTTATCGAATCAGCTGTGTCTACGTTACGTGGGGAATGACAAAACGAAATCACATTTTATTTTTCAAAATAGTTTAACTAATAACAGAAAACACATCCAATTTCTTAGCCATTTCGATTTGATATATACAGATAGTTTTTAAATTTATTGAACTCGTAATTTAGTCGTTTAACTTGAATCAGCTGTGTCTACGTTGCACAGAGAATGCCACTTAAGCGGGAATTCAATTTTCATTTCGCAAACAAATATTTTTGATTATAACAAATACTTAAACCAATAAAATAACTAAAGATTTTGGTGAATATATTGCATTTTCTGAATGTATTTTATCTTAATAAAAATATCAGACTGACCCCAGCTGATTGAAAAAAGTGTAAACATGTGGCATACATATTCCGGTTTTGAGCACTCTCTGTTTTTGGCCCCCAAAACTTGCTACCCACGTTCTCTCAAATGACGCTCACATTCATTCTCTGGGCTCTCTATATATGTACTATAATTTACGCTGGGGTGGAAATGCGTCAACATTAATATGAAAATGCCGGTCTCGATGCCAACGCACAGTCTCAACCCGCACTTGGAGCCGATTTGTGTGTCCGCACCACGCAGTGTTTGCATTTCGTGAGGTATAAAATTGCAATTTATGGTAGAGCCGACACTAAACCCCGCGACGCGAGAGATAAAACCAAATAATCAACTAAACTGCATTCCACACGTTGACACACAAAAATAGAAGAAAAAGGTGTACAAGTGCGCAGAAATATTGCAATAATTTTCACTGCCACGCGACTGTGTTTATGGCGGAGGGAACGATTTGTTTGTATTGCACTGGAATGGGTATGACGAAACCGTGAAAATTAGCACGAGGTACGAGGCGGCGCCACCTCGAAAAGAACTCCTCTGACGTACCATAGTGCCGACGCTCGCCTTGCGACACTTTCAACTTTAAATCATAATTGTGTGTCTGTCGAGTGATAATGGAGTGATGTGGAAACATCGCTGTACTTATAGAGAGATTAGTTTGGGTGCCAACGCAGCAGAGATCTACTTGAGGTTCAATGTGTCTGCGATTGACGGGGGGAGCAACGACCAACAGGTTGTAGTATCTCTGTGCAATAGATTGTTTACAATTGGCTAGGTTTCGCTTTCGCCCAGCACGTGAGGTGTCTCCCCTTGATAATAATAGATTCCCCTAAATAGATTTGCATCTTTTAAACACACACTTCCTCTTGTGCATTCCTTTCCTTTCCAGTGGCAATGCCAACTATTGCGCATTAAAGACAAACTATATCCGTACACATAATGACTGAACGATATGCGAATGGTGTGACCACCAGCTTGGTGGACTCCTCCGAAGGTGCACCCAAGGAAACCCCCGAATCGGATGGAAAGATCGTACTGAAACGGAAGCTAACTCTGCTCAATGGAGTGGCCATCATTGTGGGCACCATTATAGGATCTGGCATATTCATCGCACCCACTGGAGTCTTTCTATATACAGAGTGAGTAAGCTGCCAGGGCATCATCCCATCTGCATATTTACATATGCATCTCTTTATGCATAAGTATCATCCTTAATTTAATTTATTCACAAAAAGGTCAATTAATGCTATAATAAATTCTTTTTGGCACCAATTAAGTGGAATTTATTAGTACCCGATTTTCCCTTGAGTTGATTGTTAAAGCCCGCCCTCCCTTCGTTTGTGAAGAAATTCTTTCAAAATATTGCGTCAGCTTTCAAGTCGATTTCTCTCCAATTACAAGATTGCCAACAACGAATCGCTCCTATGCCAAAAACTATGGATATCATGTATGCATAAGGTGCTTGACGAAACTATAAAGAAGTTCGTTGGAATCATGAAAACTAAAATAATAAAAGCCAAGTGTAATAATATTATCTTTGAATTTCTTATTACTGACTAAATAGTAGTTGTATGCCATTTTATCAGCTCTATCTGTCGCGATAATAAAGTGTTTTTATTAGGCGTTATTCAAGATAAGACTGTTTAATCCAGTTGTTTTAGTCACCGCAGAGATACATACCAGTCGTCTTTTTGGGAAAATCGAATGCTTTTGTCTAGTCAATAAAAATCCACTTCGAAAGTAATCAAAAAGCTCCATGTACTGCCAGTTAACCCAACTTAATCTATTGGTACACGCTTATCTTTCAAGTTATATCATCTATGGCTGGTCGTACTCTTAAATTAAACAATCTAATTTTATGTTTAAGGTTTGGCACGAAAATCTAACAGATTTAGACAGATTTTAACTAAAGAAGGCATTCAACAACAAAAAGTAATATTAGAGGCCAAGACTCCTACTATCCGAGGTTCTTTAAAAACTAGGATATCTTAACATTTTATAACTCTAACCTCTTCCGTCTCAAAAGCTCCTGAAAAGACCCCCTGTTCTAGTAGATAAAATCATAAAGAACATTGCCAGTTAGTGCAGAAAAACAAATGCTGGCTCAAATTTAAGGGGAACATTTAAATTGCTGAATGAACATAAACTCTGTTAGATATGAACGGCATGTGTGTGTAGGAGGAATGTCATAGACAAAAGGTGTTTGATGTGGATTTATTTGTGGGAGTTCTCCATCTCGAAATGGGGGTTGCGTATCTGTTCGTTGTGATGGGGCAGATTCAAGTAGTCCTCGAAACCGAAAGTGTGAATGCGGCCAGTCAGTATGTCGTCCATTAAGTAGCTGGGCGACATATGGGAGGGATGACCCACACGGTTAGCTATGGTGCGATCCATCTGCATCGTAAGTGCCATACCAGTGCCATAGGTATTCAACACATCACACAACTCGGCCTTGTACTGATTCTGGCGAAAGTTCTCCTCACTACGACGCAAATTATCCAGTTTGGGAACCGCTGGGAAGAAGCTACCAATCGAATTGACTTTATTAACATCCTCTTGGTTGAGGTGACCAGATATGTTTTGTTTCTTCGACATGGCTAAGAAGGATACAATTATTACGAAAATTTTCGTAATAGTAGCTTGTAGACAATTCCAAGGGTTGGAAGGAATTAAGTTATTCAAAGGGTGTTATTGAATGAGAAACAAAAAATTCAATGATAGATCGATTTCATTAGTAATAGTTTGATGATTTTCAAACTGCATTCGATTCTTTCTTCATTCTTTAGTTGAGAGAGAATATCTTTACATACATTTCCATTTCCGTGGTATATTCTAGATGAAGGAACTACTTATAGTACTTTTATCTCTCCTTCTGATGGTCTATTTTCACATTTTATACATTTATTTATTGCGTTCTCAGATCCGTTGGAACTTCCCTGTTGATTTGGTCGGCTTGTGGAATTTTGTCCACAATTGGAGCCCTCTGTTATGCGGAGTTGGGTACAAGCATTATGAGATCTGGTGGAGACTATGCATATTTGCTGGTTTGCTTTGGTCCTTTGGTTGGATTCCTACGCCTCTGGATAGCTTTGCTGATCATCCGGCCAACGACGCAGGTCAGTAAGGGCTGCCTGGTGGGCGGGGGGCCAATCAATTGAATTATAGAATGTTTACTATTTCTCTTAATTGATGGATTGCCATTTGAATTGGTTGTTGATGCACAACAAATATATAAATTTATTAAGTGGCGGCAACCTTCGACCAGAATTGAATTCAATTAAGTGAATAACTTTCTCCAACGAAACAAAAGTGGAAAGCTGGATTAAACATGTATTTTTGGGTTAATGTTCTTCTTACATTATTGATTTTCCTTTACAGACCATTGTAGCTCTTACTTTTGCCCATTATGCCGCCAAACCCTTCTTTGAGGACTGCGATCCACCTCAGAACTCGGTCAAGCTTCTGGCAGCGGTGTGCCTGAGTGAGTAAAGTCCTCCAATGACATAAAAAATTACATTAAAGATACATATTCTCCCCCTTTACAGCTTTGCTCACTGCCATTAATTGTTTGTCCGTCAAGGTCTCAATGAAAGTCCAGGATGTCTTTACAGTGGGCAAGCTGCTGGCTCTCATCATGATAATAATTGCTGGTATCTACTACATGGCCATCGGCAAGCTGGAGAATTTTAGTAATCCTTGGGAGGGCACTTATAGTGCTCGGAATATTGGCTATGCCTTCTACTCTGGCTTATTTGCCTTCGGCGGATGGAATTACTTGAACTTTGTAACAGAGGAGCTGCAGGATCCATACAAGTGAGTAGGGTAGGGACCGGGCCTGTCAGCAAGACAAATGGATGCGGCGATGGCTGGGGGATGCCTTTTGCGTCATGCGCAAGCCCGCAACAAGTGGTAACTTGTTGAGTGTCCTTGATGTCATGAATAGATATGGGGTTGTAACTGGGGTAGGGTAGGATGCTGCTGGCTGGCTCCCTAATGAATTCAATTTACGCTTGAAACACTCCCAATCAATTTAAGTGCTGGGGTTGCTTGCTTCTCCCTTCGCTAAAAGCACGTTTCTGACATTCCTGTCCGTGTATTTTCAGAAATCTTCCACGGGCCATTTGGATAGCCATGCCCCTGGTCACGGCCATCTATGTTCTCGTGAATTTGGCCTATTTTGTTGTGGTTAACAAGCCGGAAATGCTCAGTTCTTTGGCCGTAGCGGTGACTTTTGGCAACAAGGTCTTTGGACCCCTGGCCTTTATGGTACCAATCTTTGTGGCACTCAGCACCTTTGGCGGCGTCAATGGCGTGCTGTTCACATCGGCACGACTCTTTGCAACTGGTGCCCAGGAGGGACATTTACCAAAGTTTTTCCAGCTCTTCCATGTGAAGCAACAGACACCAATACCGTCGTTAATTTTCACCGTAGGCTGTGTTGAATATTTGTTAATGTAATTATTAAAACTTAAGCATTATTTCGCCTTCTGTTTAGTGCCTGATGTCGCTGCTTATGCTCTTGACGGATAATGTCTACCAGTTGATCAACTATTTCAGCTCTGTGCTCTGGCTATCTGTCGTCGCCAGCATAGCAGGCATGTTGTGGCTGCGGCACAAGAAGTTTGTATTCCTTACATATGTATCATACAGCCCTTATAAATGCTGAATATTTGTGTATCTTTCAGGCCGGATTTGCCACGACCAATTAAAGTACATCTGGTCTTGCCCATCACCTTTATGGTCTGCTGTGTGACATTGGTGCTACTGCCCAATTTCGAGGAGCCCGGGAATCTGCTCATTGGCATTGCCATCACTCTCGCCGGCATTCCGTTTTATTATGTATTTATAGCCTGGAAGCAGAAGCCCAAGTGCTATGGCCGCCTGTCCAGTGCTGTGGTGGAGCTCTGTCGCGGCATGTTCAACACGACCATCATAGAATCGAATGAGGCCATAAACTAGGACCAATTTTCCCCCAACAAGAAAAAAAAACTCATGTATCGGCTAAAACCTAATGATGCTTTTAGTTTAAAAAGACAAATGATATTCAGAGTAGCTATCCGAGCTGTTTGCCTTTAGCCTGCATTCTCTTTGTGATCGGCCAACCCCCATGTGTATGATATTTGTGCTTAGAAACTGGCATTCCTCACATCGAAATCGGTATCGTTTATAATTGTTTAGTTTATACACACATACATTTAGTTTCCCCATAATACGTATATTTATTTTAGCAAGCTCCACAGTTAACATATTTTTTCTCCGTATATGTTATACGAGTATAGCCCCGAAGGCCTTCCTCAGTAGAACGCATTTTATAATTTCTTCCTGATGCCACATTCCTTATTTGAATATACGTCAGGAAGTACTGCTTTTTATGGGAGCAAACTGCATGCATACTCGTATTGTGACATGTTTAGGGAACAAAACAACGGGCACTTTCTGGCCACAAATTTGTAAACGTTTTTGCTGATAAATGTTGCTATTTTAAATGCTAAATGTCTCCTTAATGAACTCCATCTAATGTGCAATCTTGCGACGATTCCAATCAATGGCTGTCTCTACAATGGTGGTGCCTCGTATGAAGTCAACCGCCACAATGTTGGAATTTTCGCCCAGCTCATCCCGATACAGCTGCGATATACGCCAATTGATAGAGTCGGCCATTTTACGGAGTCCGCCGTGCTTATCGAGTATGACATCCCAGGTTTCCGGCGTCAACTCGGCCATATCTGCCACCAGGCGACTCGAGAAGCGTCTGCTCAAGAGAAGAACAATCCATAAGTAATTGGTAATTATCAATTTTCTCTTACACTTACGACACATCAAAGTCATTGATGTTGCGCAAATAGGTCTCGAGACGCGGCCAGGTCTGTACGTTGCCCCAACGCTGTTCCACGGCTCCAAACAGCAGCTGGGGAAACTCCTCCACAATGGCATGCTTGTCGTAGGCCAGGATCACATTCTGTTGCCTGGACCAAATGTCGCGCAGGGAGGCGCGCCACGTCAGTGAGGGATGTGCAATCAGATCCTGGAACTGTTCGCGCAGATAGCTGACCAGCAGCCGATGGACGCCCAAGCTCTTGCCGAAGCCTAAAAAACAATACGGGACTCTAAGCAAAAATTAAGAGGGGGAAAGATGATGCCACATTACCCACTGGAAACTCCTTGAGTCCGAAAATGACAATCTCATTGGTTTCATGGACAAAATCCTTGACCTGATTGATGACTTCCTGCAGCGGACGCTGCTTGGTGATGCCATGATAGATGAAGAACTTCTCCTGGGATGCTCGATAGTAGCCGACGCGTATATCCAGATATCGAACTCCATGCATTAGCTGTCCCATTATGTCATCGTCCTGGGTGAGGGCATATTTGGTCACTAGACTCTCGCGTATCAGTGGATCGAAATTGGGGCGATACGAGCCGGAATCATGGGTGCCCGGTATGAAGAGATCCCGCAGCCGCAGCTCACCCACCACCGAACGCAGCTCGTTCATCCAGCGGGGGTAGGCCCTCACACAGGTCTTGGCTAGAATGCGTCCCTCCGCATTGATGTAACTGGCCCAGTAGCCATAGCAGAAGGTCTGGGCGGTCACATTACGCGACAGCGCATAGTCGAAGGGCACTCCCGTGGTGAACCACTGGGTGGAGAGGCTTGGCTGAATGGCGGCCACAATTTCGGCAGTACCCTCGTTGGCCACCCAGTACTGGCGCGACGACGGCGGCTTGGTCGACTTAGCCAGCGAAGTAAGCGGCTTCCTTGTGAATCCCTGGACAGGAACATAGTCGGCAGCCCCATCGCCGGATCCACTGCCTTCGTCAGAGGCAAAGGAAGCCAAAGGCGTTCCCGTTGGCAGTGTACGCAGCTCGAAGCTGTGCGGATCCTGGACTGTCAGGAGGACATTGTCTCCCATTCTGGCGGGGGCATTCTTCCAGGAGATCTCCAGAAAACGCTTGCGCGCATTGATTGTCAGCCAGAGCTTCAGTCTATGACCATCGTCATCGGTCCGGGCCGCTTTGATTGTCTGCACCTCTGGCAGACCGGCAGTGGCAGGCCCTGTCAGGGCCAGGATGAATATAATCGTTTGAAGGAACATCTTCTGTGCACAGCTGACGATCCCTGTCAGTCTTAATCTTTGATTGAATTAATGCTGATTTGCTCTGATTGCGTTCCGCGTTAATCAGCGGGCGACGGCAGTGGGAATCTGAATCGTGACGCGATACGAGAGATCAACTGCTCGCAACACCAGACTTAAGCGTTATGATCGGAATCAGCCAGCCCCATCATCATCATCAGCCTCTTCTTGCTTGCTTGGGTGTTGGGTGCCCCTATAAGTACATGTGCAAGCAAGTCGTCCGTCCGGTATACAAACAATTGGAATCCAACGCGATACGATAGCTTAGTGAGAAGCGTAAATAGACTTCCTCTACGAGTATGTTTATGTTGGGATTTCCAGTAATTAAAGGTTAGACTTTCTATACGATATGATCACATCCAATTAGTCTAATCCGACAATCAATATAGAATCTGCATGCAATTCGAGTTGAAATCGCAACGAGACTGTTTTTTATTGTTTGCGTAAATGGAACAACAATTGACTACAATCTGATAAAACTCCCGACAATGGCTGCGAGAAATTCTCAAGAATGTATCACCTTATTTATTCGTGCTCGTTTTTAATTGGCAGTGTAAGATTTGTTTACAAAAATGGAAACCAAAACAATAGAAACGTTGCCCTCTAATAAACGTATTTTAAATAAACACCGCACATAAGCGGGATCCGTGGAGAGGTCTTTCAAAGACCAGTTTGGCTTTTCAACTGAAACCCATGCCTCGAGATGTCCAAGAGCTTATTTAACCGGGTTCTTTTGATGAAAAACTTTCTGTTTGTGTGTTTTATTTAAAATGCTAATTTTAAATGCATCTTTTAAGGTGTAAAAACTGGAATTTTTAATTTGTAATGGTTCATTTCCATTTATGAAACCGAAAGATAAACCAGTTTAATTTAACGGACACCTAAATAATGCGTTACTACGTATTACATGGTATTTTTGATCTTCCCAGCCCCTGGTCACATTGCGCTGCTCAGCTGTTGCGATACAAACAAAACAAACAATTTTTATTGCGAAAACATCTAAATTTTTGTTTTATAAAATGCTACTGGCACCAGCTGTCCAATCTCTGCCCACCCTACACCAGCCGCTCCACTCGAAAGTATCCAATTACCTCAACAATCAGCGACGCACGGGCCAGTTCTGTGATTTGCTGCTGGAATTGGATTCGGACGAGGCGTTGAGCCTCAGCGTGCACTTTTGTGTCCTGGCCGCTCAGAGTAAGCTCATTGGCACCAACCAAAAGCAGCAGCAGTTCTCCATACACAATCCGCTGAAGATAACCATTCGCAATTTCGCCTGCACTCAATGCCTGCACACAATTGTGGACTTTTTTTACGAGGACATTGTGTCCGTTTCCAAGGAGCATGAGGAGCATTTCCGGGAGCTGGCTAAGATATTGGCCGTGACGGAGCTCTTAAACTTGTACCAGATGCAGCCCGTGGACGAGGTTAGAGACACATGCGAGGCGACGACCTCCGGAGAGGCTGAGGTAAACCTGGAAACCACAAAGAAACCCGAAGATCTATTTGAGAATCAACAGAGCTTCTTCAAGGTATGCTGTGGAGCTTGTTGTTATTATCTTTTATTCATTAAATTTCTCTGGTTTTGTAGCTGAAGAATCCCCGGGCAGTAAAATCCAGCAGCAAGGTTAACTATTGTATTGGCTGTGACTTCAAATGCTACCAAGTGCAGAAGATGATTGAGCACATGAGCAGCTGTGAGCCCTCGCATCTAACCTGTTCCCTGTGCGAGGTCGGCTTCCTGGACTGGCGAGAGCATGACAAGCATCTTCGCCGCCACTCTGGAGATCTGCGCAAGCCCTTCTTTTGCCTAGAATGCGGGATTCACTTTACCACCAGAGCTGCTCTCCTGGTACACCAGCCCAAGCACTCTACGGAAACGCCGCACATCTGTCCGCACTGTGGGAAGGGCTTCAAGTGGAAACAGGGCCTGAGTAATCACATTTTAGTCCACAATCCGGAGAAGCAAATGCTCTGCGATGTGTGCGGCTATAGCACCACCCATATGAAGGCACTCAAGTCGCACAAATTGCTCCACACGGGCGAATTCTTCGCCTGCACCGTGTCGGGCTGTAAGCATCGGGCCAATCGCAAGGAGAACTTGAAGCTGCACATAGAGACGCATAAGCAGGGACGGGACTTTATTTGCGAAATATGCGGATGCAAGTTTAGCCAGAGCAAGAACCTCAAGCGACATGCTCTCAAGCACACGGAAAACGGGCTGAATCGCTACAAATGCCAGCTGTGTGGCTTTAGTAGTCATCGATCCGACAAGATGAAAGAGCATGTGCAGCGTGTGCACACCGAGAAGGCGGTGCAGCTGGAACTGTCCGAATCAGTGGATAGTTCATTTGAGAACAAAATGCCAGATGATTTCGACCTCCCCATGATCGAAGACACTCTGCCGCCGGGCAAAAAGAAGCAAAGAGAACCCAAAGGTTCCCGCAAGCAGACGGAAGAAAACACTTCATCAAGCCAGAAGCGCCTGAAAACGCTGCTCCCCAAAGAAAGTTTCAAATAGGATAGCGCCTAAATTGAAAAGTCAAACTGATTGATGATATTCTGTGAAAGGTTATACACTCTACAATGTAGACTCAATACAATGTAAGGGGAATGCTTTCTTATCGAGGAATGCGATAACGATTCCGTTCTATTGCGTTGTTTCTCTCAAAGCAGGTGGAACTCCACGGCATCTGCTACCTCAAGTGACTAATGAACCATAACCAGAGCAATAGTTGACAGCACTATCTTATCAGACCGAAGGAGGGATCCGTACGTAACCAGTGTTGTTCATAAAAAACAATTAGAGCAAAACCAATTAAAAGCTTTATATCAAAATAAACAAAAATGGATTGGAGTGAGAGAGAACTGGGTCAGCGGATCGGGTTCTGACAAGCCCACTTCTATATGTAGATATGTGCATACGATCACGTTTCCCGATCAAAGTCAAAAATAGTATTTGAAATGTAACGGAACGTTTCCGACGATGATGCAATTTGAATGCACCCTCGGGGTCACATGAGGGCGGACCAAGGTGGGTGGCAAGCGAAAAGTTTATATAACAACCGCTTGCTCGGCCCTACCTGCCCCTCCAGCTGTTTGAAAACGTGTATATTATGAGAATATTCTGAAATAATTTAAATAAATGGACAAGGCAAAAAAAATATGTTTGGCGTTGTGTGTTTTTTTGTTTACCGCGCACTTTGTAAATAAAGCAACAACAATTTAATTGCGCAGCAAAAATTGTGAAAAGCTTTGCTCGTTACTCTCTTTGGCTGAGAGAGTGAGAGAGAGTGTTTACCTGTGATAGTGCTGCCATACTGTTGAAGAATATTTTTCAGATTTGAAAAAGCTGAAATGTGCATTTTATCACCAAATATAATAAATATCTTAAGACATCTTTTATGTAGACTTTCTTTTCAATCGAAACTATTCCATTAAATGTATTATATGGCTTTTTTGAGACCACAAAACTCATTTTTCGCAGACAGTCTGGCAACTTCACGTGAGAACATTTGACAAAACTCTCTGACCGTTTAAAAGTTTCTTGGAGCCTTTGACATATCGCTCTCTGTCAGCTCGAAAAGCTTCTTGGTGTATATAAAGGTCCGCCAAAGCACTAAAAAGTTCAATATCTGTATCGAGGGGAAAGTTTCACAGTGAAAAATTCGTCCAGAGTTGCAGCCAAAAGGCCACAGCAAAGAAAAACAACAAAAAAGCGCAATATACTGCAATTGTTTTAGTCAAATTTAAAGAAAAAGCAAACAACCATGTCCGAGTCGCATTTTGATGAGTACGAGCACTACAACTTCGACTATGATAAGCACATTTTCTCTGGCCACGGCGGCAAGCAGCGCTCCAAGAAGGAGGCCAGTGTGCACACCAACCACTTCGACCCCTCCGGTCACTCCAGAAAAATCCTAACCAAACTGATGAACACCAACACCAACAACATTAAGAAGGCCTGCAAAAACTGATGCAGGGCTGCCGCTAACGCGGAATCAAAGAAAGGAAAGGAGTTGAAGAGAGTAGAAAACGAAGAAATAATCGAATTTAAGTTACTAAAAGGCAAACGAGAAGAAAAGGCAACAAGAAGAAATTGAAAATCAAAGCAGCGCAGCGGGCTGTGTCGCAGTTGCGTTTGGTGAAAGAAAAGAGAGTGGAACGCAACAGCCACTGGAAATAAAAGCATTGCATTTCCGTGAAGCATGCGAAGCAGCGGAAAAATTTTGTGAAAATTATAATAATTTTATTTGCTTATAACTTCACAAACAAAAAAAGATTATTCTTAGCTTAAACTATTTGCTAAACTTAATTCAGACTTACAATTTCTAGTTAATAAGCTATAGTGAGTTTCACATTATGAAGTTTGATTTAGATATTACATTTACAATAAAGAGAAACACAATACTGAATTTATTGCATTTTTGCTAAAGAAGTTTCCAGAAACCCACACAACATCGATTCGCCCAGGTGTTGCATTTGTATTGTGTGTTTGTTTGCCGAGAACTTTCCAGAATTTGGAATCAACGCTCTCCCAGGTGGTGTTTGTATTCATGCTAATACACACATGTATGAATACATACATGTACATATGCAGAAGGTGTATTAACCAAATGTGGAGGCATCACCTTGTATTTGGTTTCCCACTCTCGCATCGCATATTACATATAGACACACAAAAACAACATGAGCTAAAAAGTTACAGGCGACCCACCAACTACAATGCTCACCTTATATGAATGCACCTTGTCGACGAATATGTTTGTGTATGGTGCGGTGTGTGGTTGCGTCCCACCACGGCCCCCTCCGTGTAGTCGTGAGCGAATGCGTATGATCTGAGTGCATATTTATAGCCTTTTAGTTGAACTCATTTGCACTCAGCTCAGCCGTCTCGTCGATCTTCAAGTATCAGCGACGACCGCCAATGCAATTGTTACACCAAGTGATCTCTTTGTTTTCACTTATCAACGCAACCACTTGCAGTATCACACATACGTAATACATCTGTGCATACGTATGTATGTATTTAGAAATTGCCTTCAAAACGGAAATATTCCCCTGACCATCCATTAAAGTTCATGCTTACACGCGTATGTATGTAATTCTTCCGCCTGAAGCTTACATACGGTAGTAAGAAAGCAACAAAATATGAATGTATGATACTTTATAATGTGTTTATTTACTAAAATGCTTATAAATAAAGCATATAGATTTGTTGTATTTTTTGTTCATAAACCTGTGTATCCCAAAGCCACTTTTCGAGACAGGTCCACTCTAATGGAATTCTCTCGCTCTCTTTGCACAATTTGCCGGCTTTTTATTGCGTTGTTTCTGTTTATATTCGGTATTTGGTAAACAATAAAACAGGCGGCATATCAGGTGGTTTCTCTACATACGTATGTACATATATGTACATATGATGTGCTGAATATTAATATTAATCATCATGAGATACTACCAAGCAATATACTTCAGCTACTTGAATTTCACGATGCATCGCTTTGTTTCAAACAACACCGTATTATTCACGCATTTTTTCCAGAAATCGCTTTTTCTCTGACAGTAAGTTTTAGTTTGAATTAGAGATGCTTGCGTGACCACGACATGACAATATATGTATATGTAAATATATGGTCATACATATGTACATATGTATGTATAGTGTTTTTTTTATAAATGTTTGTACTTAGCTTACTTTATTTATTTGTTGAAAAAGACCATAAGTGTATTTGTCCCATCTTCTAACGGATGCACTTCGGGTCATGTCCAATACCGTAACCTAGGCGCTCGTGAGAAAGAGAAACCAAGATCACGCTGCCATCACCACGTTGTAGTTTTCAAACAAACAATAAATACAAAAAGTGATAGAGCTTTTTTTTGAGGAGAGCCATCTGGATATTATCTCGAGAATTATATATAAACAATTTTGGGGGTAATGAAACTAGTTTGTCGCGTTGCGTTTTCTGCGGTAAAAAAATGACGCATTAGAAATTCAGCACAATCTAGAAGAAAACATTAGAATTGAAATGGCAAACACTACAGTAAAAGCTTTGTTGATTACTTCACACACACAACATTTTCAAGTATAGAAAGATTTCTAAATAATAATTTGTTATATTATGAAACCTTTTATCAATAAAATAAATCTCATTGTATTCGATGGGTTTCAGATCCCCCAAAGAGTTCAAATAAAAGACAATCAATGCCAGATACCAGATACCAGAGGCCTGTCTGGAAGCAGCTTCTAGAAAATACTAGATTTCGGGGGATACTATACTTACTCACTTAAAAGCTAGAATGCCTGTATCAGGTCTTCTAAGCCGAAATCAATACCTCCCGCATTCCTTACACTCGGATCAGCCACTTTTGTGGTACCCAAAGACATCTTGATTGTAGACATGTATCTTTGCCTTAATCAAAGACACACGCTCGTCTTGTAATTATGTTTATGTACATATATGTATGTATACTCTGTTATGCTCTGTTCGTCAATATGTAAACTCCACAAATCGTGCGTGTGCGCGTGCCACACGTCAGACAATGCACCACGACGCGTCATTGGGCGAGAGGCCAAGATCTACTACTCCCATATTCTGTGTCCCATAGAATCCTACGAGTATTGCACACTTTCACCGCGAAAAAAAACGAATTTCTGGTCAACAACAATGTCGGGAATTATGCATCAAAATGAATGGAGATGGACCAAAGACATACTGGATGTTGGGGACATGTTAATTGGTGTGGCACTCGATGGCGAATGAACCGTTAAACGGAAACTGGAGCACTGGCCCAATAACGATGATGCACGCGGCACACGGATTAGCACCTTTCAACGAGATGAAGATGGGGCCCAGCGAAGATGTTCTAGATAGTAAATGTGGATACATTTCCGTTGTATTAACACCATCGCACTGGCCATCGATGGTACAAGGCTTTTCTGGAGCATCGCTGGAGATTCTTCGTTTAGTTGACGACTTAACCGCAAGCCGACTGGCCGTGCCGCGCCTCGAAATCCAAAATTAAGGATTCCAGAAAAATAAAAACCTTAGTTCAGGAAGAAAACAATAGAATACGGACAATGTCAGCTTACGAAGATATGTCACAGAAGCAGCCACAGCAGCGTCTCTCGTCCATATGGCTCCTTCTGCTCACCCTGCTGCTCTTCGTGTCGACCCTCACGGTGGTGGCTTTGATCGAGGCTGAACGGGCACAGTCTGGTGATGCTGACGTGTTAATACTGAATCGCATGTGGAGCCATTTTCAAACGGCAACTCGAAACGAAACGAAAGAAGAAACTGCCACTGTGGAGCGCATAGCGAGGGAGGCCAGTAATTCGAGTGTTCCCAACCAGCCTTTGGAAACAACCAGGCAGAGTAAGGACTTCTATGAGGAGCAGCGGGCGGTGGTGGTGAATGCAGAGAGCATGGATCCCATTGTGGCACAGCGTCAAGATTCATTTGGTCCACCCCAGAGCAGAGAAGATTCCAACGAACAGGATCCCTATTATGATGCTGCCGATGATTACGGGCCAGGACATTATCCATATCAGCAGGAGGAGCCACAGCAGTCGGAGGAGAATTTCTATGGAGATGGAGATGGCTCCTCTGAGGGCAGAGCGGCTCAGCCTCGTCCCTACGATGGCTTTTACGCGCCCTGGAAAGCATCGCCCGTGGCATCACGTCCTACGGCTGATGGAAACAACAGGAAGCTCCAAGCTCCTCCAAATCGGTAAGAATACAATTTATTTCTTAAAGCTAGAGCCAACCCGAACTTTTATCATTTACAGAGCACCTTACCCTGCCTACGATGAGGTGTACGACTATCCCATGGGTTTCCAACGTCGCCCACAGGCAGAGACACCGCTGGCCAAGCAGGCCCAAACCCAACCCCAACCTACACAACATACCGCTATTGTTCCCGTTCAGGAGGAATCTACTTTGGTAACAGTTCTCAAGAGTCTAAAGCAACTCTGGGATCTCTACCAGGCCTTAATGAGCGCCTGGAATTCCATGGCTGAGCGTCATCAAAAGAGCACCGAGAAATTCCGGAAGGAGCAGGCGGAAAAACAGGCCGATAAGGATCGCCGGCGTCAGCAGCAGCAACAAAAACTGAGGATTAATTCCAAGAAGCCACCGCGTATCGAAGGAGACAAAAAGAATCAAAACAAGAAGAGCACCACAACGAAAAGGCCGACATCCACTACGAGTACGACTCCGGCTGCGGATAGCTCTGAGGAGGAGGAGAAGCAGGAGAAAGAAGCGACATTATCAACCTCATCAGCCCAGCCAGAGCCTCAGAAGGGGGAGAAGGCTGATGTGAGCTCCGTTCGCGGCCTCCGCCAGAGACGTGAAGCGGCGGAAGAGGACAGGGCTGACACGGATGTGGGTGAGGGTCGTTACATCAAGGGTGATCCCCTCAAGGGTTACTACGATTTCGTCATTACGGAGGGCTCCTACAAATTCTGGGCTGCCTTTCAGGTTAGTTGACATCTCCTCAGCTGAATCCTACCCGCTACTTACTAAATCCTCTAACCAATAGGTGGGCACAGCTCTTTTGATTATCTATTCGACATTCGCTGCCATTTACTATTCCAAAGTAAATCCCTTGACCAGCGACTACGATTATACAGATTACCTGGGTGGTGTGCGCTCGCTATCTGGCGGTGATGCTGATTTCGTTGATGATGCCGATGCCGATGCGCCGCCACCGGTATCAACCACATCCCGCATCATGGAGTGGCTACCACGCACAGCGCATTCCGTAAAATTCATTTTAGACGCCATTGAAAAGATGCCACTGGATCATGGGGAGACGAAAGAACCAGGCTGGGGGAGCACGGAAACAGCGACGGCAGAGGAAACGAGTTAGGGTACCCACTATATTTGCTTATGAAAATAAAAAAAAAAAATAAAAATTAACATAACCGTTTTTAACTTATGGCGGCTACAATGGATTATTTTTTAATTCACAGTGCCACGTAACCATTTGTGACGTCTTCTTCTTTCTGATCAAACATTCACAGACCTGAGGCTTTATCAAACAGCTGTTCAACATTTTTTGAAGAAAACAACACGTATTTATTTATATTTTGCCCTTGCATTTGACATGAAAATACTCAAAGTAGGCAACCTTTAAACTGTTAACATGAATGACGTTCAAGTAAATGCAATAAAAATAGCACTGCTGCTGGGCCTGCTGTCTGTTGCGGCGTGCCACGAAGCCAAAGATTTTGACGATTCAATCTTGTACAGAATTGACTGGGCCGTGCCAGATTTAATTGGTGGTTCACCAGTAAGTCTATGGATAATACATATAAAACCCAGGTATATAGCTAATATTTTTTGTATGATATAAGGACTTGGGAAACGAAGGATTGACATCTTTCATTACGACCGACAAAGAGAAATACGAGTGTCTTATACCCGCCCTGGAGAAACCGAAGGAGGAGGAGAAATCCGACAAGCCGGAGTTGTGTAAGCGATATTAATTTGACAAATCGGATTTCTCCAAATGTACGTTTCCTGCAGCTCCAATCAGTTTGCTGAAACCGACTTTCTCTGGGCAAACCTGTTCGTACCGCATCGAAGCTTATTGGTCCTACGAGATTTGCCATGGCCATCATGTGCGCCAGTATCACGAAGAGCGCGAGGGCAAGTCCGTCAAGTTTCAGGAGTACTATCTGGGCAAATGGAGCGAGGAGAAGACGGAGCTGCTGTCAAGGGCGTGGGAGTCGGAACAGAAGGATGGGGGAAAGCACAAGTACAAGACTATCAAGATTGACAACACTCGCTATCCGTATTTTGAAATGGAGTTTAGCGATGGAACCATGTGTGACATTATCGAAGGTACTCGCACCACATTGGTTCGTTATGTGTGCTACCCCCATGGCAAGGACGATATTTACTCCTTCAAAGAGACTTCCTCGTGCAACTATGAGGCCATTATACTCACTTCTGCATTGTGTGTCATTCCTGCCTTCCATGCGGAGGAGACCAAGGAGACCACCATCAAGTGTTTTAATTCGGAAACAGAGCCCCATAAGCCACTGAGCATGCTGCGCTCAGAGCTAAGCGAATGGGCTGAAAATGAGTCCGATCTGATTCTCTCAAAGGGGACCGAAAATAAGCCCGTTTCTAAGGCGTGGCCAAAGGAAGGGGAGGTAGTAACCTTCAAGCATAGCGGAGATGTGGACAAAATCATAATGGAGCTGATGAACAAAGGTGGCGTCGACTCCGAAAAAGAATACCAACAGCTATTGCTCGCCAAAGCAGGGGCTACTCTTGGAACACAACCAACCCCCATCGATGAGCTTACGCCCATCAGAGAGTTCATATCTGGCGCCAACTGTCTAACTGGGGTGAGAATTCTCGCCAAAGCATTTCGGTGAAATCAATTTACGCAATGTTATCTTTTTTGCAGGGCAACGGATGGTGGAGGTATGAGTTCTGCTATGGCAAGCATGTGCGACAATTCCACAAGGATAAAAATAGTGAAATTGAGCTGTTTCTTGGCTACTTCTCAGAGGAGTCACACCGCCAGTGGGCCATCGCCAACCCCGATAAAGGAGCCCGGCGCACCGGCTTCTCCTCATCCATTTGGCACCATTATGTGAAGGGAACACATTGTGATCGCACCAAACAGCCGCGGGAGGTGGATGTCAAGTTGACGTGCACCCCCGTGGCCACTAGTGGAACAGCAGTGTCTATGTACTTGCTGGAGCCAAAGACATGCCAGTATATCCTGGTCGTGGAATCGCCCATCGTTTGTGATCTCCTGCGTTATGCAGACTCCCACGGTCTGGTCAAACCCGAAAACCTTTACAAGGTCTTCACTAGTGACGAAGGCCAGCCAGAGAGTCCCGCACCTGCCACGGATGGGACCACTGATGACTCTGAAGAGAAAATACGCTCATAGGGCTGTTGCTAGTGAATTAATTTTAAATACATGTAAATGTAAATGAAACGGCATTTTTTTGCCAAATTTACGTTACAGTGTGAGTGGCACGCAACAGCTGCCAGCGCACATGTACCGTCGGCGCAAGTATCAAATCGAAGAACGATTAACCCATTGTAGACCATTGTAATAAATCTTGAAGTAATAGAGGGAAGTCCAGGTGAAAGATTTTGTGGGGTTTTTTAATTCAGGAAGAAGGATAGGATGGATCTACAAAAATAATTATTATTGGTGTTATTTTCCGAGGCTTAACTCACGTTGTTCACCTGTTTGAAAAGAAGGGGGCTTAAGAGGGTTAAGCATATCTCACCGATAAGTCTGTTTTCCATTTCTCAGCAGGCCCTGAAATACAATTTTAACGTATAATCCACAATCCTAAAAGGAAAATAGGACAAATAACAACTCTTATTTGCTAAATTGACTTTAGTGTAAAGTTCGTGAAAGAGTAAGTACTGTGCCGTGGCGTTGAGTGGCGTAAATGAGTGTGAGAAAAAATCAATGGGGTTGAGGGTTAGGGAGACGTGCACGGTGCGCCCCGGCATTTAGCGGAGCTCAGCCCGACCCGCGCTCATTGATAAGCAAACGGACTATTACACAATTTGTTGTATTATTTATTTGCAGCCCAACAGTAGACACACTATAGCATCGGAATGGCCTATAACTTTCACTCAGTAAATTTGAGCAAATGGCATATTGCGTTCATTATCGGCACACCCCTGGCCATCGGCCTGGGAACTTATGTGGTCAGAAGGATGTGCGAGCCCGGTGGCGAGTCTAAGGGTGAGGATAAGAAGCGGTCCAAGGGGAAAATCGACAAGCAAGCGACATCCATTGACGGAACAGCGCCGGACAAGGAACTGGAGCTAAAGCAGAAATCTGCCGAGCTGGGGGAGAAATTGTCTCCCGTTAAGGAGGCCAATAGCTACAAGAACGAGGGCAACAATTGCTATCGCAATGGCAAATACGACGAGGCAATTACCTTCTACGACAAGGCCATTGACAAGTGCCCCCCCGAGAACGGTACCGACATGGCAATCTTTTACCAGAACCGCGCCGCCTCCTATGAGAAGCTACAAAAGTGGAGTAAAGTGAAGGAAGACTGCACCAGCTCCTTGGCATACAATCATCGCTATGCAAAGGCCTACTTCCGTCGTGCTCGGGCCCACGAGGCAACAAAAGACATGCTGGAGTGCTTGAACGATGTCACTGCCACCTGTATATTGGAAATGTTCCAGAACAACCAGAGCATAATATATGCGGATCGCGTGCTCAAGGAGACGGGACGCACGGATGCCGAAAAGCATATGCTCAACCGGGTTCCTGTAGTGCCCTCCACTTCCTTTATAAGGACATATTTGCAATCATTTGTAGCAGATCCCCTGCAGACTATAAACCTGCCGCCATCGACTGAGGCGGACACACCGGCGCGCGGCTTCTTGCGTGCCCATAGCGCTTTCCGAAAAGAGAAGTTTGAAGACATTATACCTGCCTGCACAGAGGAAATCGAATCCTCTGAATCCGAGTCCCAGTACAAGGTGGAGGCCCTGCTATTGCGCGGCACAGTCCATCTTCTTTGTGGCACCTACACAGAGAGCAAACTAGACTTTGATGCCATAATAGGCAATGGTAAGAATTTCTGTTTTAAATATGGTCTCTATCCATAACAGGATTCTCTTTCCAGTCGATGCGGATGACACAATCCGCGCCTATGCCTATATGAAGCGTGCTTCCCTCTACATGCAGGTGAATAAGCGCGACGAAGCACTGGCCGATTTCGATGCAGCAGAGAAGCTTAAGCCCGACAGTCCCGATGTATACCATCAGCGTGCCCAGATCCTGCTCCTATTGGACAGCATTAATCCTGCTCTGGAACAGTTCGAAAAGGCAGTACGCTTGGCCCCCAACCATGCGATCGCTTACGTCCAAAAATGCTATACAAAGTACCGTCTGGCGCTCATGACCAACAACCAGCAAGGTCTGGAGAGTGTCGTCCGCCAATTGGAGCAGGCAATCGATCAGTTCCCCAAGTGTGTAGAGTGCTACAGCATGTTGGCCCAGGTGATGGCCGACCAGCAGAATTTCGACCAGGCACAGCAATACTATGATAAGGCCATGAAATTGGCGCCCACAAATGCGGCACTGTTTGTGCACCAGGCCGTCATGACTCTGCAGTGGCGTGGCGATGTTGAGTCGGCTGTTGATACGCTCAACAAGGCCATTGAGCTGGATCCCAGATGTGAGCAGGCTTACGAGACTCTGGGAACCGTCGAAGTGCAGCGGGCGAACCTGAAGCGAGCTGTTGAACTTTTTGAGCAGGCCATTCGCTATTCCAAAAGCTTTGAAGAGGTCGTTCATGCCTACTCGCTGCGCAATGCGGCCATTGCTCAAATCAATGTCACCAAGAACCTGGGCATTGACATGAACGCCATCTCGGCCATGAGTCAAATGTGCGGCACGGGCATGTAGAGTAGCGTATTCATCGGCAGAGATGTGCATTTAGCATTTGGCATGCCGGACACCACCACCACCACCGGGAAGCAGACCCAATTATTTGTAGTTAAGTTTATCCTGTTATTTATATATATAAAAACGAATGCTTTTTTGTGCGCCCTTCTTAGTTCTAGCATAAAATTTAACGACGATGACGATATCTCGCCGTTGAAGCGTTTAGATTCATTTGTATGTAAAATCTTTGTTGCCTAAGGAAACCACTAAACAAACAAACATATAGCCTATGCTTAAGCGTAAGATTAAAATAAGTACAAGCTGTATCGCCGTTATTTTAGACCCACTCACTTAGCCTGCCGGTTGGTTGTAGGACTGCACTTCGGCAGATATATATGCGGAACAGATTAGCAAGAGGGCGGACCGCACGCTCCCCACAATGGCATGGTCCGCCTCGAACTCCCGGAGGTAGGGCAGCAGTAGGCCAGGTAGCGCACCCATACCATTTGAGATACCCATCAGAGTGCCAGCGTAATTGGGACTCATATCCAGAGGCAGCAGCTTGATGCCCGCGTAGTAGGCACCCACGGCCAGGACTCTCCAGATACGAGCGCCAGCCGATTTCAAGGAGACCATGTACATGGAGCCGCAGAAAAACACCAGCCAGGACATGAGTCGACGCGTCTCCGTGCGACTGAGGATTCGCTCGGCTATGAGAAAATCGCTCAGGGTGCCCGTGGTTAGAGAGACCAGCCAATTGCCGACATGGGGAGCCGTCACCTTTATACTGGCCTCCAGCTCATCCCACAGAGTGCTGCCCTTAGATCTGAGATCCTCCAGCACCTTCTGCAGCTCCTGGGCGAACTGCTGCTCACTCCAATCGTGCTGCATGGAGGCGGAAATCAGCGCCCACAGCGGGGTACTCATCAGCATTCTCTTCCAGGGCGCATTCGACGGTGGTTGGAGCTCATCACGGTCCTCTCCCGCGGAGCTGGATGTTACCAGCAGTGTGGCACTGACATGGCTCCTAATGTACTCCCGCTCTTCGCTCTGAATGTACGGACAGTTGTCGGGTTTGCTATAGCAGATCAGGGTCTATGGAACAACAGGAAAAAGTTAGAGATCCACTGCTCAAGCTGTCGTACACGTAACTCACGAATCCCAGGAACCAGGCAACGGCGCCACCACCGACCACGTAGAAGGCCACCGGCCAATCCTCTTCCGCCATTACCAGCCCACTGAGGAGCTGCACCAGGGTAATGCCAATCTCTCCACCACTCAGAACACCGCTGGCCAGCAGTCCGCGTTCTCCCTCTGGGACCCACTGGGCCAACATGGCAGACACCGCCGGAAAGGTGGGGCCTTCGCAAAGTCCGATGCCGAGGCGGATGGCCATCAGGGCATACGGACCACCATGACGCACTGCAACCGGCGTCAGGAGCGTGAGAATGGCCGAGGACATGATGGCTGTTCCAAGGATCCATTTGCCGCCACAACACTCCGACAGACGACCGCCTGGGACGTGGGTGAGCATGTAGCCGGCATAGAAGGCCGCCGTGACCAGGGTTTGGGTCTGTCGCGACCACATCTCGGAGCAGCTAATGCGCTGGCGAGATGATACGGAAACCGGCTCAATAGATGGCACTTTTACCGGTTGCTTGATTGCTGCAAAACGCCCTTTCCACTCCGATGGGCGGTACTCCGGTGGGCGGTACTCCGGTGGGTGGTAAAAATGTTCCCTGCCAGCCCGGAGTCTGGCTCTTATTAGGTTTTCAGTCTGATTCAATCGGACGCCCAGTTCTGTTAACCAATTGTGTGGCTTGACCTTTGCAACTGCATGCGAAGAATGCGCACAACCTTCCAGGACAATTCGATTTAGGGAAAGGTCCAGGCACAGTCTCATCGTGTATGCATTGATGATGGCCAGGAGGCTGAAGCAGCAAAGGACCACACGCTGCTGCACCCTCAAATCTTCCTTGATGATGGAAACATATCAAAAACGATACCTCGAGATGGATTATCCTTCAGAATACTCACAGCTAAACAGAACGCGTAGCATACGCTGAATGGAGAACATTTGTAAATCACTTATGTAAAATGCACAAAGAAAAAATAGTTTTGTTTGAATCAACTCAAATATTTGACAAAAAACTGGACAATTGATTGATCAACATAATGGTATCTCTGTAATTTCGAAAATCTCAGCTTAATCCTTTTTCAAAAATAGTGAGCAGATGGAAAAATTACAACATACTTAGCCCCGTAACCCATAAAACATAAGTGTACAAAATTTGTCCGCTTAATGTGACAACGGTCAAAACTAATTTTCGTTTTAAAATCAGCCGTAAACTGCAGTGCAAAACTGCCCCAAACAATAATCGAGACATTATTGAAACCCAAAGTCTCGGGTTTTTGCAGACCTACAACCCTCCCAGCATCCCATCTTCATGCCGCCTCGAAATGGCGACCCGAAAATGCAGTCCGTACCAAAACATCAAAAACACCAAAGCAATTGAGCGGTGCTGTATGATAAACTCGGCTAAAAGTATATGTATCGGGTCAATATGTTTAGCTACTCTGACAGATCAGATCCACCAGATTCAAGATATGAAAGCTTTTTGAATTTGGGAGCAGCAATAACAGCATCGAAATAGAACCCTTAAAGGCGGCGAGCGGCCATGAATCGAGCATCAATATTCCTCGTCAGGCACGCGACATGTATTTTCTTTCTTGGAGAATTTAAACAAATTCCATCAATAGATGTAGTTTGGGAACATGGTCATAGACGTGCCCACCGCTGAGTTTATGAATCAAAAAGGCATCTAACAAGAGAGCACTGATATGGCAGCTCCCATGTCATTTAGCGTTGAGTTTGTCCTGGAAGGCCTTTAGAGGTGTTCCGCAGCAAGAACAGAAGAAAGCCAGATGCTTAATGGTAATCCTTTAAGTTTTCTACAGATTTCCTTACAGTTACCTTCTACAGTTTCTCGTAAAGAAAGCGTGGGTACCGAAAGATAAACTCAAAGTCAAGGCAAACACCTGGCCAGAAAGGTCTTTCAAGGAGGTGTGTCACTGTTGGTCCAGGTCTCTCGATTTCATTGCTCATTTTTTTCTTTATGCACTTTATTTTGCTAACATCATAAAAACAGTTATGTCTTAACGGAGTTTGTTAAAAACACGTTTTGGCGTTACACATTGATCAACAATTTAAAACTCAGGGAAGGTGTTTTACAGCACGGTACGGAAATACGAACTCGGTATACACTTGCTCTATCTAATCTTAAACGTTGAAATCGGGTTCAGCTGCTGCTTCAGGTTTCGATTAAATACTAAATAATAATTAAGAGAGTACGTTGCATGTACGGGGACATGAGCGGGGGACAGGACAGTATTAATTAGGGATTATCCTACCTACAACGGGAATATTGTACATATGTATAGAAGTACGCACTGCCATGCGCGTTCTTTTTCTTCTTTCTTTTTTTGGTGAGTAAGTAAATTCTTTGCTTAAAGTTAATTAGTTGGTGGCCCTGTGCCCCCCTGGGCCGGGTATCTCGGCCAGATCGGAAATACTATAAAACTAGCTATCTGAACAGCAGTAAGGGCGTATACGTATATCTACATTGTATATAAATGGAACCTCGACTCGTGAACGGGGACAGCATTTTGAACTAGAGTACAATATGGCACATTCTGAAGGCGATGCCGATTTAGGAGCTTCGCTCCATTCGCTTCTGTACTCCTGTACTGCTGTCGTTGTACTCGGGTTCTTTGAAGGCTGTGGTCTTGCGCTCCTCGGCCTCAAAGTCCATGGATCGGGGCTGAATGGGTGCATTGTTGAACGGCTGTACCTCTCCCGAGGCCCACAGGCAGTAGACAACTGCGGTGACACACAGCACGCCAAAGGCCACCCAGAACACAGTGCGCCATTCGAGCAGCGAGGCCTAAATCAGAGGGAAAATCAGTATAGATTGGATATCCGTGACTAAAAACGAGCTATTGCACTCACATTTGGTGTCATCACTCCCACCAGATACGGCGTTATCACGCCCGTGATCGCTCCAATGCCGTTTGTAATGGCCATCAGGGTGCCAGCATAGTTTGGACTCATGTCCAAGGGACTGAGCTTCATACCTGCGTAGTAGGCGCCCATCAGGCCCATGCAAATGGTGAAAAGGATCACAACCAGGACGCGATCACAGCCGGCGTACGAGGCGGATACCATGAAGATGGCAGGACCAAAGGCGGCCAGACCCGTCATCACCTTCCGGGTATTTGTCGTGCTCATGATGCCCTTGCGGATCATCCAATCGGCGACGAAGCCGCTGCCCACGGACACAATCCACATCATCACATACGGCAGGGAAGAGTACAGGCCGTTGGCCTTGATTGAGAACTGCAGCACATCGGCCATGTACTTGGGCAGATCCGTCACCATGATGTAGAAGCCCCAGTCGTGGCCAATCTGGGCAGAGACCAGGGCAAACATGGGCAAATTAGTAAGGATGGCCTTCCAGGGCGTGGGGGGCAGGCTCTCGTTTCGGCCAATTGTCCCGATCTCCTTCGCAAGATACTCCTTTTCGCTGGGCTTGATGAAAGGATGGCTGGCGGGATCGCTGTAGCAGAGGAAAACCTGTTGAAAAGTAAGGGAAATTTTTAGCGCCCGACAGAGTAGAGGATGAGGTGAGTGATACTTACAAAGATGACGAACCAAACGACACCCAGGCCGCCAAAGAAGTAGAACACAAATGGCCAATCGTATGAATCCAGGAAGACGCCCGATAACATATTACCCATGATAGTTCCCACCTGTCCGCCACCCAAGACCAAAGCACCCAATTTTCCACGTTCGTTTGCGGGGACCCAAGCAGCGAGGAGCACACTGAGTGCGGGGAAGGTTGTGCCCTCCCCCAGACCCATTAGCACACGGGAAACGATTAGCCAGTCGGAGCCTCCCTGCTGAATAGCTAAAGGTGTGAGCATAGTGAACGCGGCTGTGGAGAGGATTCCCAAGCCCAGGGTCCATTTGCCACCAAACTTCTCGGCCAGCAGACCCCCAGGAATGTGCGTGACAATGTAACCAATGTAGAAGGAGGACAAGATCAGGCCCTGCAGCTCCTCGGACCAATCGTATTCGCCGCCACTCTGCAGAGATATTAGGATTAAAATGGGTTTCTTTTACGGCAAGTGATGACCCTTACGCTGACGCCATCATCCAGCTCATCCGGCTCGCAGATGGCCACATCACTATCCTCATCCGTGACGTTCTTCTTTATGACCAGCACTGTGATGGCCTGGGAGAGGCACACACGCATTGTGTAGGCGTTGAGGATCGCCAGAAACCCCATGATGGCCAATATAACACGTTGCGGTATTATAAAATCTGCAACACAGAAAAGAAGCGTCCAAATGGACAGATGAGAGAGTGAATCGAACATTTGTATTGTGTATTAATTGTCTGCGTCAAACGTTTCCATCTCAGGGTATCATCGCATATTGTTTTAAACAATTTTAGACAATTTAATTTGGTTAGCGTGCGAATAAATAGTTTGACGAGTTGCTCTTCATGGCGGGGCTGGTCAATTGGGTACAAATCAATTTGCGCTGATAAACTTCAAATTGCAGTTGATTGCCCTACAGCGTTATGCGAGTATCAATTTCATACGAGTAGTTGAGCGTACACCAGAACGTACACATGTACATACACATGTGGTGATCATCACATCATTTATCTCGCACGACCTAACTTTCACAAGATTGCACCTAAAGAATAGTGATTGATTATTCCCCCCTGATTTAAAATATTCTACAATCTATTCCTTCACACGGTTATAACTTTAAAAACTTTATCCACTGTTGGTTTCTAGACCACATGGATAAAATATTCTACAAATATTCTGATAGCATCATCGCATTCACAGGCTATATGATAGAATCTTCCTTATTCTTCATAGGAAATACCTATAATTAGGGGTAGAAGATTTATTGTTGCATCTTTTATCATACATTGCGACTGCTAAATGAATCCTAATACGTAAAGTTTAAACATATAAGTAAAAATATCCAGTAAGAATCAGTCATCTCAGAGATCTTTTCCGTTGCATTAAAAAAAATGCAAGGAACATACATTTCGCAAGCACGATCATTCGTCATATAATTATCTACAGACTCTCGGAAAAGTGGTTGCCTTGACAACACATATTATATTATAGCCATATATTCATTTAAATCATTTAATACAAACCATTTAAATAATATATGAGTATTTTGTACCGTCTCTAAAGTCAAGTGTTCTTTTAAATTCGTTGAAATTTATTTGCCATCATGTATAGATTATTTTATTGTACTATATTGTTACTCAATGGAATTTAAGGAATTTTTTGTGAATATTATGGCCCTATACGTGTGCTTCCTGTGCTGTTTATGACCCATGGAAAACATTCGGCACGCGATTAGGCGCTATATGAACGGCGCTATGCACTTGTTTTTTGGGCCATTATCAATCACCAAGCGCTTTCGAGCAAGTGAACCATCGATGAAGCGAGCGGGTTATACGACCCTCATATCATAATCAAATTGTTAAGCGGAATTATGCCTTGATAAGGTTCCAAGTGTGATAGATCTGCGATAAAATACTTTGAGTGTGTATGGCACAATCTCGAGTATTTCAAGCGGAGTACCACAATGACCATAAAACAACGGACTGAGGGCACTGCCAATTAATTGGTCTTCAGTGTACATTTATAGGGCTCCCATTTTGGGACAGAGGAACCTCCTTAATTGGGCGATTCGGATCCGGATCAAGTTCATCAGTTTTGAAGGTTAAATTGATCAATTAATTGATAGAGTTTGCTAAGAATAAGGGTCAACATTGACCTACATATATGAAGAGATCCGCTCTAAACAGAAGAGCAAACAAACAAGATTGCTGACGATACAGAGGGTCTGCATCGTTCTAAGGCAAATATAATCGCAGTCCAATTCATGAGTATTATTAGATCATCTATTGGCATTTCCCCATCCATTTTACCTACGTAAAATCCAAAAAGCGCGCTGTTTGGTTTTATAATGAAACCACTCTTTTATTTTGATAGCCCGGTGGGTGTCACAGACGTCACTGGCTAGCATCTTATTTTGTTTATAAATTAACATTGTTATTAAATATTTTGCATGAGTGCTGCTGGTTGAAAAAGCGAAACTCCAAAACTGGCTAAATTAACAATGTGTCAATATTTGACAAATCGCTTAACGAAGCCGACAAGAAACTTTATACGCGCACCAGTCGCACGAGTGTCAAATAAAAAGTAAAAAATAAAAAAAACAACCTCCTTTTCATACAATTCCCCCAAGTGATAAGTTGATTAGGCCACCGTCTTTCTATATGTATGTAAATACAGGCGCTAATCATATTTCTCGTTCATTTCGAGAAGTATGGCTATATTTCACTTGACCAATCACGCTTATTGGCGTTAATATATGACCACACTCGATGCAAGTCCCATCACTTCACACGATAAGCTGGTTAAGATCTAATCAGAATTGTGTAGTACCCACAGTCTTATCGCATATAAAGCTGGTGCTAGGTATTACTTTGGGTACTTTATAAGCAAGAAAAATCGTGCAATCTCCAATGAGAACATCATAAATAAGGGACTCGTAGGACATCATTGAAGCATAGAGTAAATATTGTATTAAAGAAAATTCCAATAACTTCTAGAATATGCATAGTAATCGAGTAAAACTTTCCAGAAGATAAGTTCATACTGGGAAAACTCCTAGCATGGAAAAGTTTGTATCCATCCGAAATATATCTGTAATTATTTATATGCATTTACATATATGTACATATGTATATATACAGCAATGTGTTAGGTCCATGCAATCATTGCAATAATGGGAAAGTGAAAAAGAATAAAACAATCTCCTGTCTGTCTGTTGACATTTCTGACTCTCCGACTCTTTGTCTTCATAATTACATATATACATACATGTATATTATATAGTTCCAGACAATCTATAGCGTCCAGTCCCAGATCATAGCATTGATAGCACGGCCTCGGCACAAATACAAATATTCCATTTTCACATTTTTACATCATTTTCTTGGGGCGCTTGCATTGCATTTCCGCGGTCTTGCGAAAATTATGTCAATGGGCGGGCTGGGGGCGAGTGTAATGTGCGATTGCTGCATACGAGATATGCCCCTTCAGAGGCAAGTGGCCCTCACCACCTACCCGAGCCTCCCCGCCCGTCCTCCACATGTTCGATAAGCGTGCATCGCATCGAACAATTGGGGCAGACGACGAGTGCGTGCAGGGAAAGTGATGAAACAAAGCGATTAGCTTGGGAATGGACTTTTCGGTGTTTGGGCACTCGGGTATTATTCATTGGAGTGCCAATCAATGCCCTGCATCCGATGATTTATGGCCAAGTCATAGACTTAACAACTCATTAGGCTAACAAAATACTTTAGAACTCACGTTTAATCATGTGGGGGTTTCGTTTGCCCGTTTCGAGATGTTAAACTAAACCCATTCCCAGGCACATTCGACTTTCTGTGTTTGTTTTCTAGGCAAATAACAACAGCCACAGGCTATTGATTGTATGGCCAAAGTAAAAGCTAACAAACGAGAGAATGAAACTGTAATTATTGGACATTCCAGAGAGGGAACATTCAAAACTCATCAGCAGATAGATCCTACAAAAATATGGATCTACAAGGGTATGCAAAATCTTTGTGTAACGCTGTAGGCAAGTTCTTACAAAAGAAACGATCCCTTACAAAAGAACAACGCGCAGGATAAGCATTTATTAAATAGCATTGACCTTGTCCAAAAGAATAACTAACTGAGGGGGTGTCAGAGGAAACAGGGAGCCCATTAACTGTTTTCCCATTAATTCCCAGTTAATAAATAACTGTTTTTCGTTATAATGGGTTCCATGGCATAGCGATTATGAAAATTGACGGGCCCGATTGATGGGTACTGGGCACTGGGCACTGGGCACTGGGAACACCCTGCACACCTGACGCACCGACTTCCCCGTTCCACGAGTCACTTCACATGCAAATCGAATGCAAAATATATACACGATTTTATGTGAATTATGTTAACGCGTGCCGGGAATGCCAACAGTTCGGACATGAGAGGAAAAGAAGCAGTCCACAATGGCAACAAACAAAAACCGAAAAAACCGAAATAAAAGAGCGTAAAATTCGAGACACGAAATACTAAATAAATCCACTAACTGAATCGGAAGTGGCTGGCAGAAGCGTTTCTGTTTCTGTATCTGTCATTGTTTTCATTTATGCATTATACATCGGACCGCTGTATACAGCGTATGGGTATGTGTGTGTATTATATATTTAGGAATTTATTTTGTTGTCGGTCAATGTCGGTTAAACCACTCAAATATACTTTGTTAAATCATTTAATTTCAAGAATGCTCCGATCGGAGTTCAACGTATCCAGCCCCAACCCCATCCCCATCGATTCGTATTTATTATTCAATAAAGCACACTCCCAAAGTTGGGCTCGGGGTTTACGGATGTGGAAGATAACACAGAAAGTTTTTGCCAAATAACTTTTGATGGCGGATCCCCCCGAAGGCAGGGGCTTGGGCATGGGACACTTACACCGTGATAGGTTTATGCCCCATTGCGGCTGTTGTGTCATCTCGGGATTATTGCTTTTCAACGTTAGCAAGTTGCTCAGTTCCTTCGCCACGATTACACAGGATCGGTTCAGATATATAGGTGAAGGATATCACGCGAACACGCACACGAGCACACACACAAAACACAATTTTGTATCTCTCTCCAGAAGAAATTCTACTTCCTTAACACTTGGCTCTGGCGCATGCGTAACAATTACAAAACGCAACTAAAAACCACACGCAGCGAGAACGAAACGGCAATGGGGGCTCTCCGACTCCGACTCCGGCTCCGGCTCCTCCACGCACTTCTTTGATTCTCTTTCGCTCTGGCTTTGGCTTTGGCTTGAGCTTTGGCTTTGGCCCCTCTTCCGTTATTTCAGTGTTGCACCGCTCTGCTCTCTCTCTCTGTGTGTGGAGTTTAGACTGAGGAGTGTGTCTGTGTGTGTGTCTATGTGTTTGAGTCGAATTTGGTTTTAGCAATGTTTTCCACACACACACGTAAACGCAACAACTGTAAAACTGTTAACGATCTTCGATCCCCGCTTTTGGCGCTTTGTTCTCTGCTCGATCCGCGCACGCCGCCTGTTAAATTACAAATGAGAAATTATTCCCCCCGACTTTAGTTTATATGTGAGCAGATAAGCGACGATCGGCGCTGGTGTCGCTGCTGCTGCCTGCCTGCTGCTGCTGCTGCTGGAGTTTTTTTTTTTTATTAGCGCGACATCGGGGTTCGGTTCGTCAACCAACGATCGTGGATCAAGGAGTTGATTTGTCATACATATATAGTATATATGTACATACGTATATGTATGATCATAAAAACTGTTGCTATCTTAATCGATCGACATAGACGCCGTCTACATGCGTAAAGCGTGAACCCCAAAAGTCTAACTGTGCCGCCGCCCAAGGAACTTTATTTTATTTGCTCATTTCAAACTCGATTTCGATTTCAGTTTATAGGAACAATCGATTATGCGCTGAATACTTAGCGGAACACACCGTTGCCGTCGTTGAACTGCACGCGCCTGTTTTATATCCCGTTCTATACACAGCAGCCATAAAAACCCACAAAAAAACTACATAAATTTCAATGCACTCTGCTCTTCATGGGAATCCGCGTAGACTGTAAACATTTTTAAGGGATGTACATACATACGTATGTACATACATATATACAACATTTTAAAGACTTTTTTAAATATTTGAGATCAAGTGGAATGCCCGCACTATCATGGCAATATAATCCCCAACAAAAAGAAAAACACATTTCTTCTTAAATTTTGTATAAATATAATATCAAGAACTTTTACTTATTTTGATTACTTGAAAAAAACAAAAGTTTTTCCCTACCATACATATATTTATAAGTAAGAAATACTGTAGATTATTTTGAAGAACTCAAAAAAACAACACGAAATACATATGAACATATATACTTGGACTTTAAATGTCTTTTGAAGAGTGTACTATGTATGAATATATGTATAAAGATAATCCAAATTGTTGACAGAATTCTCTGGTCAGCGAATATTACAGCGATCGCACATCCCCCAAAGTGTGGAGTGTAGGGTGTGCGTCCAATATATGCGACAACTTGTTGTATCTCCAATAGAATTAGTATTGTTGCTGCTGTTGCTGTTGCTGCTGTTTTTGCCGACCAGAGACATAGATAGTTAGATAGTTAGTTAGTAACGTTTACCGGTTAGAGGCGGGTTTCGGGCTTTATGCAATGCAATTTAGTGCAAAACAGACGGAGACGGAGACGTAGACGGATCGGAACGGAACGGGACGGAGGCGTGAGCGTGAGAGACGGAGAAAGGGAGTGTGCTTATCGTTTTAGTCGGTTGAACCACCTCGAACCACCTCACCCTCACCCCCACTGACGCTCTTCTATTGTGCATCGCATTTTTCGCTCAATTCCGATCCAGTCAAATGCTGTTTCAATTTTTTATAATTATCTGCATAAATTGGTGCACACAACACACAAACTTTTTGTCTGATTTTACCAGTTACAGATGCGGTTCAATGCAGTCGAGTCATGGCATAAATATATAGACTTGTATTTGTATCTCTGGGGTATATATTTATATCTCTGTCTATGTATATTTGTTTTAAGAGATGGCTGAGTTAATGAGCGATCTTAATGACTAGCCATTGTCAGATCATTTCCGAAATTAGTTCACTGGAAACTGCAAATATTCGATGGAGCTGTGAGAAGTTCCTCCCCACATAGTAGTACTTTCCGGTTATATTAAAATAAAGAGAGGGAGAGACTCTATGAGCAATTCGAGACCTATCTTTCTATATCAGTCAGCTGATATATAGTTAGATAATCTGGTACTTTCCACATTGTAAATCAGATTCGCAAGAATTTCGACTTACATTCCTGGTTTATCTTCGACCTTATCGATGACACACTTTGTCCAGACTTGAGATCAACTTGATTACAAGATAATTACGCTGGTACGAGCAGTAATTGCTCGATAAAAATACTAAAGTGCTGAAGATACTCCATTTAGGTGTCTTTCCGTTCCATAGAACTTTCCTTGTACACATTCTGGCATTTTTGTACTGGGATTTTTCCATCTTTTGCTTAATGAAAAGTGACAAACTTCAATAATTGCTTGCCCCAACAATTAACCACACGCACATGCAACAAATGTACATGGGATCGGATACCATCCAGCACGATCCAAGCAATACGACACTATACCCCCACTAAGCTGTGTAAAGCTCTCACTATGCTGAGATGATCTTCAAAATTGTTTTCTATTTTTTAGCATTGTCATTTCCAATTGAGTCAGCGAACCATACCATATCATGCTATGCGAAATCGAAACTCTGCAATTGAAATGTTTGCTCAAATAAATATCTGAAAATTCTGAATATCAACCCAAAAATATAAATATACGGTTGTCTGAGGCTCCCTCGGGTCCCGTCCCATTCCCCCCAAATATATCCAAAATCTAGCTCAAACTGGCTTCATCGTCCATGACCGAAAATGTTACCAGCTTGAACTGGTAACCGGACGGACAGAAAACATAGCACTCAATATTTAACTCGCATACAAAATATTTTGCGTTATATACTCGTACAGCAAATTAATTGAAGCGGCCAGAAAGTCTTTTATATTTGATGTCCATTAAATGGGATGCGATGGGGCGCCAAAATAAAATGATACAAATATTCATACGGTAATTCCCTAGCGTACCCTACAGTACTCAAGTTTTTGATATTTTAGGCAAAGACTGGAATGGATAAGGCTAAAAGACAAATTCTTCTTCTTCTCCAAAAAATACCTTGGAAAACTAATATATCTATAGGTCAGATTTTGATCGGATACCATTTTAACTAAATATAAATATGATAATTTTTCTCATATATATTCAAACAAAAAATAAAAGAGTATTAATAGCTTCGACCTGGCAAATGTAAACTCGATTTGTCAAGAAAACAGCCAAGACCTTTGAATCAATGTACGAGCAGCTCATATCAAAAAGAACGGAACATATTACAGGCAGTTAAATGTGAATTTTTATCTCGGGAAAGGAAAGAGTTGCAATAGAACAGGACACAAGTCAAAGCACTAAGAAAGTAGTGGAATGTTACTATCAACCATAAAACATGCCTGATGAATATTCATAATTTAAAACGAATATATCTTGGAAGTAAAAGTTTTATCAAAACCCATCTTTATCATAGGGATCTTCATGTTGTAAACTAAAAATATCTCGATTGTGTGATTACTGTCCAGATAAGATATGATTTATCTGCCAACACATGATTCTAACTTAGATACTCTTCATATTCCTGACATACTCATGCAGTGGCTTATCCCAAGGTAACTTTCTCGCCAGTTTAGTGATTTCGTTTCGAAATCTGTAGCCTGTATACACTACGATTCCAATCCGTAGTAGCCACAAAAACGATCGAAACGTTTTGAGTCGCTAACAAGTTTCGCTCTCAACAATAAATCAATCAAACGAAATCATACTGATTGATCGACGCCGGTTAAGGCGAGAACAATTTTAGTAAAAATACGTAAGTAAATACTTAAATAATTAAAATAGTTGCCACAAACGAAAAACGAATTGTGGCGGCAAGGAAATTGCCATACCAATTGACATTTCGAGGGTCATCGAAGCCGAGAGATATACAAAAACTGAGACCACAAATTGGAGTGTGGAATGGAGTGGATTGGCTTGCTGTGAAGTGGGAGCTGGAGTTGCAGCTGGGGGGGGTATGGAGCGTTGAGTGCTCTCGCTTGAGACGAAGGCTGACCACCACCAATGGGTCATGGGGTTACGTTGGTTCTGGGTTTTTTCTTCTGTTGCCCGGTTGATACTACGGCCATATTTGCGTCCGCCAAATAATAAAAAAAAACTGGGCGAGGAGCGGCGAGCAAAGCTAGCTATCTTAAATATGTCTTTTACAATGGTACTAACCATAATATCGGCTCTAATCTTTATAGCCGACAGAGACTTTACAATGCTAGAGTGAACAAAAAAATACAATGACTTTTGTACCAAAGCCTTCGGCTTGAGATAAGATTGGCAAAGAGGCCAGATGGGAATCTCCACACCAACTGAGGAAAAACCATTCTGTTCCTGCAAATCGGAGGCATAAAGCTCAGCATGTGACTTTTTCGACTTAAAATACAATAAGTCAAGTCCCATTGATACTCGATTTATGGGCGGGAGTCAGTCCCACTCTGGAGCCGGGTCTGCGATCGTATGTATGTGTCATCGATAAGGTGTTTTTAATAACTTAATTGCCAAATTGGCTTGCAATGAACACCACGAGTCGTGTGCGCCGCTTTATGATTGGGCTTTAATAGTGGGCGAAAGCGCGGCACAGCCATATCCAAGGGAAGTACGAGTATTTTTAAAAACTTCATTATTCCCCAATTTGGGGGCCGGCATTCTACAGCCATATACTATATGTATATACATTTATTGTAAATATGTAATATAAATGCAAGTATTTTAATTGTCGTCAGAACTCATTTAAAGTGTGAAAAGTTGTAAGAACTTTTAGCACGCAAACACGTCTCAGCTGCCGGGTTGCGAGTGATCTGCGGGGCAGAAGCTGAACCTGGAACTGGAGGCAAGCCTTTAACACGTGATTCTGTTATTTATAAACAATATTTAACCTGCTAATTTGTGCAAAACGGAAGTGAATTCGGTAATTCCAATTGGGAAAGGTTCGCCAGATCGTTTTGGGGCACTCTCTTGGGGCCTGGCCTGCCCAAAAAACCAGTTGCTACTGTATTAGTATAAATATAGTAGAAAATTACTACTACTACTGTTCAAACTACTCAAAATGTAAGAAAAATACCTACAGACAATGGCCCACCTTGACCTTTCGACCGCAGCGACAAATGTCGCTATGTGGATGCTGGCTTTGGAGTTCTTTCAAATGCCGACAGTGCAAACAGTACATTATGAACAGAACCCCGAAGGCGGCACTGTATAGATCTGGATGGCGTATTGATAAGATTAGGTTTTGGAGGAAACCAGAGAGATTTCGGGCAGAGGAGCGTGGGAATTGCTGCACGAAAAGTAAACAGAGGAGGTAGACCACAACTTTGTATTATTTCAAAGTAATATTTTAAAACTAATTACTTTTAGTTTTTTGTATGCATAAATTCTTCAACAATGTTTTGCTGTCATTGTCATGGGTATGCATCTGCATTAGACAACTTTATTACAGGCACGTGCGTCTATTGTTTTCGACAGACCACGAAATCTCCCAAGAATGGATTTCGGTTGTATTTCATTTCAGAACGGTCTCATTTTGTTCTCTACAGTCTAGTCACGTGTGGCTATTGTGTGGAAAAGCTGCAAACAGCTGACCCGATCCACCAAATCTAAAGCAAATTACAATCATTTTGGGGATACAAATATTTACTTTGTTGTTATACCTTGTGAATACTTGTGAAATTTGTTTTTTGATAGCTTGAATTCAGATAACTATGGCGATTATTATCGGCCAGCAACTGTTTTTCTCTTACATACACCGGCGCCCTCTATTCTACACGAATGTGAGAAATCATGTGCCGAGAATTCGAGCAGCATTGTTCCTCAACATGGTCGGGCTGAGCAACATTTTGCATACCGTGGGGAAATGGATATTATATTATAGAATTATATCATAGATACATATTACATATTACAAGACCCTAACCATATGCATGAAAATGTCTAAAACATATCAATTTGGAGATAATTTCTTTATTAATTATGTTTTAAATCAATTTAGAACTTGGAAAAACAGTATCTTCATATTAAATTAACAAAATAGGTTATAATAAAACCCCTTACTCCGGTTGAGTAAGTAAGAAATGTAAGAAATGACATTCCACTTATCTATTTCGCTATAACCTTTTTTTGCGCAAGATCCAATAAAGGCCAGTATTAAGAATAAGCCAGTTAAGTAGAAAATTGAGTCATCAATCGTATAAAACTACTTGGGCATGGCTAAATGTTCTATATAGCTAATAATCTTAGGCGAAACATAAAAATTGAGCAATATGCTTTCCAATCCTTGACGGAGAACGATTAGCCTATTATATGCCAAGGGATTATTTCAATTTTCCCCCCGAAAATGATGAAAATTTAATAATGTAGCGCAGTTCAGGTGGAAAATATCGTGTTTTTTTTTAAGTTCAGAAAAAAGATGGCATGAATCTACAAGAAGAATTTACAATCTCTAATATTTTCCGCCATTTACCTCAAGTAGTTGAACTATTTAAGTAGAGGGGACCTAAGTGGGCTAAGTTCGGTTTTTCATCGCATATATTTTGGTATATTTCTGAGGGTCAGACCGTATACTTCATCGGATTTTCTTGTTTTCTTGCCACCACGTCTAGCTCACACACCTCACAATTTTTATACTTTTCATAGTTTTTCCTAGTATTTTCCAGTATATTTTAAGACGCGTTATGGACTCACCCTCTTGTCCAATGCACCAATGTAGAAACCGTGTAGAAATGCCACTTAGAGCCATGTTCCAGGCAACATCGAATACTAATTCGTGATCAGCATCGAATTCCTGATCGTTTGCCATCAAAATCTCAATTTTTTCAAAAATGTCGGAAAAAAAGTCATGTCAGAAAATGGATAACGGAGGTTATCACACTGGCGCTTCCATGGGGCTTATATGAAAAAAAAACGGGCAAAAATTTTTTAAACGTACACTTTTTCCCTTCAGGTGTCGCTACTACTATATCAAAATGTGTAGTTAGCGTGTAGTTACCGTGTAATTAAATTAATTTAGTGGAAATTGTTGTTGACCGGTTTTGGTTAAACCTTATTTTATAAACAATCCGATAATGATGAGAGCTTAAAATTAACCAGTATTGTAGGAAATTGATGTAATAATCGGATAAATTTATGAGTTTAGACCCTCAGGAATTACCTAGCTAGTTATATTCCACGGAATATCCAAAACGAGCAATGTGATGCAACTTGCATACAAATAATTCGCCAGTATATTTACGGTATATTTTGAAATTTGTGACGTCGTCTCGTTAGGTGTAAATTGCGGTCCCAACGAAAATTGTTATGACAAAGATAAGAAAATCCAAACAAATCGGTGGATTATATATTCGAAAGCCCTCCCCTCCCAATTCGAGGACTGCACAGTCATAAAATGTGATTCTCAGTGCCGCCGCAGCACCAGCACACCGCATTTTAAGTGGTGGTGTAACAAAAGTGAGGCTCGGAAGCAGACCCAAAAACACAATAAAAAATGATGGGCGATAGCGAGAGTGAGCAGATATGGCAAGAAATCGGCATTGATCTGCAACATGTGTGTGAGTCAGGCGATGGGAGCAGCGAGGGGCGCTATCAGGTCATATGCGACAAGTCGTGGCTGCAGGCGCTGGAGAAGCACCGAAAGTTGACGAGCTTCAGCAGCTGGCCGAAATTGGATCGACGAGCGCATCCCACAGGACAGCTGGAGCACCCCTGGACCCGCATCCTTGTGCAGACATACCGCAAGCAGCCCCCACGTAGGGTATACCCCCTGCCGAGATCCTCAGGCGGCGGCGGGGATGGACATGCTCTAGACGCTCTGCCGATGTCGTATTCCCAGGCGGTGGCATTTGTAGCCAACAGCAACTTTAAGCAGCTGTGGGAGGAGGCATACAAGAAGTATAATGGGGCCCATGTCAAACTCTGCAGATCTGCAGCCACTTTGTCGTCGTCCAAGCCAATCACTGGACAGGGACAGCTGCAGCCGCATGATATGGTGCTCAAGGAGCTTATTCAGCGTGTCTACCACTGCCCTGTGCTGCACTGTCAGGCGGATCGAGGAGAGGCAGTCTCTCCGACTGCCGCTGGAACGGATTTTACAACCAATTGTCACCCCAATATTCTGCCCGCCCTGGTAGCCATCGAGTCCTCCACGCACTTCAGTGTGTTCTTCTACCCACCAGCACTGGAGTGCAGCCTCTATGACTGCATCACCTACAGCCCGGCGCTACTGGGCAAGGGCTACAACAAAACGCTGTTCATCATCTACCAAATCCTTCAGCTCTCCAAGCAGCTCCAGAGCCAGGGCTTCTTCCTGGGCGATCTTCGGCTGCAACACATTGTGTTGCGGGAGAATCTTTGGCTGCAGGTCCTGCCACGGCTGCAGTGCAATCTCCTAGAGGAGGACACAGCCGGTGCGGGCGCCGACATGTCGCCCCTCACACCGCTGACCACGCCCGAGCTGGGCGATCTGGCCGATCCGCCCCTGCACCTGCACTTACCCACGAGCAGTACCGTGTTCGACCTGAAGCTCGCCTACGATCCTGCCCACTTCAATCTGCGGGAGTACGCGGAGATGTGGTGCAGTGGCCAGCTGTCTAACTTTGATTACCTCACCATCCTGAACAATGCCTGTGGACGTAGCCTCACGAATGCCGCCCATCACCATATAATGCCCTGGGTCACAGACTTTGCCGGCCGCAATGGAGCCAACTGGCGGGATCTGTCCAGAAGCAAGTACCGGCTGAACAAGGGCGATGTTCACCTTGATCTCATGTATGCCCATGCTAGCCAGCATGGAGCTGTCGATGGCTTGGGTGGGGAACAAGTACCCCATCATGTCTCGGATTTTCTCTCCGAAATTACGTACTTTGTGTACATGGCCAGACGGACGCCACAATCCATACTCTGCGCCCATGTGCGACCCATTTGGGTGCCGGCAGAGTACCCGGTGTCCATACAGCGACTGCAGGAGTGGACCCCCGATGAATGCATACCGGAATTCTACTCGGATCCAATGATCTTCAAGAGCATACACGAGGATCTGCCGGACTTGGAGCTGCCTGCATGGGCCACCTGTCCGGAGGACTTTATCTGCAAGCATCGCGAGGCCCTGGAGTCGCAGTATGTGTGCGAGCGACTGCATCATTGGATTGACTTGAACTTTGGGTGAGTTTTGTGTCCCCTAGAGGTTTCTTTTAACTTGTTCTTTGCTTTGTCCAGCTACAAGTTGAGTGGAAAGGCGGCTGTCAAGTCGAAGAATGTCTGCCTTACTTTGGTGGACCAGCATCGGAATCTCAGCCAGCGCGGCATTGTGCAGCTGTTCACCCAGGCCCATCCGCCACGACGGTACGCCACGCCGTGGTTCAACAAGACCGCCCCGCGGATGAGTCAACTGTATGGCAGCCCCTCCAAGCGTCTGGCCAGGAGCACAGAGAACTTGAATGCGGATTTCAGTTCCTCCTCCAACACTTCACTGCGCCCCAACAACGATTCGTCGAGCGGAGCTTCCGTCCACAGCAGTTCGGCCTCCGCCTCCAACTTTTATGCCATCACCAACTTTATAGACCTGCCCGATAACTACAATCCCACCGTGCTGCTGCAGAATCTGGAGACGCTGGAGGCCTTCTATGCCCGCACATTCCCACAGCAGAGGGCCTCTGCGAATCCTGAGGAAAAAATGATCAACAGCGATCTCATGTTCGAGCAGAACTCGGCGGATCATTCGTTCACGAATCAACTGTTTGCCGGCGCCGAGATCCACACCAAGTCCAAGAATCTCTTGCGGGAGAAGAAGAGCTCGCTGCTGCATCTGTTAGGTGTGCGCAGGGAACGCGAGCTGCAAGTCCTGGGCTGTCTAATTGTGGAGCTGTTTGCGATGCAACGTCTGCGGCCGCTCCTTATGGGCAGCGGATTGACGGCGGCCTTTGAGGCTCGTCTGGCCGCCTGCCGCACCGTGGCCCAACTGCATCGCCAGGACCTGCCGAAACCAGTACGCCATGTGGTCCGACTGCTGCTGCAACTGGAAACGGATGAGGAAAAGGATCAAGGCCTGCCGCAGCCCCCCAGCCCGGCGCAGTTGGTGGAACCGATGTTCGCCAACCTGTTGCTGCCCTTCCCCAGCCACTACATAGCCGTCTATGCCCTGGTGAGATCTCTGCACGCCTTCGAGCTAAATGCCATCCTACTGGAGCTGCACACACACTTCAGTTGCCAGGGTGGTAGGGAGTGTGCGCGCTACACGGAGATGGATCGCCAGCGAGTGCTGTTCGACCGGAAGATAGCCGAATGCAAGGTCATGTCATGCTGTGCCCATGTCCGGAGGCTCCTAGAACCCGTGGCCTTTGCCTACGAGCAGTACACGCCCGTGGAGTTGCTTCTACCCCACATTATTGATCTGCTTAGGGATGAGCGCACCTCTATTCTGACCGCGTGGAATCTCTTTGATTCGATTGCCCAGGCTCTGGGTGTGGCGCAGACCCAGCAGCATCTACTGCAGCCCCTGCTCAAGCTGTACGATGTGGATGGAACGAGTGTCACCGATGATGGCACTTCCATTGGAGGGGCAGCCGGACACCTGCGCTTCTCCTCCAGCAGCTCCTTCAAGTCGCGCAAGTCGGTGAAGCTCTACCACCACAGCTTCCTTCTCCGCTTGATTGTGCGTTTCGGCCTGCGCTGCTTCCTGCAGCACTTTATCGCTCCCCTAATCGAGGCGGTGGGCGGCTACAAGGAACCGGAGCAGGGCAACGGATATCACTACCACAGCGGCGGCAGTCGACGAACCAGCAAGAATCTTAACTTTGCCGCCGAGGAGGATGAGCGCCAGCCACAGCCACCGCCAGCAGCGGAGGCGGAAGCCTCCAAGCCAGACATCGAAGAGCTCTTTACGTTCGAGGAGGATCAGGATAGAATATCCAGTCAGGAAAGCAAATCCATCGATTCGTTTGACATGCGCCCGGCCACCGCCACCAGTGCGGAGGAGGCGCGCGAGTCGGATGGTGGCGGATCACCCGACAAACTGGTCATTAACGAGCTCATCTACGGAGCCAAACTCTCGCCGGACAAACTCTCCCTACAAGAGGGTCAAACACCACCAATTCTGGCCCCCCCACCCGTCCTGGGACCGCGTTCTCCCACCATTGAAATACCCAATCCCACGATCGGCATTCGACGCAGCTTCCAGCTGAGCGCCATCGACTGCGACATTGGCTCGCGAAAGAGCGTGGACAGCTTCGAGATGATCACTCAGGCGGTTCAGCAGGAGGCAACACAGCCAGCAGCGGCTAGCGGAGGGGAGGCGGAGGGATCAGACTCCTTACAGGCTTCGGTTATATCGAGGATGTCCGAGGCCAAGGCCCTGCAGAACAATCGCATTAGCGAGATGAGTGCCGAGAGTCTAGTGTGGCTGTCGCATCGACTGGGTCCGGTGCTCACATCTCGGCACATAACCAGGAACCTATTGAAACTGCTCTCCCTATGCTATGTGGGGCAGGAGAACCTCCTGCCGGAGTTGGATGATGATGGCGTTAGTTCTTCCCCTGAAGCGGCAAACCTGAACTTTTTTAGCATTGCCAATGCACGCGTTGTGGGGGATAGGAGTGCGGCCCGTGTACTGGAGTGCCTGATGTCCATAGCTGGTGAGTGTGCCACATTAAAGAATGTCATGTCATCTCTAGAAACAAGGGCCCTGCATGAGTCCAATCCACAGTACTCCAGCTATACTCAAGCCTCTTTAATGCTTTCCATCATTACGAATGCTTCCTTCAGTCAGATTCGGATCAGCCCGAATCACTAAAAAAGTAACGAGTAAGCTGAAACAAGAAGCGAATCGATTCGGTTGCCTGTTCATGCAGGGCTCCACTAGAAACCCTCCTCACAATCACATATGCATTTATGTCTGTATGTTCCAGCTCTCTATGGGGAAAACTTTCTCCTTCTGCAGTATTTCCCGCACATCAGTGAGCTGATTGGCCTGTGCTCCAAGCGAATCACTGGCAGCCTGGAGGGGGCCATCATTAGTTCGCTCCAGCTGCTCAAGTTCATGGTGCCCTGTCTGACGGATTCGAGTATAATGGAGCATCTGCAGCACATACTGCTGGACGCCATCCTACTGCCCATTCTGCGGCTGCTTAGCTCCACCAATCTCCTGATGCCGAGCGGCTATCTGGGTCGTTCGCTGCTGGCACGAAAGTTCCTGGATGCCATCTACGCATTGAGTGTGCGCCTGGGATCGGATATGACGCGCGAACATCTCTGCCAGTCGCTGCTCTGCCCCTTCTTTCTTATATTCAACAAGGCCTTTGGTCTGCCCAACGAGTTCGGCTGCGACTTGGCACATCTGTCCCTGGTGGGCGGTGCTACTCAGCGGGAGCGTGCCCTGGAGGAGTTGAGGGATGTTTTTGGTCCGGAACTGGCGCACACCGCCTACCTGGCATTCCTGCGCTTCCTGGGCGAAGCCATCATGCAGAGGACGCTCACCAATCTGGAGTTTGTGCTGACCCTGTGCCACGAGCACGAGCAACCAAGTGGCGGCGGCCAGAACAAATCTAATCTGGCTTCCAGTGTGATACCCGGACAAGATGAGGACACCGTAGACACTTCCTGCGAGCTGGCTGCCAACAGTTTTGGCACCCAGATCGTTGGCAATCGCCTCCAGGTGGTCAGAAGTAGCATGGAACTCCTCGACATGGTGGCCTACAAGTTGGATCAGCTTCCCAGCAGTCGCCATCTCAAGGGCAACTGGTTGGCCTACTGGCGGCACGAGACCACACGCAGCGAGAAGGACAATCAGGCCCTGAACCTAAAGCAGATCCGCCTGCAATCGTTCGTCGGACACACAAATTCTGTGCGGGCCATCTACGCCTTGGACAACGAGAACAGTTTCGTGTCTGCCTCCAAGGATAAGACGGTGAAGTTGTGGTCGCTGCGCAGCGAGGGAGACGGCAGGAAGACCACGGCCTGCCAGTTTACCTACACGGCCCACAAGAAGTCCATACACTCGCTGAGCTTCCTGGAGTCGCTGCGCTTCGTGGTGTCCTGTGACTCGGGAGTGCATCTATGGGATCCGTTCATGGGACGACCTCTTGGAATCTTGGACGCTCCCCGACACAGTGCCGTGACCGTGGTCAAGTGCCTGCCCTCCCACTCCCCTCTGGTGATTGCGGGGACAGCCGAGTCCACGGTAAAGGTGATCGATGCTAGATCCATGGAGTACGTCAACGAGTGGCGCGTCTGTCACCCGGCCCTGCCCAATGCGACCGTTCGCTGCCTGGCCGTTGCTCCCTCGGGCAATTGGCTGGCCGCTGGCCTCTCTTCTGGCGGTATTGTGATGCTGGACACGAGAACCGGCATGGTTCTGAACTCCTGGCGACCCATGGAATGCGACCTGCTCCAGCTGACGGCGCCAAGTGATCAGTTTTTGGTCAGCTCCGCCCTGGATCATAGCCTGGCCGTGTGGCATGCTCTGGATGGGATCATGCACTATCAGCTCAAGTGAGTTTCATAAATATTATTGTAGCGAAATTTGCAACTAATCAGAGATATCTTTCCTATAGACCACCACCGGAACCCGCTCACTTTCTGCAGAGTGTGGGTCCTGCCCTGGTGTATGCCACCACCGGCAATCGTGTGGGTGTCTATGCAGATGTGGCCGACTCGCATGCCTTCAACACGATTACAAAACTCCGTTCGGAAACTTTCCGTGGCGTCCTCACCTCCCTGGCTGTGTTGCCATTGAATCGGGCCTTTCTCACTGGCAACGAAAGCGGAAACATTGCCCTGCTCTGCTAGCCTCAGCGGAAGCAATGCTTGTACAATATTATGACATTATACTACACTATAAATATTTAGTTTACTCTCTCTATATACTCAATGGCACCAAATATTACTTTAACGCAAGACACGTTTCAATTTCCACTGACTGTCTATAGATGTTTGCTGTAAACTGAAGGAATTTACTACAATACGATATGTTCAAGAGTTCTCGCACAATTCAGTCAGTCTGGTCAGTGTAGGCTTTTGAGGCGTGTCCTTATAACATAAAGAAATTGTTCTAAAATTATCCAAATTATGAACATTCACGATTATAAAATGTGAGCATTCCAGATATGCCCTTGCAGACATACATATGTATGTACTCTCCATTAGTACGTACAAAACAATATATAAATATGTATTTAAAAATATTTATTTAAGCTGGAAAGAGGTAAAATTTATTTATATAGAAATATACCCAAATCTACTCGATTCGATATGTATGTAATTTTCAGCACCAACTTTCGATCTCCACTGACTGGAGGTCTGCCCTGAAACCAGTTTACGGGACGCGATCAAAATGATTTGCTCCCTCGTTTTTAATGCCTTGCTTTTTTTCTTGATTTCCTTTTGCACATTGCCTTGGATTGGGCCAATGAACTGACGGGAGTAGCAGCAGCGGACGTTGCATCCGACGATGCCGAGATCTCTGAGGCTGTGTGGAGAAGCAGAGAGCGAGAGGGATAGAGGACAGGGCCGTCTGGTAGTATGCGTAGAGGACGTATACTATATGGGAGATCGTCCGTTCGAACGCGTTGCATTTATTTTTGGGCGATGCCCCGACAACGATGTGGAGATGGGGGCATGCTGTCGCCTTTTTATGGCAACTTTTTTGCATTGGAATTTTTGTTGTTGCTGCTGTTGTTATTGCCGGCTGCAATTTCCGAGTTTCTGGAGTCAGGTCGTCGACGTATGCGTAAGACAATGATTCTGGGCGCTTGTTACAATGAGGATTTACAGAGGACAATAGTGCGTCTAACTCCAGCAGGGCCCCCACTTCCACCCAGTTCGGGATTGGAGTGTGCTCCGCACTGCACTGGGATCCGATGCGATGCTTTGCTTAGGCTGTCACCTTGACTTTAAGGAGTCGAGTCGTCTTTATATCGCACTGTGGATGTAGTGCGTAAACTCTGAATGCGTGGAGGGGTGATGTGAGTAACGGAGCCCGAGCCAGAGCCAGTGCCCGGCCCTTATTCTCCACTGAATCAAACTAGTTGGACCTGTTGGAAATGTACGACAAATATACGTTGAATTTACTCGCATATAAAAGAAAGTAAGTAACGGAGGCACCGGACATAAAATAATGTGAGTTAAAATTAGTTAAATTTTTTTTTTAATTTTTTCTTTTTTGTTTAAGTTGGTTTAAACCTTATCCAAATTGTAATTCTTTCCGCATTCGAAATTCTACTTTTTCTAATCAAATAACTGGGTTTCAGGCCTCTTTTGTTAGGTTTTCTCTTTAATCTTCTTAAGAAACACTTAATTCCTTTTGTAATTCTCTACTTTTTGTAAATTATCATATTAAATTACCATTTACATCAAACGTCATTAGAGTTGATAATAGCCATCCGCTTTCATTCATAAACATTCATCAAACAAAATAAATAGCAACAGGTTATTTTTAAAATTTCCTTTACATTTTTCCCGTTAAGGTTCTTCTTCTCCTCCTTGAATTCCTTTCCCTAATTCAGAATTCCCACAGTCTGACCTTCCCCAACATTCAAGCTCCTCATTGCAGCTGACAGACATACACTCATCAAAAGCCCACAAAAGCCAACCCCCCAGTGACGCTAACATCATGATCACGATGCGCGGTGAACGAATAACAAAAATGCCAGACACGACATGAAAATATGTGGGGAATTCGAAATTTCCGAGAATTGTATTGCATGAAATTTCACTTAGTTGCCCGAACAGGCAAGCAGCGTAAAAAGCAGACGGCATTGTTATGCTCGGAATGCTTGTCAGTTGTGAGCGCAATGGTTGTCCAGGGTTGTCAGAGTGCGGTTTTGGTGGCGGCCACCGGACTGCCGACGATCACAACAGGTGGTCTGACAACCCTAGCTTCCCAGCGCGCCCACCCCACGCTCCTCCCACACACACATGCAAGCATGCTGCCATTCCAAATATTTCGAAAAGAATGCGGTCCGTCCGTGTGTGGTGTGAGTTTTTTTTTACATTCAGCCGCTTAACATTCGCGACATGCCAGCGAGAGCGAGGGAGACGGCACGAGGAGCGTTGCCAGAGCAAACACTTTTGAGGACCACAAAATGTTACCAACATACAACCGAAAAATCCAACCAGGCGATCAGCAAATGCAAATCGTGAACGCGCGAGAGAGCGGCTGAGTATAGAAGCCACCTTTCCATTCCCCTGATCCATCCATGGACCCTGGGTCTGGTGGTGGCAAAGTGGCAGCAGTGCAAACGCGCATGAAAATGTCTACAAAATGTTACCATACACTCGAAAAACCGGAATAGGCGAACAGGAAATGCAAATGCATCGAGACGATAGAGAGCCCCTTGTTTATAAATTCAAGAGAGACAGTTTATGCCATCAATTTTATAACTCACACCCACAGCCGGGGGCGACGAGTCAATAAATTCTCGCCGGCCGCATACGTATTTTATAGTCGCACATTGCAGATCTGACATAATAACTAAGAGGCGCGCAGAATGCGTAGCTGCTGTACTGTTAGCGTTCAACCCACACACTGTTACCACTAAAGTCAAGCCAAGGCGAACGCGAACGCGAACCCCAACTCCCCAACTTCCCAGGTGCCCCAGGCCCCCAGGCCGCAGAACTCAGACCCCAACCAACACACCGTCATCATCATCTCGAAAGGCCGCCATTGGTGTTTGTATTTGTATAATTAGCAGTAAACAACACGCCTCTCTCTTCCACAGGTCGCTGTTCGTTTTTTTGGATGTCGCTGCTGGTAGCCGTCGTTGGCTTTTGGTTTTGTGGGCGTTGCTGGAACTCTATAAAATCGAATTTTTAACGTTCAAATGGTAACAGAGCCACAGAAGAAATAAGCTGTGCGGCAGGGTGTGTGTTTTTTTGGCGCCGCACAGTTTTGTTTTCGTCATCTGTTATTGATTTTTGCGACATGTTAATGCTGAATGCCTGCTGCTAGTTAACAGGCGCCCACCCCATGAAATGGCATTATTAGGATTGCCAAAATCATAGCAAGACGATTAACGCTGAGAGAGGTACTTTCGGTTCATTCTTCAGGCGTCAGTCTCTACGAGAGCAAGTGAGATGGATATACTATTTATTAGTTTTAGTCCGGGTTGCCAATTGGCTAGCTGGATAAAACAGAATATTCTCCATTCTAAGATACTGATAATTGCTAGAGCTCTTTCATCAACCATTAATGTTAATATAGTTCCAGTGCATAATAATCTAAATATGTAATAACACAACACATTAAAATTAACATTTAACGGGGAAACATTGCAGGAAAGGAAAACAGAAAGCAGTCTTCAAAATTTAAGGAGTAAAGATATTGGTAATTATTACATGATATAATTTTAAGGGACATGGTGTGACAGAGGAAATATATTATATTTACATCTGTCCAATGGAATAAATGCTAAAAGAGTCGTAATACTCCATGCTCTAGTTTTAGAACAATTCTAAATGAAAAGTGCATGGCAAATTCGCTAACGGGATTCAACATGCTGACGTCACCAGACAAACGAGTGTGTGAGCGGGACAGCTCTATGGTGTGTTGCGCCCATTCTGTAGGCAAGAGGCAATTTAAAATCGTATGGATTTCATTTCGAGAAACGCAATGCAGCAATAATGGCCGAACGAGGGACTGGCCGACGCTGTGCGCCTGTTCGCAAACGATTAAATTCAGTTTAATCATCCACTAAACAGCTACGAGATACCGTTTCGTTCGTTATTATTATTATTACATGCAACAAGTCGCTCCGCACACAATAAGAGGAATGTCGAAAACGACACAGAAAATGGTGCAAACAAACGAATGCGGCCACTTCTTCTTCTGCGCGTCAGTGTACAGTAAACAAATTGGATTATCCGAAGAGTGGGGAAATGGGCGCACTCACTCGCACTCTCATTCAAATCAATTGAAAGACAGTACATCTCTCTATCTCTCTAATCCCTACACACACACACACACACACGCACACCCGTCTAGACCATCCCCATCTGTGCATATTCATCTCGCTCGCACCTGTTGCCGACGCTTCTAACAACATTTCTATTGAGTTTTCATTGAAAATCTAATCGCTCGCTCTGTCGCTGGCATGCTGCTAAATCTCATGGAGGCCTAGTAAAAATGTTTGTTGTTTCTTAAAGAGCAAGAAGAAGCCCCACACGGCCACTGCCACCCAACCACCACTCGCATCACATACGACACACCACTCACCACACAACACACACCACAGCCAGCCCCAAACACACAACTGTACTTTCTCTATGGGACTCATTCGCCCCGGTTCGGCTGCAACAATGTTTCTATACTCGCATTGGATTCGATGATGCCCCCCCGCCCTCACCCACACAGTCGCACACCAATCACCTTCTCAGCCAATCACGCTCTCAACTTTTGAGTCAAAATGTTGTAATCATGTGCTGCGAACGCTGTTCGCCTGATACCGAGTGGAACATTCGCTGAATTGAAACGCTGCTTTCAACCAAGGATTTTGGTTGGATGTGCGCGGGCAACAAAGAAGCAGAACTTCTTTCAACCACCTATTCCACCTATTCAGGCCGGGCCCCCTGAAAATGTTCGAGTAGTGTTTCCCGATTTGCTCTGCTTGAATTTCGATTCGTTGCTGCCTGGCTATTCTCCTCCCTATATATGAACAATAAAAAACGAGCAACAATCACTAATACATTCGGAAATATAGTATTGAATTGCGCTATTGCCTCGTCGAACTCGAGGGGCTACACAATTTCAGTAAATAGTATTTATACATAGATAAAGACTGGCACTTCCGCAATTCACTAAAAAAGCAGTAATATAAGGGAATTAATAGAAATGAAAATTTCAGGGCTGATACTGAACCAATGGATTGGTCTGATGAGTCATGTATAAATTATGAACCACACAAATGCAGCCATAATCTCTATAAATATGGATATTTCGTTGCCATTCAAAAATTGCATTGCATGTTTATTTTTTTTAGCCATTAAAGTATGAAATGTTGCAATCATTAGCTGTGGACAAGTCTTCACATGAACATACTCAAAGAGTTAGCGGTACATATATTCGATTTGTGGTGGCAGTGGATGTGTTTAACACCCAGAAGGAACACCCACCCGACCCCATTATGCATATATATTCTTCAGTCGATATAGCCATGGCTGTCTGTCCGACCGTCCACCTTGTTTGACGCCTTGTTCTCAGAGACTATAAGAGCTAGAGCACCGAAATGTTGTATCCAGTCCAGTCCTGTGCTATCACACTATTACAAGTGCATTTCCCTTGCCCCCTTCCGCCCTAACAAGGACGGAAATCGGGGCATCCACAATTTTGAAGATGCTAGAAAACGGATAGATATTGATATTGCCAAAAGGAATAAATGAAGTTGCGGTGTCTCTGTGTCTCTTTCTTTCTCACACACTCTTCCTCGAGCAGTGCTCGTCCTCTGGCGGAGGGGAGGTATACTGACAATACCGGGTATAAATTAGAGCCGCGGCCTTTGCCACGTCTCACAACGTTCCCTCTCAGCCACTGACGTATTTAACGTTGCTGTTGAAATGTTGTAATCATCTGCTGGGAACGCTGTTCGCCTAGTTGGATTCGTACCGAGTTGAACATTCGAATTGAATAGCACCGCTTCTTTCAACCCCGTGACTGTTTGCCGAAGACCGTATTTCATTTGGTGGGTGCCGTGCCAGGTAAAAAAGTACCAGAGTACCTTTCAACCATTGGGTGGATCCGCTGCTGCAGACGCTGTTCGCCTGTCACCAAGTTGAGCATGAATTGAAACGCGTTGCTTTCAACCAAGGATTTTTTGTTTGAATGCATCAGAATCAACGAAGCAGTCAATCGAGCAACCAGTTGGTTGCTTTTGCAATCAAACCGTCGGACCGAAAAGACTCACAAGAATAGAGAGGCATATGTTCTGTTATATAGTTGTATCGAAGCTATTGCCGATCGACAATTGACTTTTAAAGAGGATATGTATCAAACCAAAAAACTTTTGGCTTTGTAATTGATTTTTGTCCAGAATTAATTGAAATTTCAAGTTTCATCTGGTTACCAGGTTCTATTCATTTAAAATAATGTTTTTAAGTGGTCCCTGCTTTTCATATTATCCTTATTTCTTCTTATTTGCATATTTACAACTTTCCCCGCCGTGAACGGCAATGATGGCAATGAAAACATTTGCTGTGGAAGCTTCCATCGTCCATTGTGGGTATGAATGCCAATCACCTTTTCAATTATTTTGTTTCTACGGAGGCTGTTCCCCTGGTCGGATTGGTACCGAGTTGAACATTCAAATTGAATAGGAAGACTGCTTCCAACCCCGTGGTTGCATGCGGAGATCCGCAATTTGGTTGAAGGCAACAAAGAACTAGAACTTCTTTCCACTCATTGAATACGGTGTTTTTGCTGCTGCAAACGCTGTTCGCCTGATACCAAGTTGAAACCCTGCAGCGTGGCGATTTCGACGAAAAGAGGTGGCAAAAGTCGGAGATTTTTTAGCGCTTTGGATACAATGAATATACGCATTTAATAGAGAATTTTCCAGAGCTTTCAAAAATCAAACCTTTAAAAAATTCAGACTTTTAGTTTAGAAGATATGAGCACTCAAAGTTGAAAATTGTTTCAGTGCGCAAAATTTTTTTTTAACTTTTATTCAAATACTGCATCTTTCACGTGGAAAAAAAAAGTTAACTATGTAACGTATGATTCTGTTTTTGGTATCTTTTATTAGTTGTATTAATTCTTAAGAAAAATTTTTAAAAATATGGTCAGTTGCATAGGCAGTTGTTTAGAAAAGCTTGTTTTGCAAACCATCTAAAAATTAGGCTGTTTTTTAACTTTGACTGGACTTTTAAAAAATATTTATCTAAATTTTCCCGAGATTTTTTTTGCATATGTTCCTTGAACTATTTATTACCTTAGTCGAAAAGCCCTTTCTGCGCTTCGGAGCCGTTTGGCTATCACAGCTCTTAAATCCCATACAAAATCATATTTTGTCCACGTCCACAGGACGAGCAATAGGAAGACCAACAAAAACCCTGGAGAAGTGTTCAGATTACACTACAAAGCGAAAACTTGTAGATGCAACATGTCATATAGATACGGATCATTTATCGGAGGCACTGTCAATTAAATATACGAACAACAAGGAAAACAAGAGAGCGCATATAAGAAAAGCTGTATCTAAGGCAAGCCCGGTGAGACTTGACAGGATAACGAATAGCATCATCACGCCACCGAATCAGCAGTAGTAAAACTTCAAGACCTGGTGCAACATACTACGAAACGGTTCATTAAAAGCTTACCTCACCATCAAATTGAGAGTCTGCCACCCAATCTCACTTAGCTTTGCTGGGAACTTAAGAAGTTCGCCCAGATCAGCTCAACTTTGTCTGATTTGTACCTTTTGTATGCCCTAGATCCATGCATATGGACTTTAAAGGTATTCTTTTCAAATGCCAACTTTTTTTGGTTTGTATTTTTTTGAACTTTTTTAGTTCGTTGCGCACTTAGAACTAAACTAATCAACTCGTAATCCATTTACCATTTCAGGGGCTATGTATATCCGATGTATCATCAGTTTTGGACACTGAGAGCCAGCGTGTCGCCACTGACACTGGCCATACTCTCCTGACCCCCAGATGACCCAGAAGCGGCATGCTTCTCCCGAATGCCCAGCCAAGGCAATCGACGCTCCAGCTCCAGGCGGAACTTGGGATGACTGGTGGCATACACCCAGGGATCCAGGCAGGAAACAGACTTGGCGGCCAGGCACGGCAGCATGGAGACGAAGGGCGTTATCAGCTGTTGCTCCCCAAAGCAACCGATCAAGGCCACCACCGAGTACGGAGTCCAGGCCAGGATGAACAGCATATAGATGATTAGGGCTGCCTTGGCAATCCGCAGCTCCACACTCATGTTGTCGTTGGAGGCATTGGCCGACAGCGATTTCACATTCATCTTCTTGGCCTGATTGGCCAGCATCTTCTCGTGGGTGCGGACGTGGGTGAAGAGCTTGTAGTAGGAGGTTAGGATCATGGTCATCGGTATGACATACGACCACACAAAGATGGTGCGCACAAACAGTCGATTCTCATCCGTGCTGGACAGATAGTCGAAGGTGCAGCTAGTCAGGAAACCCTCTGAAAGATGGATTCTTGTCAATTCTTAAAGGTACGTACTCTGCCGGCTGTGGCCAAAATCAACTAACCCGGCTGATAGCGGCCCCAGATCTGAAATAGGGGTAGAACCGAAAAGGGCGTGGCCCACAGCCAAGTAAAAATAATCAAGATCACAATTTGTCCGTAACTTAAACGCCCATCAATCGGGTTCGAGATGGTCTTGTAACGGTCGAAGGCAATGAAGGCATTCGTTATTGATGCGCCCATGCCAGATATGCCGCCATTCAACGCATAAATATCGCATCCTAGATCCCCGCCAACGATATACCCAACAGCCGCATTGAGAAGATAATGCGGCATATTGCTACACATGAACAGATCAAAGACGGCCAGATTCAGAATCAGCAGATTAGATGGAGTTCGCAGGGACTTGGAGCTGAAGAGAGAAACAATTTAGGAAACAATTACATAAGTTAGGAGTGAAACCTTTCTTACGTGGAGAAAATCCAGATGACCAAGCCATTGCCAAATAGATTGGAGAACATGAGGACTATGAAGGCAATGTAGATGCCGGCGTGATAATAGATGGGTGCTTCGCGAAATCCCCGCCAGTGGGCATGCACCATATGCTGATATTCCGCCGGATAGCTATGTCCAATGGGATAGAGTGTGCCGCCGACATCACCAGAGCTGTCGTTCACAAAGGCCTGCGGCCCACTCGGACCATTGAGATGCATCCTGGCAGGAAGACTTGAACTTGAGTTCCACAAACCACTGCCCTGGCGCCTCTACTTTGCTCTGGTACGTCCCCACATTCTGGCCTTTGACTGGCCTGTGGAGCCTTCGGTCAAGATGTTTTTATAGCAGGGCTAAGGAATTTAATTAAGGCGGATTATTAGGTGAGAATGTCTTGTCCGCGGTGCGTGTGCATACCTTTGGAGGATTATCCTCGCCTTAGCCGCGTCTTAAGACAATTAGAATGCCAACGTCAGGCGAAATTCAAGTTCCAACGCCTTTTGCAGTCGCTCCCGCTCTGGCATGTACAAAACGTGTATAAGCGAGACGAACATTTGTACGAAATACGAAATCTGACACTCAGTTGCGGCGTCAACAGGGTGGCAGTTTCGAGCAGCAAGTGGATTGGCTTCGAGCAGCAGAAGTAGCAGCCGACACGACACTCTCGTTGCGGCAGGGCGCATCGCATCGCATTCACAATTAATCTCCATTTCCGCGGGTCTTTTGCCGGCTTCGACCTGTTTCTTTCAGACGCAAAAATGCGCACCGGCGCCCAGCAAAGGCGACAAAGCGCAGGCGCCAGACAGAGACCACTCTATAGCGCACTGCACCATCCGCCACCACTAGCAGTCTCGCTCTCTCTCTGCCGCTCACTGACTCTCGCTCTCTCTCTTGGCCAATGCTTTTGCCTGTTTTCTGGGCCCCTGGTTGGTTCGGCGCTGTTATTTCACAATGACCCACCTTCACGACTGACAGCGACGGCAAAAAAAACGCGTCGCTTCGCGTCGCATCTCATCGCCTTTGCCTTCGCGCGATTTCTGATTGTTGTTCCGTTGTTGTTTGGTATTGAACGTAGCTCCGTTGTTGACTCTGTTTTATTATATCAACAACAAAAAACAAAAACAGCAACATTTTCATTAGGCGGACAGAAAATATAATATCGTACCATATAACAACAAGAAGAACGTCAGAAACAACAGCCAAACAACAAGAACAACAGCTACATACGTACGGATATACGGCTGGGCTGGCTTTCGCCTTTGTTGCGAAGCGGAATCCATGTTTGTATTTCATGACGATGGCCTGTGTGAGTGTGTGTGTGTGAATGAGGACTAGAATCATGTGGGTGTATGTCGAATTATTTGTACTCTTACAATTGCGGGCGAATCAGGTATGTATATACATAAGTTACGTATATTTGATATGTTGTTGGATGTGTTTAGCATGGTATGCACCTATGCTAATCGTTTGATCCTCAAAATCATTATAGAGCACGAATTCATACAATAACGTATCGAAAAAAACATTTATACGAGTATATCCGATTTATAAAATTATAAATATTCTGTTAAATGTATCAATGACACATGCTCAATTGTTTGCAGGGCATTTGCCAGAACGAGACCAACCAGACATTACTCGTTCGTTCTCGTTCTGGTTTTTTGCCTTCTGAGCTCGTCTCGCCTTGACCGTATTTTCTCATTGCCAAGTGAAGGACGCACCTTGAAACTCAAGGATTTTCAACGTTTTGCGAAATTTTGCAAACTTTTTCGGCAAAATGTGGGTCATCATGTGCGAATTTTTGCACAACGCTCGGAGCGTTGGTGGAGCTTGCTATACTGGAACGGAAGTGGGGGTTGTGGTGGGGGCCCTCACTGACTGTCGATGAGTTCATATTATTTTCGAGTGGCATTGAGATGAGCGCCGCAGAAACAAGTTCCTCTGTGTTTGTGAGTGTATGTGATATCCACTCGATGCGTGGCGTTGAACTCTCGCCGGTGGTTGGTAGTGTGTTTGGGGGCCACAGCGCATTTTGGGTGCCACAGCTACCAGCTAAACATTTTTGGGCGCCTCATAGCACAGGTTGTGATTTGAGCTTTTTTGGAAGCTAAGGTTAAGGTTATTCGCTAATTGCCACAGTGCAGCAGCAGCAGAACAAGCAGCAGCAGAACAAACAGCAGCGGTACTAACGTTTTGGGTCCCGGTACGATTCGAAGGTTGATTGGTACATTAGCCGTCGCAACGTGTCAACGCCTTGCATGTCCGTCCCGTTTCTTAATAGTGCGGTCAGTCAGGCCCCAAAATCCAGTTTCGGGAACAGGCGCGCACAATGCGGCAACAAGTGGACGCCGCCTCGGCATTGGCGTCATCATCGGCAGCGCAAATCAAAAACGCGCACTGCCCTCGGACCCCACCATTCTCCGACAGTGGGGAGCCCGTGCATTTTGTGTTTGGTCAGGGCGTGGTCTGACATCGACTGGCCGACTGGCCAGTGGATGGGATCCAAAGGGGAACAGTCGTCGACTGCGGACTGTGAAGATGGGTTATAGGGCGTTAGCTTCTCTTGGCACTCGGCCAAAACGGCAGGGAATGAAGTAATACAGTGCGTCGCTACGTTCAGGGTTACGTATTTCGTGTTCATTTATTTTATGTGCAGTTCAAGGCTATCATCCGCCCCGTCCCCCTGTTTATAGGAAATCTTAAATGTTTTCCGGATAAAGCCGCCTGTTAAATTACATTTTACACCAGCTCGATAATCCTGTCAGACACTTCGTTTAAATTGTGAGAAGTAAATGACCCAAAGAGAATAAATAGATGGGGTCCATATGTACATATGCATTCTCATTGGTTAGCTACAAATTGAGACAGATTTAGTATTCTATTCATTCATTTTCACACCGTGTCTGGTTTCCGCTCAATTTGCGCCTGTTAAGCACTCCAATGCAGTAGGGCTGCTCAAAATAAAAAAAGCCAGGGCAAACATCAAAAGCTGACCACACGCTGACCATGGCAGAACTCTCGCAGAGGCTCTTGGAGCCCGTGCCAACAAACTGGTTTCCCCACGATTTGGCGCTTCTTCTTCCCCATACCGGTGGTACACACGAGCAGGCAGACGACGATGGTGGTGGTGAGGCCAATAGTTGGCTCTCTCTGCTTTTTGGTTTATTATTTTTTATCTTTTGGGGCCGTACGCTTCTCTTGTTCGGTGCCTCCACACTGTTTCGCTTCTGCTGCTTGCCTGTTATGATGCATGTGGGAAAACGTTGAACGCCCACAATAATAGATGCTTTTTTCCTTTCATTTCTTTGGCTTTGCTGTTAGTTGTCATTGTGGTTAGGAAATAGTTTTGTGGCCCGCAACGAGCGCTGGTTGCTGCGACCCCAGCAGAATTTTGTGCAATAAGCAAAATGACGGGCACAAAACAAAATGTCCGGCCGGAGTGGAGGTGCCCGCAACTTCCGCCGATGGCGCTCTACATGATGATCATTCAGTTTCTCGCGACGCGCCGCGACGCCAAGCCAACGCCATCTTATCGTAAGTAGCAGTTATATGGCTCATAGTCACAATCGAATGAAATGGATGGCATGGCCCTGACGTTGGGGCAATTTTCTGTTGGCCTGTGATGTGAGCAAACAAAATGACTACTCAAAATTGAGCAAAATGTTCGAGCGATTGCAGTGAGTGGGTCGTGCGTAGGTAGGGTGCGGGAGGACGAGGCCGCCCGCTCGTTCTCCATGGGTTTGCATTAGAAATTTTAGTTCAAACAAACAATGTTTTCTGTTGCAAAGTACAAAAGCGGGAGAGTGAGAGTGAGAGAGAGCGCGACTTTGTGGGCGTGTAGCATTGAGTTTTTGCCTTTGGCCGCCCCAGAGCTTGATATTCGCCAATCTGATGTGGCCCCATCTGTTGGGCAAACCCAGAACTAGCCATTCGTTTGGATTCAATTGCCCTTTTTTCCACCATTTGTGTCGGTTGGAGGTGGAGTGCCAGTGCCAGTGCATATCTCCCACGGGATTGTGCTCAAAATTACCCTCCTTCTTATAGTAGCAAGAGCTAGAGAGAGTGAGAACACAAGAGTGTGTTCTGTTCAATTAACAGATTTCATTCTAATAACCGTTAGTTTGTGGCTTTAAACTGCTGCAATTTGTCAGGTTTTTGTATGTGAGAATTTCTTTGCTTCGCCAGCCCACGGACTCATACCGTGGGCATACACACACACACCAACGACCAGTCGTCACATGGCAGTCCGTTAAAAACCCCTGCCACTGTGACACTATTGCCATCCCGCTCTAGCACACTGCGTGAGCGCACCAACGGCACAGTGTGCATTTGCGCTCTCCATCGACGCTTGAATTTGCTTCGATTGCCGCCTGCTGTACTCTCTGGGCGCCTGGTGAAAAAGAGGGAATTCACTTTTGGCGGGGTCTCGTTTTTCCTGGTTTGTCCAATCGGCCTTTTGTGGGCGCTGCTGTCTGAAATTGCCGCTCCGCCCGTCCAACAAAACACACACACGCTGTCGCACCCTCGCCCTCCGCCAGTCGCCAGTCCGAGCAGTGATGGCAAATTGTTGATAAGCTGATAACAAGGCGTCGACGGGCTTCAGGGGGCGGCTGGCATGGCATGGGATTTTGGTTTGCCTCCCCTCGTCGTGTCCGTCTGACTGGCTGGATTTTCTCTCTTGAAAATATACCGTTCTGTGTGATTGTCTGCTGCTGCTGTCTCTTTTCCATTTTTAGGGGAGGTAGTTAGTAATTTGCGTTAAATGTGCAGCCCAGCAAATTAATTTGCACGGTAGGCGTGGTTGTAGGCCTCCGCCCACATGCCCGTACATAGCAAAAAGGCACGTGCCGTCTATACCGAATCGGAACAAAAGTTATCCAATTCTCACAGACTTTTATACCGGTCGGCATGAAATTCGACAACGGCGACAAAGCGTCACAAAAACGAAACGAAATCGCTCCAAAGCTGGGGAAAAAAATTACCCCACAACACGCGCGGCGGCATGTGCGGACGTGGCCGGGCCCCGTGGTGGTGGCGGACTTTTTCAGACACGTTCGGTTTTCGGTTCGGTTTCCACCAGGCGAACAGAAATAACAGCAGGTCTTCCACCTGGTCATGCAGGCCGGCTGGCATCGGCAGAAACATCAGTCGGACCGAGTACAATGGGCCAGGCGGAATAATTTACCATCAAACTTCTTGGCGAATAAGACGAACAACTATCATTGCTACGAAAGGAAGGTTAGCTTTCAATGTAAGTGTATCGATACAGATTGTTTTAGTTAGCATTACAAAGTTACAAGAGCTTACGATAGATTGCTCTTAGCGAATTTCTGAATTTTTACTGAAATGCTTATAGCTTCTATATTTGCCAACAGATCTTGTTGACTTGTCTGACTTATCAGATCAGATCTGGTCCACATAGTAGTCCCCTACTACTGTGTAGTATATGTTAACCAGGTAAGCCAATGTACATGGTTCCATGTCACCAAAAAGTAAATCATCAATATTCTAGATCAGGTGACTTGCTTCCATAGGCCTTTTAGCCTTGCTCTTGTCAATTTCGACCAAGTTTTATAGTCGATCCAAGCTTGGACGTTGGACAAGGGTTGGAAGAACGTTGCCAGAACTTGAGGTATGTATCTATTATGTTAAGATGCAGTCCTTCTTAATGTCTTGAGAGGAATCCTCGTACCGCTAGTAAACCTTCATCCTAAATAACTAGCGACATCCCCGCGCCCATCAGAAAGAACACTAAAATGGTGGCATAATATGGAGACGGCGCTCACTTGCCAGGTAGCAAAAGTTCTCGAGCAGCGGTCCTGGGAATGGTTTGCCGGTGGCATTGTAAATGCATGTTATCTGACTCTGTTTGCTTTGTTAACAAAACTTTCTTGGACAAAAAATTGTTCGGATTAAGAAATTATTTTTGTCCGAGAATAATACATACCTTATAAAACCTAAAATAATCTGAAACGAAGAACGACATCCCAAGTTAATTTAATTGGGCCCATCAAAAGAAACCCAAGAAATCGTAAATTTGTTGTGAATTAGTAGGTTGGATGTATTGTTACATAAGAACGTATCAGCGACCATCTATGGTTAACAAGGTTAAAGACCTCGTTCTGCACTAGGTACAATCGTATCTTCCTGTCCCAATTTGTCTTCGCTTGTGTGAGCAAGTATGTGTTTGTGGTAGCTATTGTTTCTATATCTAAATGTCTTTGAGCAATGGGTACACTTGTAAGGATGCTCCCCTGTGTGAGATCGCATGTGTACCTGGAGATTCGACTTTCCTTTGAATGATTTCGAGCAATGAGAGCAGGGGTAGGGTCGTTCACCTGTGTGACTACGGGTGTGTATAAGATACTTAGATTTATCGCTGAAAGATTGTATGCAGTAAGAACACTTATGCAGTCTTTCCGCCGGAGTACAGATGTGTTCCTGGAGATGAGATAAGTCCTGATATGACTGTGAGCAGTAGGTACACTTATATGGTCGCTCCTCTGTGTGACATTGGATGTGTTGTTTAAGTTCGTATTGGTATTTAAATGACATCGAGCAGTGGGAACATTTGAAGCGTCGGGCACCAGTGTGCGTACGTACATGTTCTTGAAGATGGCCTTTCTGTTTAAATGACTTCGAGCAGTGATCACATTGGAATGGGCGATCACCTGTGTGCGTACGGGTGTGTGCTTGAAGATTGCATTTTTGTGTAAAAGACATTGGGCAGTATGAACAGTGGTAAGGGCGATCAACTGTATGCGTATGGGTGTGTGCTTTGAGATCGGATTGTAGCTTAAATGACTTCGAGCAGTGTGACTTCTTGTGTGTTCGAAGATAGCATTTTAGTCGAAAGGGTTTTGAGCAGTCGGAGCATTTGTAGGTTCGTTCTTCAGAGTGTAATTGTTTGTGTCTATTTAGATTCGATTTGTGCGTATAGCTCTTTGGGCAAAGACTACATTTGAACTGATGATCGACATCCTTATCACCGTGAACCTTTGCATTTTCAAATTGGTTCGTTAGCTCATTTCCACTATCTGAATGTTCCCAATCCCCATCGTCTTCCAGATTATGACAGATGTCTTCTCCTCCAGCCTCCTCCAACACTGGAATATAGAGCCTATGGCTCTGCTCGCAGGTCTTCTTAAAGCTGAATGCACTCACTGCATCCTCAAGGCAGGGCGGACATATGTTTTCCGGCAGTAAGTCCCCTCGACAAACCACGTACCCGGTGCACTCCGCTATCATGTCAGCAATGCAAGTGTCCCAGTTCTGTGGCTCATCAAAAATGTTTTTGAATGGTCCGGAGACTGGCGGTGCCATGCAGACTCTGCATACTTGCGCCATTTTTCTGCAAGTAAATGAATGTTAAATGATTGGAAGACTTAAATACCGCACTTACATGTGGTGGTGCACGAATTTTGTGTTGACCACAAAACATAAGAATTTGAGCTGTTAGACGCGAAATATAGCTCGAAAAATTTTGTGGGAAAAACAAACAAAATGTGCTGTTGGACGCAGTAGGTATCGGTATGAATGTGCTATCGCACTCCACTTTTTAAGTTGCAATGTGTTATGATCCGCCTCTTTGCCACCCTTGCCTATCGTTCCCAGCTAGCTCACGGGTCACATTAATTCATAATATAAATTCATATATAATTCATATATAAAGGAAACAAATACTAACACAAAAAAAATACTAACAAAAAAAATAAACCCTATTTCGGCCGAATTGGCAGCCCCCTTTGATAGAAGTTGTTGCTTCCTGATGTTTACGTTTAATCGTGGTGTTTTTTTTTATATGATCGTGATATATTGTTTAATTGGTTGGTGTGTGGGGACAGAAACGTGTCTCCAGTCGGAGCTCCGCAGACGGTTCCTTGGTGCCGGTGCTCCGCTGACGGTTCCTTGACGGCACCAGTTTTCCGGCCTGGCCAGTACCGGGATGCTGCTGCCGATGTCCGCCGCTTCTGCTGATGTTGATGCCTGCCGCTGATGTCTTGGTGGGATCGTCGTCTCCACGATCACCAATTTTGTTTCCTTTTTTTTTCTTTCAGGGCTCGTGCGGCCTCCACTATTCTCCACCGGAAACTCCCTTTTTCTTCCTCCTCGCCCCGTTTCCTTTTCTCCCACGCAACTCTGCCCCTGCTTCCCAGGATCCACTACAGATGCCGCTGTCTCTCTCTTCTTCAGCCCTGATACCTATCGGCTCTCTCCAAAACCGCCCATAACAAATGTTTTGTTTAAACATAATAATCATGCAAATTTGAAATTGCAGGAAGTCTGCAATGGACCGAGGACCCATGGGCGGAACGATCTAGGATCATGCACAAGAACAACACCTGGACCCAGTGCGAAAGGTAGGAGCATGTAATACACTATGTTGGCCACATGGACGTGATATTGAAGGTAGATAGATTCCTGCGCGTCTATTATCGTATCAAGAAGGCGCTTGAATTGCAGCGAATGATTGTGAAGAACAGAAGCAGTACATGCTAGAACCAGATACCTGCTTTTTTTGGGACAGAAATTCGGAATGACTATTCTATTTCATAGTTTTGCTTTATTATCTTTATTTTACAGACAAAATTGCTTCCATATACATATATATGCTTTTATATTTGGAAAGCTAGCGATAATTTTGCGAGTGACTGCAGGCGTGATTTTTAAGAGATGTTTTATGTTTGAATGCCTTCGAGCAGTCAGTACACAAATATGGTCGCTCCCCCGTGTGGGTACGGAGGTGTCTGCTAATATACCATTTATATTTGAATGACTTCGAGCAATGGAAACATTGGTAGGGACGATCGACTGTGTGCGTACGAGTGTGTATGTTTAGATCGGATTTTAGCTTAAATGATCTCGAACAGTGAGAACATTGAAAGGGTCGCTCACCGGTATGCATACGGATGTGTTTGTGGAGAGTTCCGGAGTGAGAGAAAGATTTCGAGCAGTGCATACACTTATACGGTCGCTCCCCAGTGTGAGTACGGCTGTGATGAATGAGCTGGGCTTTTTGTTGAAAAGATTTTGAACAGAGGGAGCATTTGAAGGGTCGTTCCCCTGTGTGCGTACGGATATGAATTTGTAGAAGTTTAGGGTACAAAAAGGACTTCGAGCAGTGAGTACACTGATATGGTCGCACTCTCGTGTGAGTGGGGATGTGAATCTCCAGAGACGCTTGCTCTCGAAATGACTTCGAGCAGTGAGAACATTTATATGGTCGATCTCCTGTGTGACTTTGTGTGTGATTTTTAAGAGATATATTATGTTTAAATGCCTTAGAACAATGAGTACACTTGTACGGTCGCTCCCCAGTGTGATAACGGAGGTGTACTTTGAGTTTATCTTTTTGCTTAAATGATTTCGAGCAGTAGGAACATTGATAACCTGTGTGCGCATGGGTGTGTGCTTGAAGATGGGACTTTAGTTTGAACGACTTTGAGCAGTCTGAGCATTTGTAGGGTCGTTCTTCAGTGTGTAATTTTTTGTGTCTATTTAGATTCGATTTATGCGCATAGCTCTTTGGGCAAAGACTACATTTGAACTGATGATCGGCATTCTGATCATCTTGAACCTTCGAATCGGTTTCAAATTGGTTCAATTTCTCAGTTTCACTATCTGACGGTTCCCAATCCACATCGTCTTCCAGATTATCACAGATGTCTTCTCCTCTATCCTCCTCCATCAATGGGAAATAGAGTTTATGGCTTTGTTCGCATGTTTTTTTAAGGCTGAATGCACTCAGTGCATCCTCAAGGCAGGGCGGACATATGTTTTCCGGCAGTAAGTCTCCTCGCCAAACCACGTACCCGGTGCACTCCGCTATTATGTCAGCAATGCAAGGGTCCCATTTCTGTGCTTCATCAAAAATGTTTAATGATGCTCCAGTCGTTCCCATGCAAACTCTGCATATTTCCTCCATACTCCTGCAAGTAAATGATTCTTAATAAACGGAATGCACTCTGCTGATATGATGGTGTAGCTTTACTGAATATTAATTGTTAATGTGTGTGTGTGTGTGTAGGAAGCTGGGTTGCATACGGTACATAAACCGTCTACAGTTTGGTCGTCGCAACTAGAACTTGAACCAGTTGGACTGCGGAGTGGGTATCCTACGGTGCGCAACGGAGGATCTGAAGACACGGCGATAGCCTCTGTTGATTGCGATGGAAGATGAGTGCCAGGCAGCTATGGTACTGTTTCTGATACTGATTTTTATTGAACAAATGCATCTCCTTATATAGCTAGCAGTGGTACTCTTATTCTATGGGAAGGAACGCACAGGCTCCTTGTGAGTGTATTTTTAGATTGGGTACACTTACTCTGTGCGGGGGTTACATTTCAGTGCATTTGCTTAGGTACTTGGCAGCAATAAAGTAGATAGTTTATTGCTTGATCCCTTTTGGTGGGTTCGAGTTTACAAGTGCTATTGTCTATTCTTAGTTGCTAATGTATTTTTCGTGTCGTCATATTCATTCACATGAAGTGACATGGACAATTTTATTTATGAGTATTTGTGTATGAGATTGAACTGTATATTCCTAATATTCATTAAATACATGTCTGTGGCTGAACATTAATGATTAATGTGAATTGTTTTGTTTTGAGAAAATGAAAATGAGAAAATGAGAAAACACACTGAATGGGCTGTTAAGCGCAAGCGAGCTTTCTTGATTAGATCCCTGGGTCGGCGGCATCATCATGAGCAGGCCACATACTGCAGCCATGATCGCGTACATAGCGCCAGCATCTGGTACATTTATTTACCTGCACTTTTTACGACGTACATTACCGGCATCGTCTTCCCTCCTGCACCATGCTTCACCTCATCTGCTTTGATCGGGTAAAATATCCTTGTTTCCCACATTGACAATTTTCTCATGGTTCTGCTTCTCTTCTTCTTGTATTCCCTCCAGCTCTATTTGGCGAGACGCTTTCTGGAGACAAACTGCTATGCCGTGATCCCCTCCTCTGACCCCGCCAGGTAAAGTTATTAAGTTATTATTTATTCATTTACTTTATTTAACTCTTTCTTTCATTTTAGCAGGTCGCATCATCACCTTTTTGGTCTTCCGGTTCATATAAGCAAGTGTGCGCCTGATGATGTCTGTCCAATTCAGGCGCCTGACCAGCTGACATCGCGAACTCCCAGCCGGCTCCCGCACACGGTGCCACGAGCCATGTGTGCCTCTCGAGCCATGATTCTTGTTGCTTTTTGTCCGACATTTTGGTCCGGCCACTGCCATGGCCATCTTCCTTGCGTCCCCCGCTGTTTTCTCCTCCACTGGTGATTCCGCCGTAGTTCCTCGTCCTCTGTGACAGCCACTGGCTTGCCTGTCCTGATGCCGCTGAAACGTTAGTGATGATCAGTGAGCTGCAGTGATCGACGGCGGAGTTGTTGGTTCACGCCAACGGGAAATAATGTCAGCAACCCCCCATTCATAAGCTGCCGAATGAAACGCTGGGCTTCAGCTTCGAGACGCGGGTTTTTGGAGTCCTTAGCGAAGTATCAAGGATATTTTTCCAAATACACGAACCTATGGAACGGCCAGATCGGCCCACAAATAACGAAGAAAACAGGAAAAATATGACTGCAGAAAATATCCTGGATCTTTGGCCCATGGTAAAGACTTCACCAAATCAAATATTTTCTTAAGATCACAGGAAGCTGTTGCACGCCTAGATCGGAACCATAAATAGCGAAAAAATCAAAATATGTATGAATCATGAAAATCGAGATTTTGATGCCGTTCGATAGTCTGGATCATCACGATCCTGGGAGAGCTGGTTCTTTACCGATCGGCCCCTAAATACCCGAGATATAGCCTTTCGAATATTTGGATTTTGCATTTCATTATAGTACTGGGTTTTTCTGCACACTATATCTCTGCCATACGGCAGCCGATCGGAGTTCGGCATGTCTTTTCGTGATCGGGAGGGTCTTGCCAGTCGACTGCCATCGGAAAAAGGGACATCCATTTTTTCACGATTTTCGCCAAAAATCATGATGGTTACATCATTAAATTTGCCAAAAATCGGCCTCATTTTCATAGTCGACATTTTGATGCTGTTCGACAGTCTGGATCATCACGATCCTGGGAGAGCTGGTTCTTTACCGATCGGCCCCTAAATACCCGAGATATAGCCTTTCGAATATTTGGATTTTGCATTTCATTATAGTACTGGGTTTTTCTGCACACTATATCTCTGCCATACGGCAGCCGATCGGAGTTCGGCATGTCTTTTCGTGATCGGGAGGGTCTTGCCAGTCGACTGCCATCGGAAAAAGGGACATCCATTTTTTCACGATTTTCGCCAAAAATCATGATGGTTACATCATTAAATTTGCCAAAAATCGGCCTCATTTTCATAGTCGACATTTTGATGCTGTTTGACAGTCTGGATCATCACGATCCCGGGAGAGTTGGTCCTTCAACAATCGTCCCATAAATAGTCGAGATATAGCCTTTTGAAGATTTCGATTTTATATTTCATTAGAGTACTGGTTTTTTCTGAAAGCCATATCACTTCTTTGCTGCAGCCGATCGGAGTGCGGCATGTCTTTTCGAGATCGGGAGGGTCCTGCCAATCGACTGCCATCGGAACACCGATTCGCTTGTTTACCAGGGGCATAACCTTTTTGGTCTTCCGGTTCATATGAGCAAGTGGGTGCTCGATGACGGCTGTCCACTCCAGGAGTCTGACCGACTGACATCGTGAACCCCCGCTGGCTCCTGCGCACGTGGCCACGATGCCGTGCGCCCCTCGGGACATGATTCTTGTCACGCGAGGCTGTGGCTTTCTGTCTGACATTTTGGTCCAGCCACTGCTACGGCCCTCTTCCTTGCATGCCACGCTGTTTTCTTCGTCTTTCTAGTTCGCTCGCTATCGGTAACTTCTCGTCCTCTGTGGCAGCCACTGGCTGGCCTGTCCTGATGACGCTGCTATATATAATTGTGGATATATTTTTAATTCTATCTTCCTTCACAGAGAACTTACATATGTACCCTACGCTTTGCCACAAACCATGTCGTATCTGATTTGACCCAGCCAGACGGTCCTATCCAAGCATGAGCGAGGCGTTTTCGAGTCAGACCGAGTATCCCATTGCAAGATTCATACCTAACAAGCCATCGTCATCCTTCAAAATGGTTATCGACAACAAGGACTTTGACTATGGCCACCAAGGGAGGCCCTACGCGGGACGCTAGATACACTCATCCATTCATTTAGATAGTACTTAAAAAATGTTTTCCACTTGTTTATTTATTTATACTAAGCTAAGTTTTGATGAATAAAACTATTGAAAAATCATCCTTGCTGTATCCTTAATCGGGGAAACTATCTCGATTGCAAAAATGCGCGGCACGCCGAAATCGGCTCGCAAATAGCGGAGAAAACTAAATATTTGTAGTTGGGGAAAATGTCCTTGATCCTTGATAAGGACTAGCAAATCAGGGACATTTTTCCGATCACAGGGAGCCATCGCAGACTCAGATCGGTCTACAAATAGCCGAAAAAACTAAATATGTATGGCTGGGGTTTTTGGAGTCCTTATCAAAGGATCAAGGACATATATCTGATCAGGGGAAGCCAGGGCACGCCCCGATCGGGCCACAAATAAAGGAGAAAACAAGATATATAGGTCTGGGGACAATATCCTTGATCCTTGGTCCTTGATAAGGACTGCATTAGATCAAGGATGCTATTCCGAGCACAGAAAGATGACGCATGTCCCGATCGGGCCACAAAAAGCCGGGAAACTAGAAATGTATGGTTGGGGCGGTTGATGTCCTTACCGAAGGATCAAGGATCAAGATCTGAGCACGTGGTTCCTTGGCACGTCCCGATCGGACCTAAAATAATGGCAAAAACAATATATATACGTATGGAGTAAATATCCTTTATCCATGGTCCTTGACGAGGACTCCATCAAATCAGGGACATTTTTCCGATCACAGGAAGTCGTCGCACGTCCCGATCGGGCCTCAAATAACGGAGAAAACAAATCTAGGCTGTAATTTGTTATTTTTGAAAATGTAGTTCAAGAAATCACCGATAGGGACGCCCCCGTACAAATAAAATAGCTCGCGTCAAATGGCTGGGATACCAGGCGAACAGAAATCAGCAGCAAGCAACTGTAGGAACTGCAAAAATTTTTCGCAGCATACCTTAGGGGGCTCGAAATTTAAAAAAATCATCGACCTTCTGCTGATTTCTGTTTGCCTGGTATCCCAGCCATTTGCCGCGAGTCTTTTCTTTTGTACGGGGGCGCCCCTATCGGTGATTTCTTGAACTACATTTTCAAAAATAACAAATTACAGCCTAGATTTGTTTTCTCCGTTATTTGAGGCCCGATCGGGACGTGCGACGACTTCCTGTGATCGGAAAAATGTCCCTGATTTGATGGAGTCCTCGTCAAGGACCATGGATAAAGGATATTTACTCCATACGTATATATATTGTTTTTGCCATTATTTTAGGTCCGATCGGGACGTGCCAAGGAACCACGTGCTCAGATCTTGATCCTTGATCCTTCGGTAAGGACATCAACCGCCCCAACCATACATTTCTAGTTTCCCGGCTTTTTGTGGCCCGATCGGGACATGCGTCATCTTTCTGTGTTCGGAATAGCATCCTTGATCTAATGCAGTCCTTATCAAGGACCAAGGATCAAGGATATTGTCCCCAGACCTATATATCTTATTTTCTCCATTATTTGTGGCCCGATCGGGGCGTGCCCTGGCTTCCCCTAATCAGATATATGTCCTTGATCCTTTGATAAGGACTCCAAAAACCCCAGCCATACATATTTAGTTTTTTCGGCTATTTGTGGACCGATCTGAGTCTGCGATGGCTCCCTGTGATCCGAAAAATTTCTCTGTTTTGCTAGTCCTTATCAAGGATCAAGGACATTTTCCCCAACTACAAATATTTAGTTTTCTCCGCTATTTGCGAACCGATTTCGGCGTGCCGCGCCTTTTTGCAATCGAGATAGTTTCCCCGATTAAGGATACAGCAAGGATGATTTTTCAATAGTTTTATTCATCAAAACTTAGCTTAGTATAAATAAATAAAAAAGTGGAAAACATTTTTTAAGTACTATCTAAATGAATGGATGAGTGTATCTAGCGTCCCGCGTAGGGCCTCCCTTGGTGGCCATAGTCAAAGTCCTTGTTGTCGATCACCATGTTGAAGGATGACGATGGCTTGTTAGGTATGAATCTTGCAATGGGATACTCGGTCTGACTCGAAAACGCCTCGCTCATGCTTGGATAGGACCGTCTGGCTGGGTCAAATCAGATACGACATGGTTTGTGGCAAAGCGTAGGGTACATATGTAAGTTCTCTGTGAAGGAAGATAGAATTAAAAATATATCCACAATTATATATAGCAGCGTCATCAGGACAGGCCAGCCAGTGGCTGCCACAGAGGACGAGAAGTTACCGACAGCGAGCGAACTAGAAAGACGAAGAAAACAGCGTGGCATGCAAGGAAGAGGGCCGTAGCAGTGGCTGGACCAAAATGTCAGACAGAAAGCCACAGCCTCGCGTGACAAGAATCATGTCCCGAGGGGCGCACGGCATCGTGGCCACGTGCGCAGGAGCCAGCGGGGGTTCACGATGTCAGTCGGTCAGACTCCTGGAGTGGACAGCCGTCATCGAGCACCCACTCGCTCATATGAACCGGAAGACCAAAAAGGTTATGCCCCTGGTAAACAAGCGAATCGGTGTTCCGATGGCAGTCGATTGGCAGGACCCTCCCGATCTCGAAAAGACATGCCGCACTCCGATCGGCTGCAGCAAAGAAGTGATATGGCTTTCAGAAAAAACAGTACTCTAATGAAATATAAAATCGAAATCTTCAAAAGGCTATATCTCGACTATTTATGGGACGATTGTTGAAGGACCAACTCTCCCGGGATCGTGATGATCCAGACTGTCAAACAGCATCAAAATGTCGACTATGAAAATGAGGCCGATTTTTGGCAAATTTAATGATGTAACCATCATGATTTTTGGCGAAAATCGTGAAAAAATGGATGTCCCTTTTTTCGATGGCAGTCGACTGGCAAGACCCTCCCGATCACGAAAAGACATGCCGAACTCCGATCGGCTGCCGTATGGCAGAGATATAGTGTGCAGAAAAACCCAGTACTATAATGAAATGCAAAATCCAAATATTCGAAAGGCTATATCTCGGGTATTTAGGGGCCGATCGGTAAAGAACCAGCTCTCCCAGGATCGTGATGATCCAGACTATCGAACGGCATCAAAATCTCGATTTTCATGATTCATACATATTTTGATTTTTTCGCTATTTATGGTTCCGATCTAGGCGTGCAACAGCTTCCTGTGATCTTAAGAAAATATTTGATTTGGTGAAGTCCTTACCATGGGCCAAAGATCCAGGATATTTTCTGCAGTCATATTTTTCCTGTTTTCTTCGTTATTTGTGGGCCGATCTGGCCGTTCCATAGGTTCGTGTATTTGGAAAAATATCCTTGATACTTCGCTAAGGACTCCAAAAACCCGCGTCTCGAAGCTGAAGCCCAGCGTTTCATTCGGCAGCTTATGAATGGGGGGTTGCTGACATTATTTCCCGTTGGCGTGAACCAACAACTCCGCCGTCGATCACTGCAGCTCACTGATCATCACTAACGTTTCAGCGGCATCAGGACAGGCAAGCCAGTGGCTGTCACAGAGGACGAGGAACTACGGCGGAATCACCAGTGGAGGAGAAAACAAAAAGCAACAAGAATCATGGCTCGAGAGCCGGCTGGGAGTTCGCGATGTCAGCTGGTCAGGCGCCTGAATTGGACAGACATCATCAGGCGCACACTTGCTTATATGAACCGGAAGACCAAAAAGGTGATGCCCCTGGTCATATCGGTATCCGCGGGCACTCAAGAGGTATTCCTTGCCACCCGAGGGTGCGACCTGCTAAAATGAAAGAAAGAGTTAAATAAAGTAAATGAATAAATAATAACTTAATAACTTTACCTGGCGGGGTCAGAGGAGGGGATCACGGCATAGCAGTTTGTCTCCAGAAAGCGTCTCGCCAAATAGAGCTGGAGGGAATACAAGAATAAGAGAAGCAGAACCAAGGAAGGATATTCAATGGAAAAGATGAATATGGGGTAAACAAGGACAACTTACCCGGTCCAAGCCGATGAGGTAAAGCATCGTGCAGGAGGGAAGACGATTTCGGTAATGCATGCACCTGCGAGGCACGTTCGTCGTACGTCATTATTCCAATGAGCTAACGTTGATACACTCATCTATTATGTTTAACGGTCGACTAACATATCAGTGGACGTCATCGGCGTAACTGTCCACATTCTTGATGATTCTTCCTGATTCTTTCTTGATGATATAGATTTATTAAAACCATTAAATATGCACACGGTTATTATTAATCAGAGTGAATCTTAGCTTTCGTTCGCCCGCTACAAAATGCTCAGTGAAAAACAGTTATAGATTTAATCGGGGCTTTTGCGCGGGCAAATGATTCATTCTCGATGTCCTTTACGTTTAAATGCCTTGGTGCAGTTAGAGCATTGGTAGGGCTGTTCACTCGTATGCATACGGATGTGACTTCGGAGGGTTTATGATTGAGAAAAAGACTTCGAGCAAAAGGTACATGTATACATTCGATCCTCTGTAATGAGAAGGGATTTTTGAATAAATGACTTGGAGCACTGAGAACACTGATATGGTCGATGGGAATTTATGGGAAGATGGGATTTAATTTCAAATGAGCATTGATTCGTGTAGCTCTTGGGACAGAGACTAAATTTGAGCTGATGATCGATAAATTAAGCCCGTAAAGTAGGAAATTGATTAATTAATCGGATAAAATTATGTGGGCTGGGCAAAATGTTTTATCTAGCCAGTAATATTCCACGGAATATAAAAATCAAGCAATATAGAAGTTTAATTCGTCAGTATATTTACGGTATATATTTTGGTATATTTCTGAGGGTCAGACCGTATACTTCATCGGATTTTCTTGCTTTCTTGCCACCACGTCTAGCTCACACACCTCGCAATTTTTATACTTTTCATAGTTTTTTCTAGTATTTTCCAGTATATTTTAAGACGCGTTATGGACTCACCCTCTTGTCCAATGCACCAATGTAGAAACCGTGTAGAAATGCCACTTAGAGCAATGGACAGGAGTCCACATCGAATACTAATTCGTGATCAGCATCGAACTCCTGATCGTTTGCCGTCAAAATCTCAATTTTTTCAAAAATGTCGGAAAAAAGTCATGGATAACGGAGGTTTTTCACACTGGCGCTTCCATGGGGCTTAAATGAAAAAAAACGGGCAAAAATTTTTGAAACGTACACATTTCCCCTTCAGGTGTCGCCTTTGGTAATTACATGAAAATGTAGTTAATATGTAGCGAATGTGTAGTTACTGTGTAATTAAGTTAGTTTATTGGAAATTGTTGTTGAGCGGTTTTGTTCAAACCTAATTTTATAAACAATCCAATAATGATGAGAGTTTAAAGTTTACCAGTCTTATAGGAAATTGATGTAATAATCGGATAAATTTATGAGTTTAGACCCTCAGGTCTTAGCTAGCTAACTATCTAATTAAATATTCCACGGAATATAAAAATCAGCAATATAGAAGTTTAATTCGTCAGTATATGGTATATTTTTAAAATCAGACGGTATATATTGGTATATTCCTGAGGGTCGGACGGTATATTTTGGTCAACAGGTGAAAGCGACAATCGCGCGATAAGCTTTGACGACTGTGATTAAATTTAATCATTTTATTAGTCGAGGGGTGAGGTGAAAGTTCACGCTGGTTGAAAATGTCCGCAAAAGTAGCCAAGTCAAACAAGTCTGCCTCCAAAGAGCCGTCGGCGTTGGCAAAACTCTACCTTATCGGCTACAACGCTGTGCAGGTGGGCGGCTGGAGCTACATCCTGTATCAGTTGGTCAACTACTACCTGCTGCAGGGCCCCGAGTTCCGCGCCCAGATAACGCTCTGGGACTACACACAAGTGGCTGTCATTATTTTCCAGAATGCAGCCTTTGTGGAAATCCTCAACGCAGCCTTTGGCCTGGTGAAATCTAATCCGGTGGTTACCGGATTTCAAGTCTTCAGCCGCATGATGGTCGTCGTTGGAGTGGTCATGGCCACGCCTACGGGCAAGGTATCGCCAGGTCTGCCCATTGCCCTCTTTGCCTGGGCCATCACGGAGATCATCCGCTATGGTTACTATGCGCTGAACATTGTCAAAGTGGTGCCACACTTTGTGGTCTTCCTGCGCTACACCACCTTCATTGTCCTGTACCCGATTGGCGTCACCGGCGAGCTCCTGTGCTTTTGGTGGGCCCAGAGCTATGCCAGGGAAAACAGTGTGTGGAGCACGGTGATGCCGAACAAATGGAACGCAACCTTTTCCTACTTAGCCTTCCTGTGGATTGTAATGCTCGGCTACATTCCCATCTTCCCCCAACTGTATCTGCACATGTTTGCCCAGCGCCGCAAGATCCTTGGCGGCGCCAGCAGCGCCGTCGGAGCTGCCTCTGTCCAAAAGAAGAAAGCGCATTGAACCTTGCCCAACCAGCACGACACAAATTCCGGATTCAATTTGCATACCGCTCGTCGTCGCACTTTGGAGTCGGTCGTCGTAAGCGTTTCGCGTTCGCTTTTGGGGTCGCCTCTTACCTCACCTCTTGCACAAACATATTCGATTTTGACGCGTAAGCTTTAGCTATTAGGTGGTTTTTGTGTACAAATAAACTAGATACTTTTTTCCAAAGGCGTTGCAACTAATTTATTTTGGGGTTTTATAATTATTGTATTGTATTGTAACAGTAACGGCTAAAATATTGGATCTCTTTTTCACTTAGTGCTGGGACCATTGTATGGACTTGAGATCTATGCCCTCTTGGACCATTTCCCAGAGCGGCGACATCTCGCGCAGCCTCTCCACATGCTTGATGCACTTGTCCGCTGTGTAGTCGACCTCTTCGACCGTCGTGAAGCGTCCAAGACCAAACCGAATGGAACTGTGCGCCAAATCCTCGTCGGCGCCAATGGCTCGCAGCACATAGGATGGCTCTAGGGAGGCCGATGTGCAAGCAGAGCCACTGCTTAGGGCCACATCCTTGAGGGCCATCAGCAGAGACTCTCCTTCAACATAGGCAAACGATAAATTCAAACAGCCATTGTAGGTGGCCACAGCATCCCCGTTGCGGATGACGTGTGTCAGTGCTTTCGAAAGTCGATCCACTAAGCGGTTAGATAGAAAGTCTATCCATTTTTTGTCGTACTCCATCTCCTGCTGGGACAGCTCGGCAGCTGCTCCCAGGCCTACGGCCAAAGACGCTGGGACTGTGCCGCTTCGCAGGCCACGCTCCTGCCCGCCGCCACTCTGAATGGGCTCCAAACGAACTCGAGGCCTGCGACGCACATACAGAGCACCAACACCCTTGGGTCCGTATATCTTATGCCCCGATATGGACATCAGGTCAATATTCATGGAATTCACGTCCATGGGGATCTTTCCCACGGCCTGGGCCGCATCAGTGTGGAAAAATACTTTGCGGGATTTGCAGAGCCTGCCAATCTCGTCGATGGGCTGCTTCACGCCAATCTCATTGTTAACTGCCATAATCGATACCAGGGATGTCTCTGGCGTGAGGGCCTCCTCCAACTGCTTCAGATCGATGATACCATTGGTCTGGACCGGAAGGTAGGTGACTGTGAAGCCCTCGTTTTCGAGTGCTCGGCAAGAGTCCAGGACGCACTTGTGTTCCGTTTGTGTGGTTACGACATGCTTCTTCTTGGTGCCATAGAACCGTGCCACACCCTTGACGGCAATGTTATTGGACTCTGTGGCACCTGATGTGAATATAATCTCCTTCGTTTCGGCGCCAATAAGATTGGCAACTTGTTCGCGTGCCTTCTCCACAGCTGTTTCCGATTCCCAGCCATAGGCGTGCGTGCGAGAGTGAGGATTCCCATAGTAATTGGTTAGATAGGGCAACATGGCATCCAGCACACGTGGATCCATAGGTGTTGTTGCCTGGGCATCCAGATATAAGGGCCGACCCTTTGTCTGTTCGTTTTTGATGTTGAAACGTACTTGGCGCTCGCGAAACTCTGCAAATATTGTACCAGTTTACAAGCATACACAAGTATAATCTTCCATAGCATTACCTTTAGATGTTGCAGCGAATTTTACTGCTGGTTGTGCAGCGGCTGCCGTTGTGGCTTCGTGCCTCACAACCCCCACAGCTACATTTGTGGCCTTGGTGCGGAGAACGTGCGCTTGCACGTGACCTAGCACCTTCTGCATGATACAATTTGTACTCTAAAATTCGTTAGTTTAGTTTTCGTAATAGTTATTTCACAAGACTTATTTAATTTTCTTATCAGCTGCTGGTAATCGACTGTGCTATCGATAGCCACCAACGTAACGTTAAGGCAATCTATCGTTATACGATTTCTATACAATAAAATACGATTTCGCTTACAAGTCTTGCAATTCGATCTCGATCTGGATCCAACCAATATTGCTTTAGTATGAAGAAAATAGCTTTCACTTCACTTATTGACCTCAGTTCATTTAAATTATTGAATACTCCGCACATACATAAGTGCAAAAATGTATTGATACGTAGCTACGATAGTAATTGTAGCGCTATCGATTGTACTGCAAAACCAGCTGATCTGCCGCCGAGCAAAAATTATGTTTATTGTTCAATAAACAACGTAAAATAAAAATATGGATAGAGGGGAATACAGAAAAGATCGCTCTACTGATAGAAGAGAACACTCTTTACAGAGAAGGGATCGCTCTTCTTCACATGGAAGGGAACGCAGTTCACACCGCAAGGATCGCACATCACACAAAAGGAAACACTCTTCCCGCAAAAAAGAACGCTCCCCACACACTGCGTCAGATCGTAGAGAGTCTCGGGATCGCTCTTCACACGAAAGGAAACGCTCATCACACCGAAAAGAAGGCGCTGCGACATCTAGACGGGAACGCTCACCACACAGAAAAGTGTACTTACATAGAAAGGAGCACTCTTCCCTACACAGAAGGGAACGCTCTCCACACAGAGCAAAACGCTTTCCACCGGAGGAGCACCTAAGAACGCCGGAAACCAATGTCCTGACCTACAAGAAGTTGCAGCAGATGCCCGTAAATCTGCGCAAGAAAGCAATTAGAGAAGCACGCAACCGAAACGAGGAGATACTAAGCAATCGCAAGGGAAAGAAGAAAAAAACCAAATCATGGATCACTGCTCGACGCCAGTGCAACGCCGCCGAATGTTCCGAGCACAATAACCTGGTGGACAGCACAGAGCAAGAACTCCGTCAGATTTTGCAGGGTTTCGATGTACTCTCGGACATACCCTGTGACTGTACGGCCACGGAGCTGCTGGGCGAGGTAAGTGACCCCGATTTCGCACAGTTGAGGCAAGCAATTAGCACACTAGGGTGTTCTGCCATCATTGATGTCGTCATTCTCAATGACTGACCTACTGCCCGGTCTGAAGACTCTACAGATGCTAATTGATCGGCTTTATTGTGGGAAACGGCTACCGTTATGCGCCAGTCAGTGCTCACGTATTGAATATGTTTCATAATTTCAGATTGCCATCGCAGAGGGAAACGCCACAACTATTTTCGTGGAGCGAGATGGACTCACCACCCTGACAATTGTGGTTAGTAGTATCTGGAAACGCAGCTGTTTGCACTCGCTTTCGGCGGCCTATCAATTAGCTTGATTCAATCACCAATCGATCAATATTTCACGAGTGAAATGTTGGCGCCGCAATGTCAATCCAGAACAGCGTCAATAGTTTTATTTGTTAGCATGCTTAGACTCTTTAATGATCTTGTTTAGAAAGTGGGACAGTGCTGTTGGGTTCCACTCCTCGGGGTGACCGAAAGTCCTGCCACACCTTGACCAGATCATTACTAATGCTCCTCCACAGCAGGACGACTTGGGAAGCAGACATCACAGCATTGCAGGCCATATAATTATAGTTCCTGGGCCTGATGACCATAGACCAGCGAGACCATAGGACACCACTCAAAGCTAGCACAAGTGTCTGCTTTTTTGATATCAGATGCGGCTGTCGATTAAGCACATCACCAAGCCCAGCTAAAACCACGCTCTATAGGAGAAAAGAGAGAGCAATGTTGGGGATCAAACACCTAAGGGAGGGATCCGATCCGGCCATACCCATTTGAAAACAGGACCCCAAAAGAAGACTGTCTGCGGACCTTAACAGAAGAATTTTAAATGGGGAAATCCGTAGTGTAAACCGATCTGTTAGCATACCCGTGGGTGAGGTCCAAAAGGGTCTCAGCGGGGCCGGCACCCGCCTGTCTACGTTTCTGACGACGACGCCATACAGCAGGGAGAAGAGTCTCATATCCTATTATGTTTGTCGTGATATCCGAAATCTTGTACAATTTTCGTATTGTACAATTTAGAATTTTGAATGGTTAGGCAACGAATGTACGATGGAACTCCAAACAAAACTCTCTCTCTTGAGGCATGCTCTCTCTAATGTTTTCTCTCCGCAGCTCCATCAGCCCGAACCGACCATCGCGCAGCTTAAGAAGGCCATGGCTGTGATATCTCGCGCCGAGCACAAGCGAAGACAGCGCGAGCGGCACGAAGAGAGTCTCAGGCGTCGTGGATTGGCCGACGGCGGGCCCGAAGATCCACAGCGGCAGCAGCAAGTTGCTGGTGGAGCTATGCCGAGCTCCACCGGCGAGTTAGTTTATTCCGCACTGCGCAACGGGCACGATCATCGCGCGTTCGTTTCTTGGCACTTTCTATGGCGCTGCTTTGGCCTCTTCAACGTGGAAACGAATCAGCCGATCGACGACCGCTCAAACGGACGGGCCACCCTCACAGAGCTGGGCATTGAGAACGCTGCCACCCTGAAGTTTGTTCATCGCGTCAAGTACTTTGGTTGCCAAAGGCAGAAATAGCCAGCAGAGCACATCCACTGACAGCCAATGACAGTAGTAATCTCTTATAACATAAACATCGGATCATTGAAAAGCCAGTCGCTGGTCGTCAGCAATCGTAAGGAGGCCACCTGCACTGCATTATGCATCAACTGGTTTCGCTTTGGTTTTGCATTTCACTTGTTGCCACCACCATCTTCACTCTCACCCGCTGCACTCCGTTTGAGGATGGGAACAACAACAATGTCAAGATCACCAAGCGGAGCCTGGAGCTGACACAAACCATCAATATCCAGCGGCAGGAGTATATGCAGCGGCAATGCGAGCTACTCGGCGAGCACACCCAGACCCAGGAGGATCTCACGGAGCTGCAAATGGATCATATGATTGTGGACAAGCAGCACAAGCTGCTCTACTGCTATGTGCCAAAGGTATGTCAACCGCTGGCTTCCTGCTGACGCAGCAAAACGATTGAAAAACGAGCCGACGGTCATGAATGATGTACATACATACATATTTGTACATTATTGTGGTTGCCATGTGCCGTCCCAAAAAAGGCGTCGGCATTAGTCAAAAATCGGCATAAACACCGAGTTCTCTTTTCCTGCTCTGCTTTGTTTATAAAAAAACTTGTTTCCTCTGCTTCTTGTGCCTCACGTGTTCTCGTTTTGCTTCGAAACTCGGAGAGTCCAAAGCATGTGTTGAGGTTTTTTTGTTTATCTTGCAGCTCGTGGCAGTGACAAGCGAAGAAGATCCAACCAATGAGTCTATGTTTGCTTAGGCCACAATTAGAAGCTATAGTTAAGTGATCTCTTTCATCCAATTTGGTTCTATAGAGACTTACAAGCGCATTTGTAGGCACTCTTAGCTTATCGAAGGGTTTACACTCTCATAGCAGCATTATATTATAGAGAACCACTTGTATATATACAGTGAATTTCCTTATAATCGAACAATCTCCTGTTCAGGCATTTATTTTTGTATGGAAAAATTAATTAAAATGTTCCTCAACCAAATTTATCAGCTTATGGGGACTGCTCTAGTATTAGAACAGTTTTAAATGTAAAATTTCCGTTGATTTATATGTTTTATATTCCTTTATACAAATGAAGCCACGTATATGCAGCTTGCAGTTAACTCTAGTCCGTTTCGGTTCTATACAGACTTACAAGTGCATGTCTTATCGAAAGGGGCTTACGCACTCATATCAGCATTCACTTTATATATATACTCATATATAGTATATTCCTTGAATATACTGCTGATTACACTGGAATTAAATGCTCAATTACAGCTCAAAACGACTGTTCTCGATCAGTTTCGACCCTCAGTTATTCTGTTAAATGGCTTGTAATTATACGTAATAATCTACAACTTTTGTAATTTGTGATCTAAGCCACCAATAAATTACCAACTAGATTTGCATTCACTTGCAAACTACTGACTACTACTCGTATTAAAGTGATCTGCTTAGCTCGGGAGTCAAAAGTCAATGTCTCAATGGGTCTGGCCAACCGCTGGCTCAGTGCCACTGTCCCCATTCTCTAGTTGATAAGACCTAAAACGAAGCTGAACTTAGAGATTAATATAGAAATATTTGCAAATATATGGCGATTATCTGTGGAATGGCCCCCATAAGGCCATCTATTCTGTGACGTCTTTTCCCCACAGATAATCCAATCCAATCTATATAAGTATATACAAAAATTAATTAACTTAAACTCTATGCACCTTTGATTGCTTTAACTAATTGGATTAGGAAATTACCTATAGAGGAAATTAACCAAAGGAAATGGCCTTACAATAGTACCACCCGCTTATCAGCCAATAAGTTATTGGAAAACATTAGAACCAAAACTATAAGATTAGATTGTCAGAGTGGCCGCCCGATGCCGGTTGCTTGGTGTGAGGCGGCTTGACATAAAAATAGATTCCTGTTTCATGTTGCCGGACAACCTTTGAACCCCTTTTTAGTTCTTCAAACAAATTCATTTCGGCTCCTCCACAGAACACAATTGAGTAATAGCCAATGAATGATGCGGCATGCGGCATGCGGAATTCTACGCTACTTATCAATGCGATACAAACCTTGATTGTGGAGTCTGGTTATACCAGTACCCAGTATCAGCTTTTTGGGGTAGTGGAGGAAATGTCATCTTAAACGCACACATTTCAAAATCTTTTCTTTATTCGAATTATACCCATTTGTTGTTCTACAAGATATAATTGTGAGAGATATGGCTGTGCTATAGAAGATTACTGATGGATGTTTAAGGGACCAAAAAAGAAAAGAAGAAATACATATCATAGTTTAGTGGGATTAGTACATTAGTGGGATTAGTTTTCTAAGAAGTACCCTAATCTGTACGAATTTAAACCTATAGGAATTTACATACTACTCGTATTCCCCGGAAAAACGATTCATAGAAATGATTGGTGAGGTATTCTAAAAAAATAATCTTTTAATAAGGGAATTTAATTATAAGAAATATATCAAAATATAGATCAGTTAGGGACACTCAAACTTACTTGATTTATCAAGAGTTTATGTGCAGAAACTATTTGGCGGTCAGACATGGTCGGACAATTCATTTTTGCCCATTTTTGGGACGACGACGGCCCAAAACTTTTTTATATAATATATTGATGAAGTTATCTGTAAAACAACTCAGACTGCAGATCACTTTTATCCGCAGTATTTGCTTTTAACAAATCGCAAAGTTCGAACAGAGTGTACTAGGTTTGTTATCCGATCTAAGAGATTAACAATCATTGTTGAGTATAGAAATTTAGTTAGACATTGAAGAATGTTGTGACTGGGAGGGAGTAGGCGTGTCAGCGAACATGCCACCTGAAGTGGCTATACACACGTTCCCCTTATCAAGGTATTGCCTCCACTCCACTCCATGTCTATAATCTGGCAGAGCGAACAATGAGAGGGGGATCTCTTAAATCATATAATTACAAGCTACTATTCATATTCGACTCTTTTCATATATGTATGTATGTACACGCGCGCGTCGGTCAAGCGTTTTCCCAGCTCATTCTTCCATGAAGTCGTAAACTGTTTGTGTTTACCCTTGGCCAATAACCCTCTCCACATCATATTTCGTATACCCCGATATCCTCCTCCACTGCTGCTGCTGCTGCTGCTGCTGTGATGGAGGCTCGCCCAGAGAGTCGGCTACTCATTACGAGTATGCGGCCGTCGCGTGTTACTTTAATGGCTATAAATGAATTGCGTTAAGTTCGCATATTTGTGTTTACGATAGCTTACGTACATATGTATTGAGAGTGTACTTACTCGTATTTTCAGCATTACTCTGAACTTTGGCCCCGAACCCCCCTAGAGCTGGAGAGCGAATATGACAGTGGGACGAGATTGATTGAAAAGATGACAAGAAATGTTTAAATTTCACTTGAGTGGTGAATGTGGTTCTAAACACTCAGTCTGCTCTGTGAGCCTTGGTTTGATCAAGCAAAACATTATTTTTTTAATTAACAAAATTGTAGCCTAATATTATTTCTACAGCACAATTTAATGTGCTAAGTTATGGCTAGAGCAACAAGGCCTTCAGGCTGTAGTAAAACCTAGAAAGGCACAAAACGAAAGCCTGATTGAAAACTTTCACATTTTCGTTTTCTTTTGACTTGTTGACAGATCCTCCAAGCATTCACCATGAACTATGGGCTTGATCGAGTGGGGGAAAACATGGTTTAGATTGTCTAAACATTTTTCAAGGTTTCCATTTCGTTTTCCTCTGATCAAGACAAATAACTGAGTACTGTAAGTACTCGCATTCTAGAAATTACTGGGTAAACATTCTTTCATTCGACACTGCGGACATATCCCTTTGCACTGAAAGCACTTACAATCGAAAACTTGGACTTGGATCATGCGAGCGGGGTGCACTGAAGCAATAGTGATTGAAAATACATGTATACGCTGCTGTGTTTGGTTAAATCTTTTGAAGAAATTCATTTAAGAAATTCGCTTTCATCAAACTGCTTGGCATATGCCAGTTGTTCCACCGAACTGATCTTTTTGAACCTCCGTCCGTCGTTTCTTTTTGGATTGTGGTTCCACTGTCTACATGGGAATTGTTTGCTTTTGTAATGTGAAATGTTTTTGCGGTGTTTAATTGCGCTCGGCATTATCTGTCCGCCCAACCAAAATGTTTATATACAATTGTTTTTTCGAGCTGTACGCGAGTACTCGTTTGCCCCTAGTAATATGTACGTACTGTTTGTGTGTGTTCAGTGTTGATGTGCTGCTTGAGGCTAAGGCTGTGCATAGTTTTCGTTGGTTGACTTCAACGACTTGACTTATTGCCCAATGTGTGTGCCCCATTCGGCCGTTGGCTATCCCCCAAGCAGATCTTTCTCTCTTGGCGAAAATTATAATTTATTGCAGTTGGCAATTATAATGAAAGCACTTGCCTGACAGAGGTCTCCGAAGAGATGTAATTTCACGATTAACACTCGCAAAATTGCAACAAAATGGCATTAAAAAAAAACAGACGTCCAGACGGGGTCACTTTTCTGAACATCGATCCCAAGAATATGATACCTTTTTTTTACTAGTACTTCATACCCAGCAACAGAACTCCTCGAAAAGCGCTGACTGGACTATTGAGCTCGAGTTTTTTTGACCGAAAATTGCTTGCGACTGTTGCTTCCTTTAGACATTGATTTTATGACTAATAGATATGTACATATGTATATTGGGTGACAAAGTTTGACATATAGAAATATACTAGCAGTTGCTCCCAGCTCCTTCTATTGCTTCTATTGCTCTATTGCTATTTCAAAAACAATTAGACTAGATCCCTAGCCCAAGTCTCTCTAAGTCCCTACTTATAGTCCCTTAAACTATATTTAAATGCTATCAAAGTTATCCATTTCAGTTCAACAATTGTCAGCCTAAGGCCATAAAAGGATCTACTTGGAATCTCATTCAATTCAATGACTATTGTTAATTGATAATATATCCTATTCAAAAGAAATAAGCTAAATGAATTATACAAATTACTTTATGAAGTGACTCAAAACTAAATTGATAACAGATATCTATAGAAATATCGAATATAATGATGACAATGATAATATTTGCCCCTTTGCAGAACTTCTTTTTGGAATAGTTATTCAATGAGTGTGCAAAATGATAGCAACAACAAATAGATTTCTTCGACCTTTATCTATCACTAATGGGTTCTCCCCGTAAAGTAATGGAAGATATGCTATAGGCTTATCTAAGTATTCCTTTGAATTATGTTATTATGTGAAATGTATGATGATTCATTCCGAAACCCAAAAAATTATTCTGGCGAAATAACTCATAGGGAAAATGTAAACGAAGAATTGTATTTTTCTTGTGGCCTCAATCGGATATGTACATATTTCTTGTTTATTTTGTTTGAATTGCTGAATACCTCTTGAAACTAAACAAATTCTAATGCCGCTTTTCTCTTTGCCGTTTTCCAGGTTGCCTGCACGAACTGGAAGCGAGTGCTGATGCTACTAACGGGGAAGTGGCATAATGGCACAGATCCCCTGCAAATCCCCGGTTCTCTGGCCCATTCGGTGGGCATGTTCGCCAAGTTCTACGATTTGAGCGATCAAGAGAAGCAGCAGGTGCTCAGCGAAGACTATACGCGCTTCATCCTGGTGCGGCATCCGTTCGAGCGGCTGCTTTCCGCCTATCGCAACAAACTGGAGGGTGATTCCCCGAGTGCTCGGTACTTTCAGTCGCGTGTGGGCAGGCAGATTGTGCGAGAACTGCGCCCGGAAGCCAGCAACAAGTCGCTAGAACATGGGGACGACGTCACGTTTGGAGAATTCGTGGAGTATCTGCTTACTCCAGAGCTCAGCAGGGCCAATCAATCGGCGTACAATGAGCACTGGGAGGTGATAGCCAAGCTGTGCAATCCCTGCGTAATGAAATACAATGTTGTGGGTGCGTATGAGGATACCACATCATCATTCGAAATCCCTCTCTGACCACGACTCTTTTTTCCAGGCAAATATGACACATTGCTGGATGATTCCGCATTGGCGTTGTATCTGGCCGGTGCCACAAATCTGACATTCCCCACCGGCCACAAGCCCTCCAGCACGCGTGCCAATCTTCGTAAATACTTCGATCCCCTGCCAATCGGTGCCATACGCCAGTTGTATGAAATATACGAGGAGGACTTTCGCTTCTTCGACTACGGCATGGACGATGTTCTGGGCTTCGAATTCGGCTGAATGAATGAATTTGTAATGTGAATGCTCTCTGTTATGTCCGAGTCACTACCATAACGCTTTCCACTGGAAAAGAATGTGATTTTTATCATAGGATTCGTATTAGCAAATATTGGTTTAGTTAACGTTTAGTGAAGCGCCATGCGAATATTATTTTACATTCACCCCTCTCCACACAAATATCACAAACATTATTCGATTATTACTCGTAGTAGTTGTGTTCGGTTTGTTTAAGAGATTATTAATGCAATCAAAGTGTTAATTTGTTAGGGAAATTATACTGTAATCATACGTTTACATATTGTACGATATATAAGTATTTTATTTGATTTTAATTATACGCCAAATGTAGTTATTATAAACGTATTAAATGTATTCGGTTATGTTGGAAAAATACTTTGACGTTTGTGTTTAAATTAGATTAGTTAGATTTAGAATGGACAACAGTATACCTTCAGTTTGATGCGTAAATGGTTTGGAGGATAGTCTATAAATATTGTTATCTGTAAGAATTATTATTATAGATTGATGCTTTAAAGATGTGGAAGATAACTCTGTACTGTAATCTCTTAGCATTGCATTGTTGAAGACCAAGAACAACATGTTTATTATTAAAGTTATTTGATTTTTAGACGGTGTATAGGATAGCTCTGTAAGTATTGTAAATTGGGCAAAAATTATTCCAATTATTAAAAGTTTTTGGCTTATATGGTGCCTCGGATATTGTGTAAATATTTTAGATAACAGAACCTTTCTTATATTGCATGTAGGACACTGAGTATATATTGTTATTTTAATCCACTGCATTGTAGAGACAAAAAACTTTTAGAATTTGTATAGTTCGATACTTCAATAGTGCATCAGATTGTCTGTTAACATTGTATTCTGAGAGAAAAAATCCTTATAATCGATTATAGTTCGAAGCTAAAATGTCTGTATTACGTTGCGGGTGATAAACATCCTTGAAGCTACATCGACTGCACGCGGTTGACTGTAGTTTTTAGTGCCAAAATATTTTGGTTTTCTTTTGTATTTCTCAAAAGAAATTTTTAAAGTTTTCAAATCTTTATTCTTTCACGACTTTTCTCCTCCTTGGAAAAAATCTAGGAGTGTATATGTATCTACACAAATTTAGTTAAAACTCGAGTGGACAAAACAGATTATATTAGAAAAATATTAACTTTTAATTATATTTAGAAAAGTTGTTACATACTTTTTAAATCCTTTAGATTTAAACTGTCTTCGTTCTTTGATATATTTACAACTACTAGATAGTACTTTCAAAATCTATTTTCATCTTCGCGTAGTTTCTTTTACTCCTTTTGCATTTTTGGAATATTAATTCTACCAAGCTCTTTACGGATAATATATTCGAGTTGAAGTGTAGTCTCCATGGGCTATAATGAAAATCAATTTATTTAACGATTCTCTTTATTGAATTCAATTGTGGAAATGGAGGAATGAACAAGAGTGAAAATAATGATTGAATAAGAAAGTGTATAGTGGAAAAAGGTATCCCATTATCTATCTAGTCAAGAAATCCATCGCATCAGCGCTTTATGTAAATCCAGCTTGTACTCTATAAATAGTAAGTACGTAAATCTAAAAAGCGAACCATGTAATGTGCCTGCAAAAGACGGTCACATCTGAATGAGTTTACACGATTTTCATATTGACATCATCTGAACCCTGGACACACTTATCAGTTTTACATTCCCGTGCTGCATTGATCGTTGAAAATCGTATTGTTTTTGCCCCTTGATTGCGCGAAAGCTTTCATGTTTTCGTCAGCGTAATATAAAAGCTCAATCAACCCGATGGATGGCGTCGGAAGTTGTTTATCGCCTTGGAGGGGCGACCCCATGATCAGCCCAGCCGCCCGTCTGAATAATTTAAATACGCAATATTGTCTATAAGAGAAACGGAGACGGACGGCGCCCAAAACGCATTCGTGATATTATTTCGTGGGTATTTTTATCCGGGCGACATCTCATCAACAAAAAAGGTAGAGGTGCAGCCGACGCCGAAGCTATTGATACCCTTTACAGATTGAGCCATTCTATAGTGGCTATAAAGAATCTTGTGAAGCTTAAGTTTGTGAACTTTCTTGAGTAAAAGGATTCGATTTGGAACAACATATGTGGAGATATAAACTTGAATAAGCAATTTCCAACATCGTTTTGGATCTAAATAGCATATGGCTCGTGATTTACGCTAATTATATCATTAAGATCAAAAATATATATATTTTATGTGAGGTCTTGTCTTTGTTGCAAACATCGCAATACCCTCTGCAGAGGGTACAACAGTAACGATATCACATGCGCGACCGGCCTTCCTCCCCGCCCTCTACAAAAAAAAGAGCCGACAGTTCAAGGTCGCCCCATACAATTATTTTCGTTTTCGGCTTTGGTTATTCAATGACTGCTTCTTTTATTCGCTACGTCCATTTTTTCGCTTTTTTTGTTTTTGTTGGGTTTTGCATCAATCACAAACTTGAAGTTAGACATTGACAAGACATTCGAAATTATGAATTAATAGGTTTTTGTATAGCGTATAGGTATAGGGAGTGTTGTGCTGATATTTTATAGGGTGTGCGGTGTGTTGGGAGTTGCGTTGTTTTGCTTTGGCAAAAGAATATGCATTATATGTGTGTGTATTATTTAAAGCAAAAAGCATATCATATTTCTCTCTCTCGCGTCGTCAGTCCTTGAATTTCAATATCCGCATAAACTTAAACACCGCCGTTGCAGATCTATTCATTGTAGCTATAGCGCTGCTTCACGGTCCGATACTTCTTCAAAGAATAGAGCGCTTCCACCTCCTTGGCTAGGTAGCGTCCCTGCGCCAACAAAGCCACAATCTTCTTGGGATCACTCTCATCTTTGTGATTCATGAATGCGTCATGGATTTGCTTGCGGAACTTCTGAGGCCCATTTTGGCCGGGATACTCACGGCCCAGATACTGCAACTGGAGGAAAATAACGTTTACGCAATGTTTTTTGGGCGGGGTGGGGGTGCCCTGTTTTCCCAATGGAATGCGCCGGAATGCACGTGGCCGGCCCGGGTGGTTGCTGCAGCGAACTTACGTGCTTGTAGAGGCTGATAACTTTGGAGCGCAGCTGTGACATCACCAGAACTCGGCGAGATTTGTTTGTTTGTTAAATGCAAAAGTATTGACTAATGCGACCACAGCTTTGGAGCAGTGCAGCTTTTCAAGATTTTAAGTGAACCAGAGATGGGAAACAATCAATAACATTTGATAATTGAACGAACTTAACCCACTTTTCGCGGCTTAACTCTATATGTTCACCTGTTTAAAACGAGGGGGTTAAGTGGGTTAAGTTCATACAGCGAATATGTCGTAAACGATCTTTCCACAAATTACAGCAATCTATACATTCAAAATGCGTGTTCACCAATACAACAAAATACGCTGGACTCTCAAGAGAAACAGCAAAAAGAAACACAAATATCACAAATACTGTTAGAGCAGTAGCCGAAGACCCTGGGATCTAATCCATCTTTATTGTTTGTTTGTTCTTCCATCGGTATACTTTAAAATACGACGGTATATTTCGGTATCGGTATTATCGATAGCGAACAGCTGTTTCAAAAAGAAGAAGAAGCGCGACGAGATGGGAGTGTTTTCGTTTGAGCGAAATAATTTTATATTACTTTGGCGCTAAATAGCTAGCCATTTGTTACTAAATATAGTTTAAAACGTGATCTAAGTAGTTAAAACACATCCTAACCATAACGGCAACACCGCTGATTCAATGAAAGTGCACGAAAAAGTCGAAGGAAAATTTGAGACACTTGCGACGACGACCTCCAATACAAATACAAAGTGGGAAAAATCGAACAGTATATATGCGTGTTTGTGTGTTTGTGTATGCGTGCCCCCCCGTAGAAATAATAAATTTAATTTAATATCAAATGAGCGGTACTGCAGCACACCATTAAGGTTATAGTAGCCACCAAATATGATATGATGTTGTGTATAAATGTGTATATGTATAGTGTGAATCGATAATGTGCAACAATGATGATGAGCAATCAATAGCGATAAGTGCAAAATTCCATTAACAACAACAACAACAACAACAGCAACAACACAACGACAAAGGCAGTCATTCGATCCATCCACGCACACACGCACACACACACACCGCCAACATGGAAGCGGAGGAAACAAGCGACGATGTCTTCCCACTGGGATTTCTGGAAGTCGGCACCTGGAACAACACCCACAACGTTGCCTTCAATGACATGAATTTAGATGCACGAATGGTATGGCATAATAAATAATGAATAACGAAAAAGAATACGAATTATGTATAATAAAGTATATGGACGTGTGTGCCTGAATTTGAGAGTTGTTTGGATGATGATTCCAGCATGCAGGCTGTGACTGGAGAGGCATATGATAGCTCCAATACTGAACAGGACAAGGTGGTATCACTCACAGACAGAGCGAGGGAACAATACCAGTACATATGTATATGTACATCTCAATTAGGTCGTAGTGCAGACGCACACAAGCACACACCTGAATATAATATATATACTATATTCTTATATACATATGTATGTAATCTGATTAATATACGATGGTATGGGTACATGAATCAACCGACGAATGGCTTTATCTGCACGGCTAATGGACTGATTGCTGCCGTTTAATAGTCTCATTCCCCGTCAGAGTCACAGTCGCACTTCCAGAGGCCCATTCCCCGCCGCAGTCGCAGTCCCTGTTGCCGTTGGAGCTCTCACTTTGTGCCCCGGCGAATGGGCTTATCAATCATTGTGATTTGGTCATTGACACACACACACAGTCCCTGCTGCTCCCTGCTCCTACTATCCCACTGGCTCTACAGAACCCAGAAGACCCAGAACCCAGTCGTTGCTCGCTGATAAGTCATTCAGCATGTACATATGTATGTAGTTATTGTTATTTCCTACACTTTACGCCCTCTTATGATCTTTTTCTATAACTATAAAACCAAGAAAATATTTAGTTTCCTTTGTACATTAGCACAATACCAATGTCTATATTTGTGTAAAATATAAATGGAGTGGTATGTCCAAATACATAGTCAATGACTGTCCCTATGGAAACTAGGGCCTGACTTTTCCATATATCTTTCTGAAGCTCTTGTTCCGTTCCACTAGTGGACGTTCGTTTGGTTCATTGTACAAATTTGCCATTAACAAACGGACATTTTCCTTTCGAAGATCCCTGTATGCCAAATCCTCTCAAAGGAAATGGTTTTTCCGACCCAAATGTTGAGATTTCCTTATATGCATAGAGCAGGAGCACTCACATAGGTTGGTTTCCGATATTTCATGATCCATTTCACAGAATCTACAGGACTTTCTATCTCTATGAGGAGACAGTGCCTGGTGAGATATCCCATTAAAGCTGAGTTTTTATGGAGCGAAAAAGTTAATGCATACAGTATATAGATTTGTATACTCCCTTCACATATGAAACCCTTCCTATAAACAAATGAAATGCAAAATTACAAATCATATCTGCCTTTCCAGCTCCAGCCTAAACACTGTCAAAGGGCTCAAAAAAGTTGGAAACATCTCAGTTCTAAAACTCAACACGTCCGATTCGTCAAAATTATTTCTTAGCAATAGTATCTTGTTTGCAAACCAAAAACGTATATTTCGAACGTAAAAAACAAAAAACACGACACAAGCGATAGAACGAACGCCGAAGTCCCCCTTGTAAATTACGAGCTGGCTTTAATCGAAATACGCGGCTACATTTTTGTTGTTTTGTTGTCTCCTTCGTTAAGCTTTTCTTTGTTTGCTGAAATCATCGTTAGTCATAATGCCACTGAGGGTCCTCGTGGGCTGTGCTGTGAACTGCCAGGGGATGCTGGCTCGCGCTGTGTGCAGCAGCAAGTCTTCGACGAATGTTTGCCGCTTGGCCAGCAGCAAGAGCAGCGTACCAGAGCCCACCTTTGTGCTGGACGATCCGCGGGAGATTGAGCTATCGGAGGTGGAGAAAATGGGCCCATGTCGTCGCAATTTTGCGTCACTTCATTCTCCCCAAATGTTCTTTTTCCCGGAAATGGTGGCGCCGGCCCACCACGACCCCAACAGCCTGGATCTGATGTTCCCGCAGGAGAGCGACGAAGTGATGTTGCACAACGTGCGGCGTCAGTGCGGAGACTTTGAGTTGACGGTGCAGCAGATGCCCAAGCTGCTGAACTCCTACCTGAAGTCCATCTTCTATCGCAACTGCGAGGGATATCAGGGATTCAGGGACTCCATGGACTTCACCGCCATCAGCCTGAAGTTCAGCTGCGACGTGGACCTCGCCATCAAGGCCTTCCTTGACTTGGCAATCAGCGAATCCATTCGCCTTGCCGAGGCCAACTACTGGGTGGACTTTGTGAATCCGTACACGGGACGGGCACACCACGCACCAGCCGCCCCGGAACTCTACTACTTGAACAACTTTGGACTGGCGGGCCAGCAATGGAACTACGAGAACGCCAATGGCTGCACCATCATCGATGACTCCCACGAGAATGAATTTAGGGGCACCATTTACACCGATGCCCCCGTACATGTTATACGGAAATGCTGTTGCTCTGAGCGTTAACTTGAGCTGAAATGTCTGGCCGATCTGTTGGTTTAGTTTTTACATTTTGAATGGCCCAAGGCTTTCAAGAGTATGGCAATGTCTTCTCCCCTTGCTCCCCCGAACCTGATAATTGATAATTGATTGTAGCCCTCGAAGACATAAATGTATTTGAACGACTTTCTGTTAAGTAAAAATTTAAGTATCACTTTCGAACAAGCACAACAAATTTCGTATTTGTCTATTAGTTTTTTTATAATAGTAACGATTTAATATCGATCCCTGTTTCTGTCCGCGGGTGTCTCTTCCTCGTCCAGTGTGCGAAATCTGGCGGAGTTGAGCGGAGGAGAGAGAGAAAGCGAGTATCGCTTGAAAGCGAAGCAAAGAGTTCTAAGATTATTGTAAAAGATGCAAAATCAGAGAACATCCCCCTTAATGCCGGAATGCAGGCCGCGCAATTTGTACTAGCAAGAGGTATATAGCAAGAGGTATATAGAAAGTCTTCGGTATAAAGGGGCCGTATAACTTATTTTACCACCTCTTTTTTTAAACCCTATCACGCAATTGTGCGGGGCCAAATTTACCATGGTTTTAATATCTAGAAAAATGAGCTAATGAACAAGTTTGGGAGTATCTTTCTTCGGCTCAAGCTCATAATATTATGAAAGGTGCCAATTATTCAGCATGAAACAATTCAGCGAAAATATCAACCTCTTACCCTTCTTTAATTAAGCTTCTGTTCTTTTGATCTTTAACTTTAGATATGGCTGCTGTGTTCGCTGCTGACGACCATCACCTGGGTGACGTACATCACGTTCTACAACCATCGGGTGATCGGGATGCTCATCACGAAGATAGCCAATCGGTGGTTCATCAAGGGGGCATACTTCAAGATCGGATCAGTGTCGCTGAATCCGCTGGCGGGGAAGATCATGTTCCGGGACTTTGTGTACATCACCTACGACTACACGGTGCGGGCGCAGGATGGATACTTCATATTCCGCTGGTGGCGTTCCTATGTGCCCAAGGACGTGTCCGAGGGTAAGAGAGAAGTTAACCTCGAAGACAGATCTGATTCATTCTGCTTTTCCCCAATTAGATCTCTCGCATTCGGATACCCGTTTGTCCGTTCAGTTGAATGGCTACGAACTGCACATCTACAACAGATCGGATCTGTACGATAAGCTGGAGAAGACCTTTGGGCTGGAGCCGTCGCTGCTGATACCCACGGATTTGCTGAGCAACGAGGAGCGGAATAAACTGAAGGAGCACAACATGAATCTGGAGAATGCACGGCAGAGCCAGCGGGTGAACAGCGTTAAGAACTCGGAGGCCATGCAGGCTACCACGTGGCGGGACCTCATACCAGTCATCAAGATCGACATCTGTTCGGGTCGCTTTGTGTTTGGCAATCGCCTGACGCCCACCACACTGTCCATATCCGTGGAGGAGGCCCACTGCACGTACAGCACCAAGCCGGCTGTGTGTCGTCTTGATCATTTCATGCATTTCGTAAAGGCCAAGGTGGAGAATGCCAAGGTTCTCTTCTGTCCGAGTCCCAAGTACACGGGACTGATTGACGAGCCGCCGCGGTACATGGGCGAGGGCTTTGTTGTGATGATGTCCAACCAAATGGATCTCTATTTCTACATGGATGAGCCGGGCGTGGTGCCCGAACAACCCGTGCAGATTGTGCTGCCCAATGGCGATGTGGTGGAGCCGTCGCCGCCTGTTTGGGGCATCAATGCCCACTGCCTCAAGGGCACAGACTTCAGCTACGGCCCCTGGGCCGACCGACAGCGGGATCATCTGTACAAGTACTTCTATCCCTCCGATTGGAAGGAGGGGGAGGTCACACCCACACCGCAGCCGGGCGAGCTGCGCAGCTATCAGTCGTTCGATGTGACGCTGTGTGTCCTCAACGAGGCCACCATCGACATACTCTTCTCGAAGGAAAAGGAGACGAATGCCATGCACATCACTGTGGGTCCGGCCTCCTACGTGGAGGTGACCATCCCCTGGATCACGCTACCCGACGGATATACATCCAAGATCCAGGGACAGCTCTTCCATGTGGAGGCCACCACCTCGCTGCAGTATCGGAGTCTCGCGGAGTTCGAGTCTTTGGAGTACAAGGTGCGCATCCATTATCCCACCAAATGGAATGCACCGCAAGATTGGAGCGTGTCCCTGGCCGGCTGCAAGACGAGCGCTTTTATTGTGTACAAGCACAAGTGCTTCTTCCAGGACCTCATCGAAGACTGGGCGAACAAGGCACGGCCGGATATCCTCAGCTTTGTGCCGTACACGTGCAATTTTAATATCCGTCTGCACGAGTTCGAGATCCTGATGCTGTGCAACGAGTACAACTGGATCGACTGCAGCAGCGCCAATCAGGAGAACAACCATCTGGCCTTCTGCGGCGATGTGTTCGAGATGAGCTTCGCTCTGCCCTTTGACGATTTCCTGCCCAAGACGGTGACGCTGAAGTTCTGGATCCACGGCGAGGGCCTCGACCTGAGCCTGTACGTGCCCGAGGTTTCCTCGGTGCGTCCCATAGTTTTAGCCATAGACGAGAATGCAAGACTGTTGACCCGCGAGGGCAAGCTCTGCCGCCGGCCGGAGCTCTACACGAAAAAGTGGCGCAAGATCTGCCAGCGCTCGGCTGGATGGATCGACTGCTGGGCCGTGCCCATCCTGGCGCTGTCTATCCAGTACGTTTACCATCCGGTGCCCCCGCTGGGACCTGATCCACAGGCGGACATCACGACGCCCGAGAAGGAGGAGATACTCCTCAGTCCCATGCGCATACCAAAGGTGCGAAAGTCCCCAGTCAGCAGCTGGCAACAGCCTCCGGAGCAGTTTAGCAAATTCGATCCGGGGACCCTGGCAGCGGATCATGTAACCGTGGAGCTGGAGATCGGCAGCTCTGTGCTGATGGCCTACGGGAATGTGCTGCGCAACTTTATCAGCCTAAAGGAGAACATTTTCGGCGAGGATCAAAGCTTCACGGACATGGAGCAGTCGAATGTGAATCTCAAGGAGCCCCCAGCACTCAATCCCAAGGACCAGCTGCTGGCCAAGGAGAAGGAGCTTGCCAACAAGTCCATCTCAGAGGTGCAAGTGCCCGAGGAGAAACGCAAACCCTTCGACCCGCGTCTCTACCGACCGCTGGAGGTGATGGTCTCCGTGATTGTGCACGACATTCAGGCCCATGTGATGAAGAACTGCAACGAGGATGATCCCCCCTGTCCGGTGGTGCTGATCGAGCGTTTCGGCTTCGAGATGAACAAACGCTACCACGAGACAACGCTCCAGGTGCTCGTAAGCCCCTCCTATCTGCTGGCCTCCGACAGCATCCAGCGGCCGCAGCGGGAGCAGCACATCAACCAGGGACACCTGCTGCTCTCGGCCGTTCAGGTGCGTGGTCATGCGATGTTCAGCAACGAGGGTTGCGCCCTGGACGAGGACACACTCGAATATTCCTGGCTGGTGGAAGTGCAGCTGGGCAAGCTGACGGGGAAACTAACGCTTCCGCAGCTCGTGAACGTTGTGACGGGGCTGGAGACGCTCATCCTGCTCGCTATCGACCCCGAGAACTGCCTCAAGTCACCGAAAACGGTGCGGAATTGCCATCACGGAGTGCCTAGCAATCTGTGTCCCCAAACCAAGGAGGAGAAGAAGTACAAGTGTCCCTCCTCGGAGGACATCAAGTACAAGATGACGCGGGTGTCGGTGGATGCCGTGGATGTCTATCTGATAGAGAGCGGCACAGCATTGCATGCCTGGATATCGCCCATTCGCCTGGCCAACTGCAACCTGCACGGCCAGAGGGTCAAGTCGGGGATCTCCGGTCTGCTGCCCTCCATTCTGCTGCGTTTGTTCATGCTGCATGCCACCACGCCATCGTACAACACCAACACCACGGGCAGCAATCGGTCGGGCAAGTTGCGTCGTGCCGACCAGGACTCTCTAAAGTCGCAGGATCATGCTCCGCCGCACACTAAAGCCGGGAAAAGGAGCTCCAATTCGTTCTCTCAGTCGCGACGCGATTCACGGGATGAGGCCACGCGCCGCCTGCGCGATAGCTTCTCGGAGCCACAGGCCAAACGGACCCCGGAGACGGCAGATCTCTCGGAGAATTGGGTGGAAGTGGGATGCACCTCCCTGGGACCCATACTGCTAGAGGGAGCCTCGGCACTGCCCATACCCGACCATGAGCTGCATTTGGTGCAGCACAAGTGAGTGGAAAATGTACACGAAATGTCCATATTTTCAATGCTTTCTTTCCCTTGCAGCTTCCTGCGCGAACACGACGCCAAGTTCAAGCGTCTGTGGTTCTTGTGGTCCAACAATGGCAGTGCCTTGTCCTCCAGCACAGAGATCTCACGCTGTGGCTGCATCGGAGGCTGCGTCTTCTTTGGCAGCAATCGGAATGGCCAGAAGTTTTTCAAGCCCACGGCACAGGATATCCATGATAATTACAACATAGCGCGTTACTTGTGAGTGTCCATTGAAGATCGAAAGTCTGAGCCAGAGAATGATCTCCTCCTCCCAACAGCATCATCAATAACAACAAGGACTTTGGTTTCGGCGAGAGCATACTCCACCAAGGACAACTGGTTTTCCACACGCCACCCTATAGCCTGCACTGTGTCTCACTGTACGACGCGGCCGATTTCAACGGCAAGGGTCGACTGTACAGGCCCGCCGGGGGGGATTTGCGGAATGGCGGAAGCCTCAAGAAAGCGGAGCACTGCTCCTTGCCAGACGGCACAAAGTTCAAGATCGGAGGCTGTGCCAGTGCCGCTGTGGAGAAACCAGAGCTCAGCAGCCGCCACAAGTCACGGGAGAGCATTGGCTCCCCCAACACCCTCGAGAGGCGGAGCAAGCGGTATCCTTGCACGCGTCAGACCTCCGTGGAAGTGCCCTATTCTCGCCTGCTGGATAGCCCCTCCAAGAAGCTACAGCAACTGCAGCAGCATGAAGCAGCTGCAGGCGATGCAGGTGTAAATACTAAACGACGCGGCTCCGATTCGAACAGATTGCGAGTGTCGCCGCCCAAGACAAGCATCTCGGACTCGCGACTGACGGGCGAGGCGTTGGATGATGAGCATGAGGTAGGCTAATCCTTCAGAAACAGATACATGTGTAAACTAAAAAAACGGTTTGGTTCCCCTGCAGATGCCCGATGAGATGTCGCACTCGGCACCCCATTCGCATCCCTTGGAGTTTGAGATTGCGGACATTGCTCTTCATTGTCAGGCTCTGGGCGAGCAGCTGCCTCGAGAGGTACAGCGTACCATCTCTTTGACATCGGAGAATCCCTCGGAGATGTTCTTCTCCGCCGAAGAGGACATATCGAATGTGATGTCGCAGCGTGGATCCATGAAGCAGCGGAACAGTGCCAACAGCGGATCAGTGGTGCTCTCTGGAAGAAAGCGTTTCTCTTCCGATTTGAGGTTGATTATTACGAGGATTACTCCTTTCTGAAACGTGAATGTAATACCTTTCCCTCTCTTTTTGCGCAGCATTGGTGCTCAAAACGAGAATGGCAGCCACACTCTACCCACATATCGCAGCGATCTGGAGATCCATGCCCCCGAGGGCAACAAGACACTGCCCAAGCGGCCGCAAAGCACCACAGAACTGGTAAAACTAAAGAGCGTTTATGCGCTTTATATACCTATGTTAGGGAGATTTATTCATGAACTATATGTATATGTATACTTATACACGAAACGCGTTTCGCTTTGCTGCTTTTGAAGCCAAGTCTATATCTATCTCACAGTCTCTGTCACCATCTCTCCAAAAATCTCACTCGGTAAAAGAAAGCGGCATAAGAGATTCTGAAAAACTGTGTCCAGTGCATGCTTTGAGCTTCTTTAAGCTTCTGATCTATCTTAACTATTTAAATATCTATTAGTGTTATTATAAATATATCTATTACCACAGTTCCATTAGCAGAACACTGGGCATTCGTAGATGATTTTGGTTCAAATTAGTACTATATTTCGAACAAAAGTTTTACTTTTTCTATAAAAAGTTAAACATTTCGATCAATATTCATCTAAAAATTCGAGATGGAGCAAAAACTATTTCTTACCGATCGATAAACCGATAAATTTTAAGAATTTATTCGTTAAAGTACCAGATCTCGAATAAACTACTTTGAACGATATTATTCTAGTTTCTGATCGGAAAGATTTCATTGTTCGGGTGTCGAATGTATCGAGTCACTTTTTTACAGCGAATCAAAGTCATTCATCGAATGTGTCCCCTTCTAGTGGAACAGGGGTGGTATATAACTTAAGTGACGTTTTCTCAATGTTCGGTTGACATTCCATGTACGTACGTATGTATTCTGTGAAGCGAACATTGAGAAACCGCTCCATAAATCTGTAACCCCACCTAAATTATATTCCTCTCCTTAAAACTCCTCGATCTTCATCTTAAATCAAACTAATTAACAAACAAAACAAATCAAATTAAAACCGAAACCGAAAACAAAAACAAATACAAAACTCATCCAGAACGAAGACGCGAGACGCATTCACGGTCTTGCCACACCAATAAGAAAACAAATAACAAATATCTCATCACGACCTGAGTACCGACATTTTATTCATGATGTGAGTAGTTCTTAGTTTCCAAACGAACAAAAACAAAAAAAAAGCAAAACCTCTTAGAAAGTAGAGCCACAAAATCTCGATGTATCTGAAGATGTGTATTGATTTGGTAAAAGATTTTCTAAATTTACGATTCAGGAGATGGACACTTGCATGCTGTTTGTCAGAGATTCTTAGTGCATGCTTCAATTGGTTTTCTAATCTAGTCCTGATCCTATCTAGACCTAAGTTAAGTTTCTCGCAACCTTACACGAACTTTTCTTTCCACAATTCTGCTTGCGCCACTGTCTGACTTCTGGCTATTTAGTTGTAGATGAGCCACGAAGCGAACTCCTTTAGTAATCTTTACGCGCTCTTCTCCACTGCTCCACACAGGCGGACTCTCGAGGCTCCTCGTCGGGCACTCCATCGCTGTCGTCCAACTCCTTCATCTCCGCCATGTCGTCGCAGGAGGATGTGGCTCTGGTGAATCTTCATCAGCAGGTCAACCGACCCATCATTGACTCCCCGCTGCTGATGGCCAGCTATCAGAATCATTTGTCACAAGTCAAGTGCTTTAATTGGAACGCCTGCTCCTTTCCCCTGGGGCCGGACGTCTTCTCCACGCCGCTCTTCAGCGAGAACGAAGATGGAGGTCTAACCTACATTGGCAGCAAAATGTTGCCCCATTTCGATCTGTATTCGTGCTGGCGTGAGATCAAGGTGGTGCCCCGGTACGAGAACGCCACGGGGAGCAACAGTTCGGCCACATTCATGGGCGGACCCAAATCCCATCCCTGGGATCCCAGTGTTCTGCTGAAGGAAGAGGAAGCGGACAAGACCACGAATGGCTTTGATGACGGGGAGTTCATGAGTCTTCAGTCGGAAGGTGGAGCTGCCTGCACATCTGTGGTGGCGAGGCTGAAGGGGCAACTAAATATCTTCCTCACGCCGCTTCTGCTGGAGGGATTGCAAAGGTTCGTATATGTTGTAGAGAGGGGTATATAAAAGAAGTCATCAATCATTCATACAGAAAAACGATTCACGAGCAGACAAACAAACAAACTTTCTTCTTTATCAATTTATGGGGTAAAAAATACAACTACAATTATAATTATCGTGATAACAACAATTAGGCTTCAAGTTTAAAACAAAAAAAACTCAACATCGCTTAACGCGCAAATGAGCCGAAACCGATTCCTGCAGAGCCTCCAAGTCGTCATTGCTCTGACCGTCCTGATCGCGTGGGAAGCTGTCCATTAGCTGTTTCAAATAGGTCTCCTTAGAGTTCTGAAGAGGGAATCAATCCCAATGTATGGTGTATGTATAGATTTAAAACTCACGTCAGGGGCATCGTCCGTTTGCTTGTTCTCTCGCTTCATTCGCCTGAAATCGAGATATTCATTGGGATCCTGTCCCTGTTCCTCTGTGAGCTTTTCTAGGGTTAGATTCTCGTTCTGGCTGCGATCCTCCCGATGATCGTTCTGGCTATCGATGTTCCCGTCCTCCATCTGGGCGAGGAAGCGCATCGGATCGCGCTCATTGCTGGCAAGGAAGCTGCAAGATTAACAACGAAACGGAAACAACGGACGCGGAAACGTGTGTGTATGGATTGTCGGTGATTGATGTGATTATGCTGCCAACCTGTCGGCAGCACTGAGCTGTGGCCTCTCATCCATGGGATCGTATGGGATCTGCTTCTGCTCCTGGGCTTTGGCATACTTTCGCTCTCGGTGTGCCATTCGAGAGAGATGATGGCGCTCGTACGTTTCTGTACGCTCCAATTTAGCCCTCTCCTCCTGCTCGTCGGCAAGTGGTTTCCACCCGCTCTGCTTGACCCGATCTTCCATTGGTTCTCGATCCAGAGAGTGAATGGGAGTCTCCTCGTCCAGTTGCCCGATTCTGGCCAGCTCATTGGCTGGAACGTAAACCGAGGAGTCATCAGAGTTTTCCTCGTCGTAGTCCAGTGGTGACTGCTTGAACACTTTGGCGGAATCTCTTCCGCGGAATCTCCTCAGGCACTCAAAGTCGTCTGCTTCGCATTCTTCATCGCTCTTGACCGTTGGCTTGGGCTTGCACTTCATTTGCTTCGTCTTCAGGCACTTGGACATGCCGAAGGGGGCCCCCATATTGTCGTAGTCTGGCGTTTTCTTGCTGGAAGTTTTCTTGTAGGGGAGCCCTGATGTTGTATCTGGGGGCTCGCAGGTGGTCGCAGCAGTTTTCGTGGTGGAGCGTGTGAATTTTGGCACAGGCGGTCGCTTGGTGCAGAGATTGTTGGGCTTTTTCTCCTCATCCTCGTCCTTGCAGCCATCATCGAGGTGATCCTCCGATGCCAGCAGATCCTCAAAGACCTGCTCATCCGTGCCCTTAGCTTCCCTGAACTGGTTTCCTTGACTTGCTTGCTTTGAAAGCCCTCCAACTGGTGATAAAATCTTAATCTCATTTGCAAACACTCACCGTCCGAGTCCGAGCCCGAATTGGGATCTTCATCGTGATGGCTGTGCTCATCCAATAGATGGTCCAGCGAGGTCAGGTCTTCTAGCGACAGATCTTCCAGAGCAGCCTGAACATCGCCATCGGTTAGGCCATCTGTAAGATCAGGATAGTTGTGCGGGTCGGCATGTTGCGCCTGTGGTGTCCAAGGGACTGAGTTTGTGGGGGAATCTCTCCAAAGATGGGATGGACACTCACCGTGGGATACGCGTGTAGTAATAAGGGAAATATCAAATATAGTAAACATATCCGCATCAGAATCATTTTCTTTTTATGAAACCTAAATTTATTTATATTACTGAGAATTGCAACGCCTACTTGGTAATTTGTGTATACTCGTACATATGTTTGAAACAGTTTCTGTTAAGCTAGTAAGCGAAAATATTACTGCATAGAAACAGCCGAAAGAATCACATTTCCATCCTCTGCATGAAGTTGCATTCTCTGTGCCACTAGCTATGACTTATGTAGATTTACTCGCCCATACGATTACGATTAACGAAGGAAATATTATTTTCAGGATGGTAGAGGCTGCCATACCCACCATACAGTCGATGCACCTCCTCTCAGTCGTCAACTTCATTCACACGTCGTGCATTGCCAAGGTGAACAACGACAATATACTGAAGAGAGACCAGAGCCTGAGCTACTGGTCGCAGGTGCACTCCAATTCGAAGCGATCCACCACTGAGCGCCATCTGCAGGGGCCCGGGGACTCGTTCCTCAGCGATGTCTACGAGGAGAGCATCTCGACGAAGACGCAGGGGCTGATTGTGCTGCCAAAAGTCAGCATCACGATGCTGCAATCCTCCATTGTGGAGGAGGTGATATCCGTGGCAGCTCTGGACAATGTCCAGGTAAGAGTTCGCGCTCTCGAATCGAAAACACAATTACACACAAACGCTTTCCATTTGCTTGACAGGATCTCAGCTGCGTCTCGCTGCTGACTTTCTACATGGAGGGGATCTCCACCAAGTTCCATTTGGGCAAGACGACGCGTGCCTCCATGCACAACGTGTACATCCAGCAGACGGTGCAGTCGGGCAATAGCCACAAGAAGGGCGGGATTATGAAGGGAACGCGTGCCCTTCTGGCGCACCTTTCCTCCCAGACCCGACCCGACAATGTCCAGGGGGAGCCCATTCTCATAGAGACATCGGAAAAGCAGTTGGAGGAGCTCGTCATTACCCTGGATATTGGACGAGCGCATGCACAGCTGCGACGCCTGAAGACGGAGGGCCAGTCGTGTGCCCAGGACTCACCCATCATCGTCACTGCCATTCCGGAGCACAAGAGCAAGGTGCTCTTCGAGTGCCTGAAGATGCCCGAGAGCACGGGCATCGAGAGCATCGGCTACATCATGTTCGAGTGCGGCCTGGAGGGTGTGGGCGTGAAGATCGTGAAGCGCTCGCACTTTGAAAAGTCCGAGAACAGCAAGGAAGAGCTGGCCGAGATGGCGGGCGCAGGAGGCGAGGGTGTGTCCGCCAGCGGTGGCTTCAACCTCAACGATCTTGTGGGTCACGGTGGGGCAGGCAACGAGGGAGGAGTGGCAGCACCTTCCTCGGATGCTGGTGCCACTTCCAAGGCGGAGGCCGCCTGGCGTATGATCACCAAAAAGCCACCCACTCCAAAGACCCCCAAAGAGAAGTTCCACCACGGCCAGGACAGCGAGAACTCTACCTCTGGGGCTGACCAGAGGAAATCCACACCCAAACCTCCAGACGAGGATGTGGAGAAGGGGCCCACGGCGACAGGCAATCAGGGTGCTCCGAAGACCGGGGCTGCCGGTGGCAGCAACTCCAAGGATGCCTACGACAAGGTGCTTTCGAACGTCAAGGAAACCGACAAGACCTCTTCATGTGTGATCGAACTGAAAGCCGTGTGGCTGAACTTTGCGGCGCCGCCCTGCGTGCCCATCACCCGAAAGATCGATCTGACGCGCCTCGACTGGAACCTGCTGAGCACTGCCTCGCCAGCCATCACTGCCTGGATGAATCCAAGCAATCGGCTGGCCATCAAAGTGGTGGCCCTTCTGAAGGCGCTGCACACGCGGCAGACGGCGGTGGCCGCCTGTCTCATGGCGGAGGCCTTGGACAATGAGAAGATCCAACGGAATCCCAAGATCAAGAAGGTGAGGTCGACAAACGAATACCGGGGAGTGCTGAATCTTCAACCTTTCTTTTGTAGAGTCGCTATGCCAACAACTATACGCTGCTGTCGAAAACGCTGCAAGAGGATCCCAGCTGCCAGCTGTGCTACATCATGCAGAAACTGGTTCTGGACGAGGGCGTGCAACGGATTGAGCCGATCTTCAAGCAGGCGGACGTGCCGCATCTGATTACTCTACGACAGGTGAGCCGCTCTCAATCGGAAGAAGAATATATCTTTATAAACCGACGATTCCTTTGTAGGGCATCATTGTGCTGAGTCGTCAGTGGAAGAACACACTGTACAATCCCATACTCTTCGAGCATCAGTACAAGAATAAGCTGGCACGTCCCATCAATGTGACATTCTCGTTTCCGCAGAACGAGGAGGAGGCGGAGAACGATGAGTGCGAAGGTGATGTTGAAATGGGCGCCTATGCGGGCGTCGGCGAGAATCCGGAAGAGAGTGAGAATGCTTTATTACTTGGGCAAACACAGCATCATCGAACTCACATTGGTATTTTTTTGATTAACGCTCTCTCCCTCTGGTTTACTCTCTCTCTCCTCTTAACCTAGTTATATGTATAGTTCTCTATTCTCTTTCCTGTTTCCTATTTCCTATTTCCAATTTCCTCTCTTTCTGCACGTTTTTGTTGAATGTGTGTTCTATATTCTCTCTCTGTCTGTCTATATATCCTTTTTTTTTTAGCTTTTTACTACCCACAGTTTTCCACTGTTTTCCCTTCTGTTTCCCCACTTCCGTGTCTCTCTCTTTCTACACTCCCCTTCTCGCACACACCCACACACATATGTCGTCAAATGCTTTAAGTGTTCACACTTCATACAGTTTGATGCTTTTGCATATACTCGATGCATTATACTAGTACTACAATACAAACTATACTATTCTATCCTTTCTGGCTATAATCTATCCTCTACATAGAACTAAATTTATAACTAAATGTGTTGTACATTAAACGGAACTTCTCGGCGGACCAAAACACGATTGTAAAACGCAACAAACGTAAAACAAACGAGACAAATCTGCGAGCAATGACTGAGGTCTCGCTAAAAGTTTGCCAACGAGCTCTGAAAAGATCGAGACAGAACCAAGCGACTAATAAAGTCTCGCTAATTGTGATCTGTGTATAAAATCTTAAAATCGTTTTCACAAAAACAGGGCCCTATCGTACTTCGACCATCTTTGGATCATTCGTTGAAAAAGTATCATAATATTCCTCTTCTAAAATGTTTGGGAACCGGTCTGCACACAGATTTATATACATTCCGAACATTGCGGAGCTGAAAACTCCCTGAGCCGTAGTCCTATTACTTGGAGCTCTCTCAGAAAATGTATGAGCTGGTGCACCTATATACGTAATACATATACACTGTATGGTAATGCGATATCGCTGATGGTGTTTTGGTCCAATGGGGTTATAATCGTATATATGTAGGTTATATATGTATGTGTTCTCTCTTAATCCTTCGTTTACTGTACAACCTTTCAACGCAAAAGTGAAAAAAATACCAGAAGAGTGTGCCGAATTATTACTCACAAATTCCCTGTATCCTCCATATCCATAGAAAACAATCAGTACGGCGGACTCTCGTACAGCCACGAAGCGGGAGGTCAGCATGGAGCTGCCTCCCAGCGTTCGACCTCCACATCCCCGAACATCCATAACCCGCGTCGTGGGTAAGTTTCATCTTGTCCAGTTGCTTCTCATGCTTGTCATTTGCTCTTCTCTGCATCTTTGCATCCCCGCACCCTGCATTGCTCTACGCTTTAGGCTGAACAAAGTGCACAGCAAAGCCTCGAATTATTCACATGGCAATTCATCTCGTTCCAGCATACAAATGCTGCCCATTATCTCGGGGCTGGTGGAGAAGCAGGTGCCAGAATTTGGTATGTATCAAAGAACACCTTCCAAGGGAATGCTTTCTGAAAGATATCCTTCTGCAGAGTACGGTGCCCTCCAGGAGGGTTCTCTCAGCTCCACCAATTCGGTCAACAAGTTCTGGCAGGGCGCCGAGAGCCACAAGGAGGATCTGTACTTCTGGATGGCCAAGCAGCAGGACAACAAGAAGAAAGAGCATTTTGCCGAGAAAGAGCACGCTCGTCCTGCTCCCCCGAAGATCCCTGGACACACCCACACGCGCAGTGGCATCATGCAGGACTCGATCAAGCTGTTGGATGCTCATTTAATCTTCGAGCCGTTGCTCACTTGCCTGGGCGTGATGCCCCAGCAGATGATCAACAAGTTCTCGAATGCAGACATCTCCTCGCTGGAGAATTTCGGCACAAATCTCTCGCTAATCGGCACTTTCGATTCCATTCGCGTGGACATTGTCGTGAGCGAGGCGGGCGACAAGAAGAACCCAGCCCAGAAGCCGGCAAAACTGAACAAGAAGTCGAATGGCAGGGCCTCGATTATGATGGACACTCCCCTATTCCTGTGCGAGCGCGTGGGCGTGGAGCTGGAGGTGCTGAAAATGTCTGACGGGGCAGTGGATCAGGCCCGACAGAACGTCATTTACATGTCGCGGCGGCAGCTGAAGAAGCACACGAGTACTGTGATCAATTTCAGCCTCAATGTGAGGTTCATTTCGCAGCAAGTGAACATGCCGCTGCTGCGGCTGCTCCATCAGATCTGCAACATGTATCAGAATGTGAAGGATGCCCAGAACGAGTTCCACGATCACCCAGAGCTCAGCAAAAAGAGCCAGACCAAGGATGAATGTAGTTTGGGTAAGACTGCACCATAAATAGGATTAATTGTAGCAGTTCCTCACAAGTTTTTCTTCTCCCCCTGCAGCGTCGGAGCCCACGGATATCTTGGGCTTCAATTCAGTCTCTGAACGGTTTGGCCATGGCGAGAGCTATTCGGATGAGCGTTACGACAAGTTCAACGAGACGATGCCCACAATGCCAGCGGCTAGAACGCGTCCGGGCGGCATGGCGCCCATCATACAGCTAACACCGTCGCCAAACGCCAAGAATCGTCCGCAGAGCTTCGCCCAGAAGCTGCGTTCCACGGGCAAGTCGGTGAAGGGCAAGCTGGGCTACACCAATCTCAATGAGTCGAGTTCGTCGCCTCTGCGGGACAGTCCCAC